CCTTCCCAGCCCCCAGATATACCCTAGTTCCAAGCAAATCACTGGGGAGGATCAGGATGTCCAAGTCTAGGCACATTCCTGCCTTAGTGCTCTGTTCTGGCTATACTCTTCCCTGAAGCACGTTTCCCAAATCTGCTGAGCTGCCTCCTTCACCTCTTTTATTTTTCTTTTTCTAGAGAAATGTCCTCTTTGTCACCCAGACTGGAATGCAGTGGCACCATCATACCTCACTGCAGCCTGGGCTTCAAGGGATGCTGCTGTCCCAGTCTCCCCAGTAGCTAGGAGCACAGGCATAAGACACTACATCCCTAAGTTTTAATTTTTTGTGGAGAGGGGATCTCACCATGTAGCCCAGGCTGGTCTTGAACTCCTGGCCTCAAGCAGTCCTTCCACCTTGGCCTCCCAATGAGCCACCATGCCCGGCTTCCCTCAGCTCCTTCAAATCCTGCACAAATCTTATCTTCCCAAAGACACCTACTCTCACCACCCTATTTAATCCTATAGCATGCCTCACCCACTCCCAGCCCCCTTCAACCCCCTCACCAGACATTATTCCCTCCCCCAGAGCTATTATCATCTTTGAACATAGTTGATAAATGTCCTTATTTTATATTTATTGTTTGCTAACTCTGCACTCACTAGGATTAAGCTCTTGAAGGTAGGAATCTTTGACTGGTTACTGAGGCATTCCAAATATTTAGAATAGCACCCCACACATAGTAGGTACTTAATAAATATTTAATGAATGGAAGGAGGGGAGGGAGGGAGGGAGGGAGGGAATGGCAGGGAGGAGAGATGGAAGGGAAGAAGGGAGGGAGGGAGGGAGGAAGGACAGGAGGGAAGAAGGGAGGGAGAGAGGGAAGCAGGCAGACTCCTCCCTGAGCCTCTCCCTGTTCCTGTTACCTACCTGAGCACCCGCCCAGTGCTCTCTCTTCCCTGGAAGAGGACATCTGCTCCTGGGCATTATGGGATCCTTCCCTGGGCTCACTTTGGGGGGCCATCTCTGGCTGTCCCACAGAGAATCCTGTTACAGGCAGAAGGATGGGTCCAAGTAAAGCATCCAGTACAGAACAAGTAATCAGAGGCAGGGGCTCTTCCCCTTCCCAGCCTGCCCAAGAGGCTTTTCCCAACCTGCTCAGGAAGGACAGGCTCTCTCACCAGCATGGACACGGACAGGTATCAAGCTCAGTCCTTTTGAGTAGAGTCAAAAAGGACAGAAGGAAGAGATATCACAGATGTAAATATCACTGTGCTCTGTGAGTGCGGGAGTGTGCATACTAGAGCGCAGCCTCCACCGTGTCCCAGGCATTGAGAACCCACGCTACAGAAAAGGGGCCTTGGGGTTGCAGGCTCCTGAGGGTGGCTCTGCTGGATGAGTTGTAGATGCCCCTGAATCCTCCTAAGCCCTTCCTCAAGTCCCTTCATTTCTGCCAGCTCACCCAGGGAGCTGAGGGCCTCCAAGGTCTCCCTCATGGCAACCCAGAGTAGCACCTCCTGGGATCAGCACAGACCCTGTGGAGAAAAGACAGCCATGTTCAGATTTTTCCCACGCCAGCTTCCACCTGAGGCCTGGCTCTGCCCAGGAGCTCCAAAGGGGACATCTCTAGGTACAGGAGGGAGAAATTAGGGAAAATGGATTTCAGAAAACCAAGATCTTTGAAGGTGGCACAAGAAGGCCTTGAAGCCATTTCTGCCAGTTCTGTTCGGCTCTGGAAACCAGCTGCACCGCCGCACCACCCCTCACCTGGCAGGTCTCTGCGCCAGCCCCAGCCCATCAGCACCCCAACTCCACGCCCCAGTGTCCTTGCCTGGGGAAGTGCAGAAAGATTTGATTCTCTGGAGAGAGGCTGCAGGGTGAGGGCCCAGGATGGGGAGTGGGAAACTTCATCTCTTAGGCCCTCCAGCTGTCACTGCTGGAGCTGGTGAAATAGGAGCCAGCCCAGGGGCGGAGGTGAGTGTCACTTTAGGGCTACTGCTAGGGTAGGTCCTCCAGAGGAGATTCTTGTAGGTAGAAAATGACCTCCTCTACCTAAATCCCTACCGCAACACCACCGCTTATCCGCGAGGGGCTGCCCCAGGCCCGGACACCGCCCGGGCTGCCCCTTCCCTCCTCTTCCTCCCGCGGCTCCTTCGCCCTTCCCCCAGCAGGCTCCCCTCCCCCACCTCCCCAGCAGCCTTCCCTCTGCCCCGCCCCTCCCGCTCCCTCTGCCTTCCGCCCTCTCTCCCCGCGAATCGGGCCGCCGCCCCGGCCCCGCCCCCGTCCCTCCGGCTCCGCCCGCCCGCGCCCGGCAGGGCCAACCCCTCGAGGCCCCCTCGGGGTCGGCCCTCCTCTGCCACCGCCTCCCCGACCCTCCGCTCCCGTCCGTCTCGGCGGCAGCGCTCCCCTCCCCCTCCCAGACTCCGGGCTGCCTTTCCCTGCCCTCCCCGTTCTCCCCCGCTCCATCTCCCTCCCTGGCTGCACACCCTCTCCCTTCCTTTCCCCCTCCTCTTTTCCTTCCTCCCCAACACCCGCCCTCCTCCTCTCAGCTCTTCTCCCCAACCCCGTTCTCCTTTCCCCTCCGCTCCCCTCCCCTCCCTCCTCTCCTCCCCCACCCCGGTTTCCCTTCCTTCTCCTTCCCTCGCCTCACCTCGGTTCCCTTCCCCTCCCCCTTTCCAGCCCTCCCCCCCATCTCCCCGCCGCCCTCCCCCTCCCTCCCTCCCTCCTTTCTGCAGCTCTCCTTCCCCTCCGAGGCCCCCGCCTCCCTTCCCCCTCCGTCTCCCCAGCAGTCTCCAGCTTCGCTTCCCTCCCCGTCCCCAGTCCCCAGAACCGCTCTTCCCCTCCCCCTCCCGGGCCGCTCTCCAGCTCCCGGGTCCTCCGGCCTCCAAGCGTGGGGGTCTAGGACTGACCCGCTCGCTCCGGACCTTCCCGTGGGTCCTGTCCTTCCTACCCCGCTTCCCCTCGGAACACCCCTCCGCGCCTCTCCCCTCCCCCGCAGCGCCCCTTCCCCATTCCTGCTCCCTTCGGACTTCTCCTCACCCCTCCCAAGTTTTCCTCCGGACCGGACCCTCAGTTCCACCTCCCTGCCCCGCCGTTCTCCCGAGCAGCTCCGATCGCCGACGTCACTCGGGTCCCGGCCTCCTCCCCGGCTCCAGGGCTCACCTGTCAGCGCCCTCCTCTCCCTCCCCTCCCTAGCGGCCCGGTCCCCAGCGCCCGCTTCTTCCTCCCTTTCCCCCTCGGCCCCCTCCCACACTCCCTTTCCCCTCCCCTCGGGGCCCGCCGGCCCCTTCCCACCTGCCTCCCGCCCGGCCCCCTCCCAGTCGCCGCCCTTCCTTCCAGCCCCCCTCCGTCCCCTCGACCCCCACAGCCTCACCCCGCCCGCGCCTGGCTTGCCCTCCCGCCCCCCGGACCCTAAGCTCCCCTGACCCTGCCCCTCCCCCACGCCGGCCGGCCGCGCCCCCACCCCCGGGACTGTCACCTGCGCGGAGCCCGCCGCGACCCGAGCGCTGCGAGGAGGGAGACGCGGGCGGGGCCGCCTGCAGCGGAGCCTCCCTGGCCCTTACCTGGCGGGCCGGCCTCTCCGCCCGCGCCACGGGGACCCAGGCGCCCGGGCCTCCGGCCCCGCCGGCTCTGCTCACAATGGCGCCCGCCGCCTGCGCTCGGGTGCTGACGGCCCGAAAGACTGACAGACTGACAGCCCCGAAACTTCGCGGGGAGGAGAGGGATAGACGCGCGGGGAGCGAGAGCCGGGAAGCCGCGCCCGCGAGGGAGGAGGGACCGAGGAGCGGGAGGGGAGCCCCGGCGCACCGAGCTGGGGGAGACAGGGGCAGGAGGCTTCAGGAGTGGGGTCCCAGGAGGGAGCACGGCAGGCTTAGGTGGGCAGGTGATGGTCCTGAGTCCCCTTGTCCGGAGTAGGTGCTGGAGTGGGAGCTCGGGACCGGGGAGGGGAGGGGAGGCTGATGGGAGAGCGGGTGGAGGAGGGCGAGGAAGCTGGGGAGGAAGGGCACTCGGGCTGCGGGGAAGGGTGCCGAGGGAGGGTGCTCCGGGCGCGGAGGGAGGAGCCGGAGAAAGGTGGAGCGCGAGCGGGTGGGGGGGCGAGGAGGAGTTGGGGGGACGAGGAGGGGGCGTGTCGGGGGAGCCAGAGAGTCGTGCGCTGCGGTCTCTAAGTCGCCGGTTCTAGCCGGGTGTGCAGCGCCGCACTCCCGCGGGAGGACGGCCGTGGGGGGGGGGGGTGGTCGGTATGGGAAGCTCCGGTCCCGCCCCAGTTCTCCACCCGGATTCCACCCGGATCCACCCAGACCCACAGCCCCTCGTCCGGAGTCCCGAGGACCCGCTTCGAAACCAGCCGCGGGAGCCGCTGGGGGAGACGGGAGAGAGGGCTGGGCCAGTGCCTGCGAGAACCGGCCCTTCGAAGTAGAAACTGGGGAGAGGACTTTGAGCCGGGTCCCCTGGGAGAAGGCCGGTCCGAGTCTGGAGCTCCGGGGGCCGAGGCTAGGACTGGCTGGGCGGAGACTCTGAGGGCGGGGTCCGGGGAGGGTCTGCTTGGGGGCTGCAGAGAGGGGAGGGCTCTTTGGGCCGGAGACGCTGGCGGGGAGGAGGCCCTGCTGGCCCGGACACCACCTGGAGTTAGATGTGGAGGGCAGGGGTGAGTCCCAGCGCCAGCTCCTCAGGGGACTCCCCTCGCCCTCCCAGCCTGGGTTATGACGAGTCTCCTCGGCCTCGTCCCCGCTGCACCCCGCTCCTGAAAGCTCCACAGATGCTGAAGTCTGAACTGTTAGTCCCGGTCTCCTCTCAGTGAGCTTTCTCCAGACTCCCCTGGGTTCCAGCTTACTCCCTCCTGCCCCTTTAGGGGAAAGGGTGACTGCGACTTGGGTCGCTTCTCAATCCAGGTGCTGGCGGATCAGCCCCAGTTTGATTCCGGAGCTGAGAATGAGGCTGGAAAGGGGAGGGGGTGCATGGCCATTGAGCTCCTGCTACCGTAGCCCACCACAGGGGTGAGTCCCTGGAAGAGCACCCAATCCCCAGGCTCAGCTGTGAAGGCTCCTCTGACTCCAGGCTGAAGGGAGCCCCTGGAGCGGCTGGTGTCACCGTTCATCCTGGGGTGTGGCCGAGCACCTGTGTCGGGGCTGTGAGACGTAAAGCGAGAATGTGCGTGTGTGTTAACAGGAAAGGGGGTGTCTGGGTGTGAGTGTGGCCCTTGCTGAGGAGTGATGGGGGTTGATTCCAGCCATCCGTGACAGTGACCGACCGCCTAAGAGACTCACTCTGGACTCTTTTTGGCCCCAGGATCAATGTGAACCCGGCAGAATGAGAGCCCGGCCCAGCTCTGGTCTTCAGTATTCCCCTTCCTCCCCCAGGTGGAACGACTCTATAGGATGCTCGGAGGGATATCAGGTTTAGGAGACAGAGGGGCGTGGAATCCGAGGTCTAGGCCGCATTCCAGCCCGGGCGTCCGGGTGTGCTCCGAGCTCTGCTGGAACCAGGATGGACCCCGGATTCCCCCGTGGAGCCTGTCACTGCCCCTCCCAGCCTGACTCTCGGATTATTTCATCCGGCTTGGCTCTGGCCCAGGGCTTGGTGGGGGAGGGCTGGCTCCCCCGCCCCCTCTTTCCAGAGGTTCCTCTCATTCCTCAGCACAGGTTTCCCAGTTCTAGACCCCAAAGACTCTAGAAGTCCCTTGAAGAAGGAGACAGGATGGGCCCAACCAGCCGCACATAATCATCCCCAGCAAGAATCCGGACCCTGGAGAAAAGGGTACATGTTGCCCCCCCATCTCCAAACACTCAGGAACCCCAGCTACCCTGGAAAGGCTCCCGCTCACTGGCCCCCTCACTCCATTTTTTTTTTTTTTTTTTTTTGAGACAGTTTCGCTCTTGTTACCCAGGCTGGAGTGCAATGAATGGCGCGGTCTCGGCTCACCACAACCTCCGCCTCCTGGGTTCAGGCAATTCTCCTGCCTCAGCCTCCTGAGTAGCTGGGATTACAGGCACGCGCCACCATGCCCAGCTAATTTTTTGTATTTTTAGTAGAGACGGGGTTTCACCATGTTGACCAGGATGGTCTCAATCTCTTGACCTCATGATCCACCTGCCTCAGCCTCCCAAATTCCTGGGATTACAGGCTTGAGCCACCGCGCCCGGCCTGGCCCTCACTCTTAAGTTTGGGTAAGAGAGGGGTGGGAGGCAGGGCAGCGCCGCCCGGCCTGGCCCTCACTCTTAAGTTTGGGTAAGAGAGGGGTGGGAGTCAGGGCAGCACCATCCAGGCAGTTCAAGGCTGGAAGACCCCATCAGTCATTTAGTCCAGGAGCTCTTAACCTTTTTATGGGGTCATGGCCCTCTTGAGGATCTAATAATAAAACTTACGGAACTGTCTTCAGAAAAATGTGCACATACAATTTCAAAGAATGACTGGAGTCTGAGTCCCATCTGTGCACTCCTGGGAAGTCCCTGAAATTTTTACTGGGAAGGAAATTGGGGCCCAGAAAGAGGGGGTGGCTTGCCCAGAGCCCCTTGTTAATCTGTGGTAGTGCCGGAGAATGTGAAAATACACACACACACAGAGAGAGAGAGAGAGAGAGAGAGAAACAGACGCCCTGGGAGTGGGTGGGAAGGACACCGTTTCCAGGGAGAGCTGGCCTCTGAGGGGCTGGTGTGGCAGGTCCAATCCAGTTGTGGGCAGCTGGTGCCCTGGAGCATGAGGCTAGAATAAAGCCTCCCCAGCCCTCAGGACTGGCCACTGGGCTTCAGGGAGGCTGCGTGGGGCAGGAGAGAGCGGCACTGGCCTCTCCGTGCTCTCTGCAGCGTCGCCTCTCTCGAGCCCAAGCCTCACATTCCCCAAATGTGCCCCGGGGGTGAGGGCATCATGCTGCTCCTTGCCCTCCTCTTTGGGATGGCGTGGGCCCTGGCTGATGGGTAAGCAGCCCACCCTGGACCTTTCTGACAAGAGTCCTCTTCCTGCCCCATGCCCAGGGACCCTCTGGGGCATCAGACTTCGCGCCCCCACCCCCGGGGTCCTCCCTTCACCCCCCCCCCCACTTCTCATGAGTGTTTCCCCCTACCTCAGCATCCTCCTTACTTCAGTAACCACCCCTGGGAGTGGGGTCATAGGACAGGGCTTTTGGTGGCAGAGGGAATGGTGGCAGCAGCGGTGGTTCCCCATCATGGGCAGGCGGTGGTGTGAGTGGACGGAGAGCATCCGTGTGGAGGAGGAATTAGCACCCCGTCAGGAGGAACTGGTGCCCTGTGCCAGCCTCGACCATTACAGCCGCCTGGGCTGGCGACTGGACCTGCCCTGGAGTGGTCGCGTGGGGTTTACCCGGTCCCCAGCACCTGGGCTCTGTCCTATCTACAAGTGAGTAAGGGTGAGAGCCTGGGCTGTCTGCTGGGCAGGAAAGGAGTGACAGGCCGGACATCCTGAGAATGGGGAGGCCCTGGCAGAAGCAGGCATTTGGGAAGTAGATGGGGAGTGGGCTTGGAGAAGCGTGGAGAATGTGAGATTAGGGTGGGGGGTGGACAGGACAGGGAGAGGCCCAAAGCCTGTTCCCTCTGCCCCTCAACCCCCACGGTCTCCTTCCCAACATTATTCTCACTTTGCATGTGGGGAAATTAAGGCCAGGGGAAATAATGCCCTCCGCAGGGTGGGACTGGACTGAATGCTAACATCTCCTCCCATTTCCACCTGCTCGGTGTGTGCAGACCCCCAGAAACCCGGCCTGCCACATGGAACCGGACAGTGAGGGCTTGCTGCCCAGGCTGGGGGGGTGCCCACTGCACTGAGGGTAAGCGCCTGAGTGCCTTCGAGGAAGCAGTACCTTCTGGGAGTCCTGGGCGGGGGATGTTCGATCAGATGTGTGGTTTTGGGCAGGCAAACAGGGCTGGGCTGAGAGCTCCAGGCTGCCCCATGCTCACTGCCTGGGTCTGTCCCATTCTCCCCACCTACTGCAGCCCTCACAGAAGCCAGTCGTGAAGGCCACTGCTTTGCCATGTGGCAGTGCCAGCTACAGGCAGGTTCAGCCAATGCCTCGGCAGGAAGCCTGGAGGAGTGCTGCGCCAGGCCCTGGGGACGAAGCTGGCAGGATGGCAGCTCCCAGGCCTGCCTCAGCTGCCCTAGCCGACACCTGCCAGGTGGGTCTGCAGACTCCAGCCTGCCAGACAGGCACAGTCCTGGCCATCACCCCTCCTGCCTTCCCAGGCACTCTCATGTGGAGTTCTGCTCTGGGCCCTTCTACAGGGCCCGTACCGGCTCCCTAGGCCACTAGGATGACTACGCCCTGCCCACCTGCCTCCCGCTGTGCCGGGCACCCTGTGTCCTTGCCTTCCACCTCTGCCTCACACTCAGAGGCTCACAGTTGATGTGTCTCTCGCAGGCAGTGCCTCTTCTCCAGCCCCCCTGCAGCCCCTGGCAGGGGCTGTGGGCCAGCTGTGGAGCCAGCACCAGCATCCCTCGGCCACCTGCGCCTCCTGGTCGGGCTTCCACTACCGCACCTTTGATGGACGCCACTACCACTTCCTGGGCCGCTGCACCTACCTGCTGGCGGGTGCTGCAGACTCCACCTGGGCTGTCCACCTCAGACCTGGGGACCGCTGCCCCCAGCTGGGACACTGTCAGCTGGTGAGGGAAGGAGATGGGGCAGCCACAGAGAGGAGGCTGGACAGGGGAGGAAGAGAGCCCAGACCCCGTTTTCCACTGTGCATCTCCCCAAGGTCCAGGTGACGATGGGACGTGAGGAGGTGCTGATCCAGGCTGGAACTGTGTCTGTGAAGGGGCAGCTGGTACCTGAAGGGCAGTCTTGGCTGCTCCACGGTGAGGGTGCTGGGGGAGCAAGAGGTTGCTGAGCCCCCACGTGCTCCTCTGGGACAGTCTCTCCACCCTCCAGGCAGAGTCAGAAAAGGAGCAGGGGGCAGTTTGGGATCAAGTCCACTGTGGGCCCCCAACCATTGCTGATGGGAGCCACTGAAGCGCAGATCTAGTGAGGGGCCAGGAGGAACCAGGCCTAGTCTCCACCCTCTGCAACTACCCCCACCGAACTCTTGCAGCACAAGCTCAGGCATGTCCTTCTACCTAACTGCCCACACTTCAGTTTCCCTACCAGCCTCAAAGGAGTGCTGTGAGGTAGCACTTGGGTGCTAAGAGATGGGAAGCTCTCCTAACAGAACCTTTGTCCTGGCTGGGCTGCAGGGTGAGGTGGGGGCAAGCTTCCTGCGTGTAGGCCTGTGCGTGCCTGTGTGCATGTGTGTGTGCATGTATGTGTGCACGTACACATGTGTTTCGTAGTTCACTTGTAGTTTACTCTCTCCAGAGAGCATCCGCAGCTTTCATGAGCTTCTCAAAGAGAGCTGTGATGGAAATCAATTACTCTGCTTTAAAGTATATACTTTTGGTATAAAGCACAGAGCTATCTAGAATTTGAGAATTGTGTGAGTTGTTTCCCTCTCCTTTCCTTCCCTGGGCAGCTGAGCCCTGCTGTGGTGGGGGGATGGGTGAGAATTGTGGCTGCAGGGAGCAAGTGACTGCTTCCTGTGCCCAGGGCTGAGCCTGCAGTGGCTGGGGGACTGGCTGGTGCTGTCAGGGGGCCTGGGGGTTGTGGTGCGGCTGGACAGGGCTGGCTCCATCTCCATCTCTGTGGACCACGAGCTCTGGGGACAGACGCAAGGCCTCTGTGGGCTCTACAATGGCCGGCCAGAGGGTAAGTGGGGTGTGGTTGGTTGCTGGTGTAGCAGGGAAGGGAAGACTGGAGGCCCCAGACCCAGCACTCTGCCTCACCCCTTCTCAGATGACTTCATGGAGCCAGGTGGAGAGCTGGCCATGTTGGCAGCCACCTTTGGAAATTCCTGGAGGTTCCCTGACACGGAGGTGAGGCTGCCTTGGGGGCCCCTCCCTCCCAGCTGCCTGCCCATTCCCAGCTTTTCAGCCTTGCTCCTGACTCCTGTACCTCCAAGCTCTTGTCACAGTTTCATTGCTGGCCTGTTCCCTAGGACAGGGCCTGGCCCTCTTCTAGGTCCTCAGGGGCAGAGGGCAGGCCCTGGGGTCCCACAGGAAGCCTGGCTGCCTGCTGTGAAATAGCCATCAGAGGCCAGCACTGGTGAATCAGTCGGTCATTTATCCCGACCACTGCAGCCCAGCCTGGGGCTACCACCTTGCCTGTCTCCCCAGCCACAGCTGCACACCAACACACAGAGATCTGCATGTGTACACACACACACAGAAGCTACACACCAACACACAGAGATCTGCATGTGCACACACACATACACACACACAGGCTGCACACCAACACACGGAGATTTGCTTGTGTACACACACACACACACACACACAGGCTACACACCAACACACAGAAATCTGCATGTGCACACACACACATACACAGGCTGCACATCAACACACAGAGATTTGCTTGTCTACACGCACACACAGGCTACACACCAACACACAGAGATCTGCATGTGCGTACACACACACAGGCTGCACACCAACACACAGAGATCTGCATGTGTACACACACAGAAGCTGCACACCAACACACAGAGATCTGCATGTGCACACAAACACACACAGGCTGCACACCAACACACAGAGATCTGCATGTGCACACACACACAGGCTACACACCAAGACACAGAGATCTGCATGTGTACACACACACACAGAAGCTACACACCAACACACAGAGATCTTCAGTGCACACAAACACACACAGGCTACACACCAACACACAGAGATCTGCATGTGTACACACACATACAGAAGCTACACACCAACACACAGAGATCTGCATGTGCACACACACACACACACAGGCTGCACACCAACAGGCTGGAGGTGAGGCCTTGATGCAGTGTGAGAGCACCAGGCATGTTTCTGGGGTCCTGGTTAACGTCCCTCATCACTACCGCCTGGCCTGATGTCCTTTGTCCCCAGCCTGGGTGTCTGGATGCAGTGGAGGTGGCCAAGGGCTGTGACGGCCCCTTGAGGCTCACAGAGGCAGATGTGGAGCCTGGCCATTTGCGGGCTGAAGCCCAGGACATGTGCCATCAGCTGCTGGAAGGTCCATTCAGGCAGTGCCATGCCCAGGTATGGATGGGGTGGGGGTGGTATCTGGTATCCAAGGGTGGGTGCTAGAGAGGTGGCAGCCAGCTGGTCTGACCCTGCCTGTGGGTTACTTTGGGCCATCTGTCAACCTCCACTTCCCCATCCTCAGCTTTATCTCTGGGAAATGGCCAGCTCATGTGTGTGATCTCTGAGATCCCTTCTGGGGCCCATCCATTTGGTTACAATTCATGGAAGCAGGAGGCTGCGGGTGTTTGCTGAGGCTGTTTGCTGAGGGGCCCTCTTTTCTTGCAGGTTTCCCCTGCTGAGTACCATGAGGCCTGCCTCTTTGCCTACTGTGCAGGGGCCCTGGTGGGCGGCAGGCAAGAGGGGTGGCGGCAGGCTGTGTGCGCCACCTTTGCCAACTATGCCCAGGCCTGTGCCAGGCGGCACATCCACATTCGCTGGAGGAAGCCTGACTTCTGTGGTACTACTTGGGCCTCCCCACCCTGCAGGATTGGCTGGGGTCTGGGTGGGGGGGAACCACAGCTCACTCCTGTCCCCACAGAGCGCCTGTGCCCCGGGGGCCAGCTCTACTCCGAGTGCATCTCCCTCTGCCCACCCAGCTGTGAGACAGTGGGTCAGGGAGAGGAGGAGTCCTGCGGGGAAGAGTGTGTGAGTGGCTGTGAGTGCCCTCGAGGCCTCTTCTGGAACGGTACCCTCTGTGTGCCTGCCGCCCAGTGCCCCTGCTACTACCGCCGCCAGCGCTATGCACCCCATGACACTGTGTACCAGCTGTGTAACCCCTGGTGGGTCCTTTGGCCGTGCTGGGGGTGGTGGCTGCTCGGTGCCCTTGGATCCTTCCCTTTATGCCCTCTCCTCAACCTGCTTCCCCCAAGTCTCCAGCCCACTCCGAGCCTTCCTCTCAGAGACCTGGGACTGATGCTGTCATGGCTGATGGCCTTGCCAGCTGACCTCTACCCCTTTCAGCGGGAGAGGCTCTCACAGGAGGGGAGGAACAAAGGTTTTGGAGGGTCACATCCAGCTCAGACTCCCCCTCAGGGTGGAGCTGATGCCAGAGCTCACTGTCTCACCATGTCCACAGCGTGTGCAAGGATGGCCGCTGGCACTGCGCCCAGGCCCTGTGCCCCGCTGAGTGTGCCTTGGGCGGGGATGGGCACTACCTCACCTTCGACGGGCGGAGCTTCTCCTTCCGGGGCGGTCAAGGTTGCCGCTACAGCCTGGTACAGGTGGGCAGAGGGCAATCTGCAGAGGCGACACTCTGCTAGAGTAGGGGCCCTCCTAGAGGGGGCAGTGGGGCAGACTGTAAGGAAACCCCCAAATAAGTAAGCGAAACCCAGAGTCTTCTCAGGAAAGGCCGAGGGAGAACCAACCCTGAGGGCAGCTACCACAGGCCTGGAGGCCTCCTGCTGGGTTTTCACCTCCCCCCAGCTTCCCTGTGAAGGTCCCTCTGTCATCACGACCAGTCTATGGCTGCTAACCAAAACCCATCCTCAGTGCTCTCTCACCAATGGGACTGGCTGGGCTCATCACAGGCTACTTCATGCAGAACAACCCCAGGGGAAATAAGAGGCCCTACTCCCCACCCTAAACCTTCCTCAATAAAGTGAGGCCACTTCTCAAGTTTAGGTTCAGGCCACAATTTTTCCAATCACCTGGGGTCCTCTGAGGGATTGCTCCATCAAGCGATTGGACCATTCCCACTCCTCTCATAAGTAGCGATGGGTGAGGAGGTCCTGGGAGCACAATCCTCAGAGAGGCTGTGCCTGTCCCTAGGGAAGGAAGAAGACAGCCATCTCCCCCAATGCACACGGCCAAAGATGCATGTGTGTACACATACACGCTGCACACCAACATGCAGAGATCTGCATGCACACAGGCTACACACCAACATACAGAGATCTGCATGTGCACACACACACAGGCTGCACACCAACACATGGAGATCTGCATGTGCATACACACACACAGGCTGCACACCAACACACAGAGATCTGCATGTGCACACACACACAGGCTGCACACCAACACATGGAGATCTGCATGTGCACACACACACACAGGCTGCACACCAACACACAGAGATCTGCATGTGCACACACACACAGGCTACACACCAACACACAGAGATTTGTATGCACACACACACACAGGCTGCACACCAACACACAGAGATTTGTATGCACACACACACACAGGCTGCATACCAACACAGACTTGTATGCACACATACACATATACATGCACCCATGTTCAGACTTACACAGAGACACAGACATACACACCTGACACACTCTCATGTGTACACATGCACACACATATGGAAGAACATACATACCCATGGGGAGGAAAGAGAGGAGTCATCTCACCCCAACATGCAGACATGCACTTACATACACACACGGGTGCACACACAAACATGCGCACACATACCTCCACATGACACCCATGTGCACATCCATGGCCCTACACACACATACACACACACATCCATGCATGCTGGCCCATGGTGAAGGTGAAGCCCCTGACCTGGCAGAGCGTCTGGCTGGCTGGAAGGTGGGCAGCTGCCTCCAGGCGCGTGCTGAAGGTGTTCTGTAGGGAAGGTCTCCAGTATCCTCCCTGAGACCCTCCCCAGAGATGGTCGGCCCACCCAGCCCCACTGAATTCCTCCTGCCCGCCCCAGGACTATGTGAAGGGACAGCTACTGATCCTGCTGGAGCACGGGGCCTGCGAGGCTGGGAGCTGCCTCCACGCCATCTCCGTCTCCCTGAAGGACACCCACATCCAGCTCAGGGACTCAGGTAGCCTCTGCTCTGTGCTCCTGGGGCAGTCCCAGGCCTCCTGTCACTGCTCCCCCTCCACATTGCCCTGTGGCTTTGCAGTCCAAACACTCTCCCCCAGACTCCTGCACCTGAGTACACTGCCTCAACTTCCCCAGCCCTCCCATCTCTGAAGCAGACAGAGTCCTGAGGAGATGTTCCAGGGCATTGTCTGCCCTGTCCTGGGGTCAAATACGAGCCACACAGCTATCAGAGCTTGAAAGGCCTCAAGGCATGACCATACCGGGCAGGCCACCCTCAGCAGGGTCCCTCCAACCCTCCCCATCCAGCTCCCCAACACACTGACCATGAGGGTGATGGATTGGCACATCTGTGCGCTGAGGGTAGTCCTTGGGCTGCTCGGGGAGGAAGCTCAGGTGGAACTCTAGTTGTTCCCAGCAGCCCACCCTGACACAGGACCTCCTACTTCCCACCTGAGCTCCTTCCCTTCTTGCAGCCCTGTCCTTCCACCTGCCTCACCCCCATCACCAGGCCCCCCTGTTCCAGGAGCTGTGCTGGTCAACGGGCAGGACGTGGGCTTGCCCTGGATTGGCACTGAGGGCCTCAGTGTGCGCCGAGCTTCCTCCTCCTTCCTGCTGCTGCGCTGGCCTGGGGCCCAGGTGCTCTGGGGTCTGTCTGACCCTGCAGCCTACATCACCCTGGACCCCCGCCATGCCCACCAGGTGTGCCAATGAGGTGGGTGGATGGCTGCACAAGGCTGCGGTGGGACTGCATTCAGCTGTCTTACATGCACGCCTGTGGCCAGGTGCAGGGTCTGTGTGGCACCTTCACCCAGAACCAGCAGGATGACTTCCTGACACCAGCCGGGGATGTGGAAACTAGCATTGCCGCCTTTGCTAGCAAGTTCCAGGTGGCCAGCAAGGGAAGATGCCCCTCTGGGGACCATGCCCTGCTCTCCCCATGCACCACCCACTCCCAGCGCCACGCCTTCGCAGAAGCGACCTGTGCCGTCCTGCATAGCCCTGTCTTCCAGGTAGCTGAGCTGGGCTCCTCCCACATCCATAAGATGGGCCAACACCTGCTCTGCCCTCCACCTGGGCTCTTGGGACGATCAAGGGAGAACAGACAAGCCCAGAGAGGGGGTATTGGGGACCAAGGGGATGTAGACTCCGTGGAAGAGAATTTGACCCATTTCCCCATCTCCTCCCAAGGAATGCCATGGGCTGGTGGACAGGGAGCCATTCCATCTGCGCTGCCTGGCCGCCATGTGTGGCTGTGACCCCGGCAGCAACTGCCTGTGCCCGGTGCTGTCTGCCTATGCACATCGTTGTGCCCAGGAAGGTGCCTCACCTCCCTGGAGGAACCAGACCCTCTGCCGTGAGTTCGCTCAGCCCAGCCAGCCCTACCCTAGGCCCCTCCCCTCCTGCCTTGTCCATTCCCCTTCCAGGAATGGCTGGGGGCCCGGGCTGCACCTCTAGCCTTGGCAGATTGCAGAGGCACAGGGGGTGTGGGTTATGGGGTTCACAGGGAGTGGAGAGAGCCGGCGGTGGCTATGCCCCTGACCTGTGTGTGTCCCTGTGCCCAGCTGTTCTGTGTCCTGGTGGTCAGGAGTACCGAGAGTGTACCCCAGTATGCGGTCAACACTGCGGGGAGCCGGAGGACTGTGGGGAACTGGGCAGCTGTGTGGCCGGTTGTAACTGTCCTCCGGGGCTGCTGTGGGACCTTGAGGGCCAGTGTGTGCCCCCTAGCTTGTGCCCCTGCCAGCTTGGAGCCCGTCGCTATGCCCCTGGAAGTGCTGCCATGAAGGACTGCAACCGCTGGTGAGGGCAGCGACCTTTGGGGCAAGAGAAAGAATGTGGGGTGAAGAGGTAGCTTGGAAGACAATGGGTGGGCTGTGCAGCATTGTTAGTCGAAGCATGCATGCTTTGGGTGACAGAGTGCCGATCACTTCCCCCAGGTCACTGGGCACGTCAGGGTCCATAAAGCACTTTCATGTGCATCATTTTCTTTAGTTTTACTTTCCTACCATAACTTAGTCAAGTAAGAAGTGGAAAAATTGTACCCATTTCACAGATGAGGAAACTGAGGCTCAGATAAACTAAACAGCATGCAGAGTCACACAGCTCGTTCATGAGAAGTGAAGGCAGGTTGTGGACCTGGGCAGGCAGGGCCAGGATCCAGGGCTTGGTAAGGGTGGGGGCTGAGGGTGCAGGCTTCGGTGCAATCCCTCTCCTATTGGGCTGGGAGTGGAGTGGTTCAATGTCTCTGTTCTGCTCCAGAGCCTGGAGGATGGCCCTACTGGAGCTGGGACAGAAAGGGTGACAATGTCTATCCCAAGAATGTCAGGGTGCTGGAAACAGCCTGTGCTGGTGACTGGGTGCTGGGAGCTGAGATGCTCAGGTCTTCAGCATCAGGGCTGGGTTTTCACTCAACATGATGGGATCTGGACACCTGGGAACCCAGCGTCTGGGTTCCAGAGACTCTCACCATGTCAGACCAGGTCCCTGGTGGCTTGGACTTGGCTCTTACTCCTCAACCTTCTACAGCATCTGCCAGGAAAGGGGCCTCTGGAATTGCACGGGACACCATTGCCCCCCACAGCAGGCATTCTGCCCCAGGGAGCTTGTCTATGCCCCTGGTGCCTGTCTCCTCACCTGTGACAGCCCCAGCGCCAATCACTCCTGCCCTGCAGGCAGGGCTGATGGCTGTGTCTGTCCATCAGGCATGGTGCTGCTGGTGAGTCCAAGAAGGAGCTGTGTGGGGAAGCAGGATGGCCTTCCCTAAGCCAGGGCGCTGCCCTGCTCCCCTTGCACCCCTACACGGTGCCCTTTGTCCCTGCCCTCTGCCCAGGATGAGCGCTGTGTGCCTCCTGACCTGTGTCCCTGCCGTCACAGTGGGCAGTGGTACCTGCCCAATGCCACCATCCAGGAAGACTGCAACGTTTGGTATGCCCAACTGCAGTGACCTCCAACCCTTTGACCTTGTGACCCACAGCTCCCCACACATCATCCTTTCCTCCAGCAGAAGGGGTTGGGGTGGTGGGGGCTGGGGTATCCAGACTGGCCTGGGCCAGGGGAACCCTGCAGGACCCCTCCACACTGGGGGCTACTGAAATTGCCTGGATCCAGGACCAGCTGCCCCGCCTGGATCCAGCCCCCAGGGCCCTGTCCTCAGTGACTCTGTTTCACCCACCTTGCCCACAGTGTGTGCCGGGGCCGGCAGTGGCACTGCACAGGTCAGCGTTGCAGTGGGCGATGCCAGGCGTCAGGCGCCCCGCACTATGTGACATTTGACGGACTGGCCTTCACCTTTCCCGGGGCCTGCGAATATCTGCTGGTGCGAGAGGCCAGTGGCCTGTTCACAGTCTCTGCCCAGAACCTGCCCTGTGGGGCCAGCGGTCTCACCTGCACCAAAGCGTTGGCCGTGCGTCTGGAGGGCACTGCTGTGCACATGCTCAGAGGTGGCTGCAGTACTGAAGGGTGACATTGCCAGGGAGGGGCACAGCTGTGTGGCTTCCCAGCTGCACAGGGTGGGCAGGGACGTGGTTCCCTGTGTTTGCCCACTCCTTACTGGGCTTGGCTGCCCTCCATGCCATGGGGTTGGTGCCTCTCCTTTTGGCTGGGACTCATAATCCAGGAAGACTTCCAGAAATTAGGCTTTCAGCGAAGTCTAATGACACACCAGGGTCACATAGGTAGAGAAGTAAAAGGGCTGGAGTGGGGAGCTAGAGAGCCTCATGAGGACCTGGGGGGCCCTTTCTTCCAGGCTGGGCCTGAATGCCTCTCTTGTTCCATAGGCCGGGCAGTGACAGTGAATGGGGTGAGCGTGACGCTCCCCAAGGTCTACACGGGCCCTGGGCTGAGCCTGCGTCATGCTGGCCTCTTCCTGCTGCTCTCGACCCGCCTGGGCCTCACGCTGCTCTGGGACGGAGGTCAGGCCCCTGTCCTCTCCCAACCTTCTGACCCACCTTAGCACCATGGGGTTGGACTCACCCCAAGTTCTTTCTCCCAATACCTGACCCTCCCTCCTCGTGGTCTCCCTCCACTGAGCCCCTGACACCTCCCCAGGGCAGATTTCCAGGCTGACAGCCAGGCCGGGACCCTGAGCTCTCACCTGACCTCCCTGCCTGGCTGGTACTCGCTTGGTCCCACACCCAGGCCAGTGCCACCCTTACCTCCCAGCCCATGCAAGAGGTTAGAGTTTCCAAATCAGGTTTTGGCCAGGTGCAGTGGCTCACACCTGTAATCCCAGCACTTTGGGATTCCCTTGAGCCCAGGACTTCAAGACCAGCCTGAGTTGAACATGGCAGAGACTTCTCGTCTATAAAAAATACACAAATTAGCTGGGCACGATGGTGGGCATCTGAAGTCACAGGTGCTTGGGAGGCTAAGGTGGGAGGATTGCTTCAGCCTGGGAGGTCGAGGCTGCAGTAAGCCAGGATCACCCCACTGCACTTAGCCTGGACAACAGAGCAAGAGAAAAATTTTTTTTAATTAGATTTTCATAATTATCTTTTTCATCATTATGAAAGCAATCCTTCCACACCAAGAAAACATTGAGAAAATACTAAGTTTTAGAAAGGCGAAATGAAAATAAATCTAACTTCCCATCACCCAGACACAAGCAGTTGGCGTTTTAGAAATGTCACTGCTATTACAGAACACAGGGAAACCCAGAAAACCCCATATGGACCTGGCTCTGAGCCGCTGGACCACCCTCCCAGCCTGCGGCCACCGAGGCCAGTGCTGCTGGGTCTCACAGTCCTTCCTGGAGCGTGGTTTCCATCGGAATCTGACCTGATGGAGAATATCCCTTCCCTGAGCCCTTGGTCTGGTGTTAATTAGGAAAATAGGCTCTACTTCCCACCTTGAGTCCCCCAAATGTAGGTCTCTTCATTGAAGTACCCACACCCCCTGGTGTAGGTGGTACCCCGTGGGGATAAAACAGACCCTGGGTCTTCTGGCCCAGATGAGGGCCGGTGGGGTCACTTTTAACCATGCTGCTACCAGGGACTCGGGTCCTGGTGCAGCTGTCCCCTCAGTTCCGTGGTCGTGTGGCTGGGCTGTGTGGCGACTTTGATGGAGATGCCAGTAATGATCTTCGAAGCCGCCAGGGCGTCCTGGAGCCCACGGCTGAACTGGCTGCCCACTCCTGGCGCCTCAGCCCCCTCTGCCCTGAGCCAGGAGATCTGCCACACCCCTGCACAGTGAGTGCGGGCAGGAAAGCAGGAAGGGAGCTTCCTAGAGGCTGAGGGCTGGGGAGGGCGCCCGCTGGTCCCCTGTGCTGGAGACGCCACCTGTGCCTGCAGGTGAACTCACACCGGGCTGGCTGGGCCCGGGCCCGCTGCGGGGTGCTGCTGCAGCCGCTCTTCAAATCATGCCACGTGGAGGTGCCCCCACAGCAGCACTATGAGTGGTGCCTGTACGATGCCTGCGGGTGAGGAGGCGCCAACCTGGAGAGGGGTGGAGGTGGGGGTGCCAGGGTGTGAGGGTGCTGGGACTGAATGCTTCCTCCCACAGCTGCGACTCAGGGGGTGACTGTGAGTGCCTCTGCTCGGCCATTGCCACCTATGCAGACGAGTGCGCCCGGCATGGGCACCATGTGCGCTGGCGTAGCCAGGAGCTCTGCCGTGAGTGTGCCCCGCTCTCAGGCCCCGATGGTCAACCCTGCTGCAGGCTCAGCTTCTTGAAAGAGCTTCTCCTGTCCCATGAGGTGGCTGTTCATTCATTCAAGGTCGAGTTGAGCACTGAGTGCTCACTCTGTGCCAGACACTTTTCTAGATGAGCCCTATATGCAAGAACAGCAGCCAAGTAGAGCTGACATGGCACACATTGGCCCAGGAGGGTCTTGGGCAAGGTCTACACCAAACACCCTGTGCCCTCCATGGTGGTCACCTTGGCTGGCCAGCCAGCCTGGTGTGGCTACATCCTAGTGCCCTTGTGCCTCCGTGATCCAAGCCTCTCTTCTCTCCACCCAGCCCTGCAGTGTGAAGGGGGACAGGTGTATGAGGCCTGTGGCCCCACGTGTCCCCCCACCTGCCATGAGCACCATCCTGAGCCCGGGAGGCACTGCCAGGTGGTGGCCTGCGTGGAGGGTTGTTTCTGCCCCGAGGGGACTCTGTTGCATGGTGCGTAGAGTGAGAAAGGGTGGAGGGGAGGGGCACTGAGACTGGGAAGGGGCCACTGTGCCCTTTTACTCCGAGCCCTGTACTCTGTGACCTCAGGAGGAGCCTGCTTGGAGCCAGCTTCCTGCCCCTGTGAGTGGGGCAGCAACTCCTTCCCACCGGGGTCTGTGCTGCAGAAGGACTGTGGGAACTGGTGAGTGGGGGGGTCACCTGAAGTGGGGGACCTATAGAAGGGAGCCCTGGGCCAAGCCCAGCCTGTGGCTAATCCCAGGACACTGTGTACTCAGCACGTGCCAGGAAGGTCAGTGGCATTGTGGGGGTGATGGTGCCCACTGTGAAGAGCTGGTGTCTGGCTGTGCAGAGGGAGAGGTCATGTGCCAAGTGAGTGGGCACTGTGTGCCCCATGAGTGGCTTTGTGACAACCAGGACGACTGTGGCGATGGCTCTGACGAGGAGGGTGAGTGTCTGCCCATGTGTGGAAGCAACAGGGTGTGTCGGTACTTGCACATGGAAGTTTCCTGGGTCCGGGGGTGGCTTCCTTAGCTGCTGCTCCCATTGTCAGGGGCTATCTGTGACTTGAAGGGATGGGGGAAGGGAGGGTATTCTGGTCCCTCTGGGGTTGAGGGCTTCTCTGGGCCCCTCCAGCATCATCCTGAGCCTGCCTGCTTGCCCTGTGCTAGGTTGTGCCACCCCAGGCTGTGGGGAGGGGCAGATGGCTTGCAGGTCTGGTCACTGCCTGCCCCTGGACCTGCTCTGTGATGGCCGGGATGACTGTGGAGATGGCACGGATGAGCAGGGCTGCCCATGCCCACAGGGCTTGCTGGCCTGTGCTGATGGACGCTGCCTGCCCCCAGCCCTGCTCTGCGATGGGCATCCCGACTGTCTGGATGCCGCCGACGAGGAGTCCTGCCTGGGTGAGTTGTCCCGCCTGGGTGAGTTGTCCCTGCCCTGGACGCCAGCCTACCCAGCACCCTCTCCTGCAAGGCCCATCTCCTCATGAGCCCCGACTTCGTCTTACCTCTCCTCTGCCAGGTTCGTGCTATGAAGTTGGCCCTGAGGGTGTGGGAGTTTGGGCACTCCAAACAGTAAGAGTACAGGGCAGTGCCTGAGGGCCAGCTCTTCTTTTCTGGCTGCAGGGCAGGTGACCTGCGTCCCCGGGGAAGTGTCCTGTGTTGATGGCACCTGCCTGGGGGCCATACAGCTGTGTGACGGAATCTGGGACTGCCCAGATGGAGCCGATGAGGGGCCGGGACACTGCCCCCTCCCTTCTCTGCCCATGCCTCCTGCCGGCACGGTGCCAAGCCCCTCCCCTGGCTCCCTGGACACTATGCCACGTCCCCTGGCTAGCGCCAGCCCTGGTGAGTATCCTGGAGGGAAGGGGTGGGAAAGCTGGTGGCCGGAATCCTGGGGGAGAGGGCCGTAGGAGCCGTGGAGAGAGGCATTTGTGGCGCTGCTCTGGGATGGAAAGGAGCAGGGCACAGCGGGAGACTCCCGAAAACCCTGGAACGAATGAAGTGGAGGGCGTTTGAAAGAGTCCACGCGATTTCCCGGCGTTCGAGGCCTCCCTCCCAGCTGCAGGGAGTCGCGTGGAAATTCTTGGCCCAGAGGAGAGCTTTGGGAAAACCAACAGGGCAGCAACATGCAGGAGGGATTGTTCTTGGGAAGGGGCTGCAGGTGGGTTAGGGCGGGGGCCCAGGAAAGGGCCGAGGGACTTGGAGCAGGGAGGGGAGCGGTGGTGGAGGCGGAAGGGCGAGGCGGGCCTGGGCGCGATTGGAGGCGGGAAGGTGCTCACCCGCTGAGGGTCCAGCGCGGACGCACCCCGCAGCGCCGCCCTGCGGCCCCTTCGAGTTTCCGTGCGGCAGTGGCGAGTGCACCCCGCTGGGCTGGCGCTGCGACCAGGAGGAGGACTGCGCTGACGGCAGCGACGAGCGCGACTGCGGAGGGCCATGCGCGCCGCACCTGGCGCCCTGCGCCCGCGGCCCGCACTGCGTGTCCCCCGAGCAGCTGTGCGACGGCGTGTGGCAGTGTCCCGACGGCTCGGACGAGGGCCCCGACGCCTGCGGTGAGGCTTCCGCGCCCCCGCTCGTGCGCCCCCCACCCCCCGCTGGCCAAGCAGGGACCCCACCTCTCCCGGAGCACCTGGGCGCGGGCGCGGCAGCTAGAACGATGTAGGCTTGGGGGCATCCGAGGCTGGGCCACGTTTGTGTTCCTTTGATCTTTTGCGTGAAACTTTATTTGAAAACTTTTTGCTCTCCTACCTAAGCCCAGGGGAGAGAAGAAAGGGGCTTTTGTCTTTGCCCACACTTGGGCAAGAAGGGATAAGAGAGTGGGCAGAGGCTCTGCCGGGGTGGGGAGTGGATCTGTTTGGAGGGGTCCTGGCCCTCAGCGTTTTCCCACCAGACCTGAGCATACCCTTTGTGTCCCTGCAAGCCAGCCCTGGGGTCCTGCCTACCTCCCCCTAGAGGGAGCTGTCCAGAGGCCCCAGCTCCTCCCAGGCTGGCCTGCCCAGCTGCCTTCCACCGGCCTTCCTGCCCCTCTGCAGGGAGGGGGCAGGAGGGGGCAGGAGGGGACAGGAGTTAGCAGGACACTTCTCGTGGTGCCCGCAGGCTCCACCCAGTTGCCTCCGTGCCCTGGCCTCTTTCCCTGTGGTGTGGCTCCAGGGTTGTGCCTGACCCCCAAGCAACTCTGCGATGGGATCCCAGACTGTCCCCAGGGTGAGGACGAGCTGGACTGTGGTAAGGATGCTGTTCCTTGAGGGAGGCCCGGCTGGCTGGCCCCAGGCCCCAGTTCGCACCCCCTGCTCACTGTGTCTTTTCTCCTCTTCTTCCCCAGGGGGCCTGCCAGCCCCAGGAGGCCCCAACAGGACAGGGCTTCCTTGCCCAGAATACACCTGCCCCAATGGCACCTGCATAGGCTTCCAGCTGGTGAGGGTGGGACTAGGTGGTGGAGGTGGCAGCACCATAGTGCCCCCCAGCACGGGAGCCCTGACCCCACTCCCTCCCCAGGTGTGTGACGGGCAGCCTGACTGTGGAGGGCCAGGGCAGGCGGGCTCCTCTCCAGAAGAGCAGGGTTGTGGGGCCTGGGGCCCCTGGAGCCCGTGGGGAACCTGCAGCCACACATGCGGGCCGGGGGTGCAGGCCCGGAGCCGCCGCTGCACCCCACCCGGCCTCATGGTGCTGCAGCACTGCCCAGGGCCGGAGCAGCAGTCTCAGGCCTGCTTTATGGCAGCCTGCCCAGGTGAGGGGCTGGGGCAGTGGCGCCTGGGTAGAGGAAGGGAGAAGGAGGTCACTAGGCCTTCAGCCCTCCCCCATGGTCCCCCCCATCCCCCCATCCCCCTGCTTCACAGTGGATGGTGAATGGAGCGCCTGGTCCCCCTGGTCTCTGTGCTCTGAGCCGTGCAAGGGCACCATAACACGGCAGCGGCAGTGCCACCCACCCCAGAACGGAGGCCTCACCTGTGCCGCACTGCCCGGAGGCCCGCACAGCACCCGCCAGACCAGTGAGTGGAAGAGAGGACCGCCCTGCTGGTGGGAGGCCATCCCCTCCACAGAGCTCCTTCCCTGACCTCTGACTTCCGCTTCCGGCTTCTCTCAGAGCCTTGCCCTCAGGACGGCTGCCTCAATGCCACCTGCTCTGGGGAGCTGGTGTTCCGGCCCTGTGCCCCCTGCCCCCTGACCTGTGATGACATCTCTGGTCAGGTCGTGTGCCCATCTGACCGGCCCTGCGGCAGCCCAGGTAAGGGGGCTCTGGGTCCCGGCTCTGGGTCCACGTGGAGGGTCTATGGCAACTGAGCTCTCTGCATGGAAGCCTCACCCTGGACCTCCTCTAGGCTGCTGGTGCCCAGAAGGGCAGGTGCTGGGCAGCGAGGGGTGGTGTGTGTGGCCCCGGCAGTGCCCCTGCCGGGTGGATGGCGCCCACTACTGGCCTGGGCAGCGCATCAAGGCCGACTGCCAGCTCTGCATCTGCCAAGACGGGCGGCCCCGGCGCTGCCGACTCAACCCAGACTGTGCTGGTGAGGCCCTTCCCTCGGGGTCCCTAGTCCCCTCCCTGGGCTGCCTGGCTGCGCATCCGCCACCTCCTGCAGGCCCTGACTCTTGGCCTTCCCTCAGTGCACTGCGGTTGGTCCTCCTGGTCACCCTGGGCTGAGTGCCTGGGCCCCTGTGGAAGCCAGAGCATCCAGTGGTCCTTCCGGAGCCCTAACAACCCCCGCCCCTCTGGCCGAGGTCACCAGTGCCGTGGCATCCACCGCAAGGCACGCAGGTGCTCTGTCCCCACCTATGGGGGGACCTGCAGGGACCTTGACCCGCACCCCACCTCCCACTTAGGGAGCTTCCTTCCTGCCCCCTCCACATGCACCACACACACCCCCAGTTCAGAACCCCTGCCGTGTTCCTCTACCTGTCTAAACCCCAGGAGTCCCAGCACCTCTTTGGGGAGCCCTGAGCTCCTTCTTTAGTTTTATACCCTCTGGGTTCTGAAGGTGGCTGGACAGAGCCCATAGCTGCAGCTTGACAAACTCAGCTTGAATTCCTGGGCTGAGGCTTGCAGGGGGCTGTTGCCATATCTGCCTCCCCAGCCCCCTCTGGGACCTGCTCCCTGGCTGCAGTTCTAGCCCAAATTACTTCCCTGGCCTTCTGGGCCAGTTGCAGTGCCTCAGGTGCAGGGGCAGAGTGGACTTATAGGGTGGCCAAATGTCCCAGTTTGCCCAGGACTTTCTCAGTTTTATCACAGAAAGTCCCAAGTCCTGGGAATGCCATCAATACAGGCAAACCAGGAGGGTTGCTGACCCTCAGCAAGCCCCTCACCAGGCCAGGGCCACCCCTCCCTTCTCAGGTGCCAGACGGAGCCCTGTGAGGGATGTGAGCACCGGGGCCAGGTCCACCGTGTCGGGGAACGCTGGCGTGGGGGCCCCTGCAGGGTGTGCCAGTGTCTGCACAACCTCACCACACGCTGCTCAACCTACTGCCCACTGGGCGGCTGTCCCCAGGTGAGGGCAGTGGGGTGTGTGGTGGGCAGAGCCAGAGGGCGTGTGGAGGCCGGGAGAGTGGGTTGGGGATGGGCAGGCGCCCTGACCTCCGCGCCTCCACAGGGCTGGGTCTTGGTGGAGGGGACAGGAGAATCATGCTGCCACTGTGCCCTACCTGGTGAGTGTGCCTGGGAAGTGTCAGAGAAGCCCCAGGGAGGAAGATCAAACGGTGGAGTCTCAGAGGGAACCAGGGGCACTGAGCGTGGGTGGCGGGAAGCCCGAGTTCTGCATGCTGAGGGAAGTGGGGGCCATCAGGTGGGAAGGCTCCTCTCTGCCCTCCCTCTCCGCCCACCTCCCTGTGCTCTGGGAGCTTTCTGTCCCCCATGCTGCCACCTTGAGGTGCCCTCTTTCCTCTGGTTCTGCTCGGCCAGGTCTGGTTGCTTTGCTTTTCCCCTCAGAGCAGCCAAGATGTTAAGTTGGACTTTGCAAAGTGTCTTTGACTGGAAATGAGTTATAAATGAAACAGGAAAATGCAAAGACTTGAAACAGATGCATTTATGGGTCCAGCTTTCTTCCTTTTTTTCTTTGAAACAGGGTCTTGCTCTGACGCCCAGGCTGGAGTGCAATGGTGTGATCTCAATGCACTGCAACCTCTGCCTCCCCGCTTCAAGCGATTCTTGTGCCTCAGCGTCCCGAGTAGCTGGGGCTAGATGTGTGCCACCATGCCCAGCTAATTTTCATATTTTTAGTAGAGAGAGTTTCGCCATGTTGACCAGGCTGCAGCTTTCTTGTCCTAAAAGTGCCTCTGCAGGTTGCGGAGGTGAAAACAGAGCCAGCATGCTCGGTTGCACATGTTGCTCACTGTGCAAGTTAACTGCTGATTGGGGCCTGGACTTCAGCCCCCAGAGCTGCTTCCATGCTGAGGCAGCCCCTTTCTGACACCCACAAAGGTGTCTTTTTGGTGACAGCATCCCTGGATGAGGAACTGCAGTTGCTGGGTCCTGGGCCTGAAGTCATTCCACCCCGGCAGTTTTACTCTATGTTCTCTAAATGTTTGGTGGAAGTGAAAGCCCCCAATTCACACCAAGGGAAGGAGGAGGGACCTTTCCAAGCTAGGAGGTTGCTCCTGGGAAGTCAGCATTGAGAAAGTGCTCTAGGAGGAAGGGAAAGGCCTGAGTGCTGGCCAAGATCTGTGAGCCTCTCAGTCTCTCCCTCCTGACCCTGAAGTCTCCTCCCACTGTAGAGAACCGGACAGTCCAGCCCATGGCCACTCCCACCGCAGCTCCGGTCCTCAGTCCCCAGATCGGATTCCGTTTGGCCACTTACATTCTGCCTCCACTGGGAGGTAAGAGCCACGTGCTGTGCAGTGCGGTGCTGAGAGGGGCCACACTGCCCAGGGGTTGTCCAACCTGGGAGGGGAACAGGACCTTGGGGACATCCTACTTGCCCTTCAAACAGTGGATGGCCATCCTAAGGATCTGGAAGTCATCTCGTCTTAAGTTGCCTCTCTCTATTCTTCCCTCCCTGGGTCAAGGTCACCTGTGTGGGTCTTTCACATCCCCCAGGTCCCCATGTGACTTCCTAACCATGTCCCTGCAGGCTCCTGCCACCCTCTGTCTTCCCCTGCTCCAGCCTCTCTCTCTTCCGCACCCAGACCCCTGCTATTCTCCTCTGGGGCTGGCCAGACTGGCCAAGGGGAGTCTGCATGCATCGTCCCAGCAGCTGGAACACCCCACATGGGCTGTCCTCCTGGGGGCTCCCACCCAGCGGCCCGGCCCTCAGGGATGGCGCCCTGGAGAGGATGCTTATGCCAAGTGGCACACCCAGCCCCATTTCCTGCAGCTGGACCTGTTTCGGCCCCGGAACCTCACTGGTCAGTGAGGGGGCAGTGCTTGAGGGGAAGGCAGTGGTGAGTGGGGGTGGGTGGCGCTTCTTGAGCTCTGACCTCTGCTCTTGCCCTGGCCCCTCCCCAGGCATCATAGTGCCAGAGACTGGCTCCTCCAACGCTTCTGCCACCAGCTTCTCACTCCAGTTCAGCAGCAGTGGTCTACACTGGCATGACTATCATGACATCCTGCCTGGCATCTTGCCCCTGCCCAAGGTACTACCCACCCAAGGCCCACGGGGCCAGTGGCTCACCATACCCTTTTGCAGGTTCCATAGTCTCTGTCCCCAAGGGCCTTCCAGTCTCCCCAGGGGCATTTCCTGCATTCGATGCTGGTTGAGCACCTGGGGAGTAGCTGGGACTGTGCTCTGCGGAGCCGAGGCTTAGGCGCCAGTGTCACATGGATGCTGGAAACCTTCCAAGTGGCTCAGACTCGGGACAGGTATGTGAGGTCCACAAGGGAGAAAGGGTGAGGAGACGCCAAGTTTACAGAGGGCCTCTAGGAGTCCAGAACCAGACAGGTCTTTGTGGAGAGCACCCTGGGCACAGCCCTGCCCTCAGGGAGTTTGTATCCTTCCCCGAGACAAACCGATGCGTCCTGTGAAGCAGCAGGCATCAGTCCATGCTGTGTGTTAAGTCTTAACTATTTCAGGAGCACCTGCTCTGTTCCAGGTGCTGGGCCAGGCCCTGGGGACACAGCAGTGAACAGGACCTGGCCCCTGCCCTGGGGGCACCTCCAGCCCTTCAGGAGGAACTCCGTCTGGGACCAGCCCCTCCAGCCTTGAAAGACCCAAATGCCTACTGCCAGGGTGGGGGGCATGGCTCTGGGAGGGGCCATGAAAGCTAGGGGAAAAGTGGCGTCACTCAGAAAGTCACAGGGTCAGCCTGAGCAAGACGTGGAGCTCCGTCAGCAGCATCCTCTGCTGGCAGCTTCTCCCCAGAAACTGGGACAACCTGGACCCCACCGTATGGACCTTCGGCCGGATGGTGGAGGCGAGGTTTGTCAGGGTTCGGCCCCATGATGACCACCACAGCAATGTCCCCCTGCCGGTGGAGCTACTGGGCTGCGAGCCAGGTACAGGTGGCTCAGGGGTGGGTGGGGCAGGAGAAAGAGGGCTCACAGCTGGAGCCCTCAGCCATATGTACCCCATGCAGGGTCTCCGCTGGCACCTCCGTGCCCAGGGGTTGGGCTCCGCTGTGCCAGTGGTGAGTGTGCCCTGAGAGGGGGCCCGTGCAATGGAGTTTTGGACTGTGAGGATGGCTCAGACGAGGAGGGCTGTGTGCTGCCATCTGAGGGCACTAGCAGGTATGCTGTGCCCAGCTGTGCCGCTCACACCCTTGGCCTGGCCTTCCAGGGGACAGCCATGTGGGAGGGGCCAGGCATTGCCTTCACCCCCAGGTGCCCAGACTCTGTGTGCCGAGGAGCTGCAGCCAGGTGCCTTCGAGGCCCTGTCTCGCCTGGATTCTGTGATTCCCTGCCTTTCTCATAGTTGATTCAGGGGTTCTCCAAGTGTGGACCCTGGACCAGCATCCTTGGCAGCACCTGGAGCTTGTTAGAAGCACAGGTTCTTGAGCCGCCCAGGTCTGCAGGGGTGGGGCGCAGTAATGTGCGTCTTACAAGCCCCCCAGGAGATTCTAACCCACAGTCAAGTTGGAAGCCACTGTTGGGAGGAACATCATCTTGGTCCAGCCTCGGCGGACAGAGTCCTTCCTGAATGCCCAGCCCAGCAAAACCCCCAAGCCTGACCAGAGAACACCGATGCCCCTGCCTGGATGGGGACACTGGCACTGGGAGGGCCTCTAGAGCCCTTTTGGCTATTTTTCTCCCCAGAGTCCATTCCACAGCCAAGACCCTGGCCCTCTCCTCCACCCAGCCAGGGCAGCTGCCGCACTGGCCCAGGGAGGTGAGTGCAGAGCTTTGGACTGGGAAGGTGGAGTGAGGTGATAGGGACCCCGCTTCATGGCCTCACCAGCCCTGCTCCTGCGCCGGCCGTGGCATCTCCCCTCTCTGCAGCATTTCTGCCTGTGCGTTCCCTGGTGCTGCTCTCAGCCAGGCCCTCAGGAGCCTCCCCAGTGCCATGCAGAGGGCTGGGAGCTGGGGCGACACAGGCACAGACGTGCAAGCAGAGCAAGGGCCTAGAGGGATTTGGGGACAAGAGAGGCCTGCACCCCTGGTAGGGAGCTTATGCCCACGGGGCAGGTACCAGAGCATCTGGTGCTCAGAGCCGAAAAGAGCACTATGCCCAGGTCCCCAGGGGCTTCCTGGACAAGACTTGAGGGATGGAGAGGGGGGCCTGTAGTGTGGAGAAGATGGGGCGGAGAACCTTCCCACCTGGAACGGCCTGGTCAGGAACCTAGAATGTGAGGGTGGGGTAGGAGGTGGAGGGAACACGTGCATTGAGTGTGGGGAAGGGGAGTTTGGGGGCAAGAGCCAAAATAGATTGCCCTGGTGGGCTGGTGAGAAAAAGGTCCCTGAGCTCCTGGAGGGCAGTGGGCTGGTGCCTGGAGGTGCAATCGCATTCTCAGCTCTGCACTGGGCTGTGGGGAGGAAGGTGGACAGGAGGCAGTGCTGGGACTGTGAGCACCCAGGCTGCATCCTCAGTGGACGGGAGCTGCCCTCGGGGCCTGGAACTGTGTGGGGTGCTGAGCCGTCTCCCTCCGCAGGGACTGGCAGAGACTGAGCACTGGCCTCCCGGGCAGGAGTCCACAGCCCCAACAGGTGTGTGCACAGACTCCAGGCCCCTTCCCCAAACCCTTGTCCCACCTGTTCTTCCAGAGCCAGAGCAGTTACAACTCAGGGGTTCAAATCCCCTGACCCCTGACTTCCCCACAACCACAGGCTTGTCTCAGGGAGGAGACACTGGTCACTTTGGACATGGCCAGGTCCTGCCCCTGCCCGCCGCTTGGGATTCCAAAGATATGAGGGCTGTAGGTCTTCGGGGCAGGTGGCTCCAGGCCAGCTCTCAGGACTGAGCCTGTGCTCTGCCATGTGGCTGCCTCCCCAGAGGCCTGGTCAGGACAGGTCTCCCCCATGGGAGTGGGAGGCTACCTGGTCCAGCCCACACTCCCTCTGCTCACCATCCATGCAGCCAGGCCCTCCTTTCTGAAGCGTTTGCTGGCAGCAGATGTCTCTTAAGTGGGCAAGAGGGTTGGATGCCATCACCAAGTTAGCATGCTCCTATGTCAGATAAGGCAGGGGTTCTGCCTGGTCATGAACCAGCCTCCCTTGAGCTACCTGGAGCTAGCCGATCATTCACCTGCCTGTTAGCCAGGAGAGAGCTGCCTCCTGGAGGGCCTGCCCTGTGGGGATTGGAGGTGGTAAGAGGGCTTTAGTGTAGGGGGGGTTTCTGCCCTCATTTCTAGCTCCTAAGGGAAGGACCTGGGTGAGGCTTGGGGCAGCAGGGGCTGGAGAGAAAGGAGGGTGAGGATGCCAGAGTTGCTCTTTCCTTCCAGCTGGCCCTCCCCTGGGCCTCACTATGCCACCTGCTTTTCCCCATCTGTGACACTAGGAGAACTTATAGACAACTTCCGTGGCCCCTCCCTGTGAGTGCTGATGAAAGTTATTCAGAAGCCTGGCCGGACTGTTTCTGTGTCTTGTAAAAAAGCAGACAAAGCAATTGATGCCACCCCTCAGATCCATAACATGCGGACCCATGGGACACATTCTGATTTCATTCTAAGTCTGGTTCTAGCAAAAAAAGAAAAAGAAAAAGAAAAAAAAGGCTGTCTTTGACCGAGTCTCTTGCCAGAAAATGAAACTCTAAACCGTTTTCACTGCAGCTGCCAGGAAGCCCAAAATCAGTTTTTTGTCATTGTCATTATTTGTTTGGTTGTTTGCTTACGACAGAAGCAATGAACTCTTCCTGAGTCTCTGGTAGCGTTGACTCCTGCTGCTGCTGTGTTAAAACAACCTCAGTTCTTTTTCTCCCTAAAGACCTTGTTTTATAGGGTTTGAACTTGGAAGTTGCCATGTGTTTCTTCTTGGGAGTAGAATAAAATCTCAGATCAAAACAAGTCTTCTACTTTCAGCCAAAGCTCTTCTTGTGCTCCTCTCAGAAAGTGGGGTGTGGTCTGTAGTACCTGTGATTACTCTGCACCACCCAGAACCCTGGGATACCCTCCTGAGGACCCACGGCTTCCTTTTCTAGGAAGGGGAGCTGGGCAAGCCTCACTTCCCTGCACCTCCACCCACAGAGACAAGGCCCGTGAGTCCTGGCCCAGCCTTCAGAGTGCCTGACCATGGGGAATCCATGCAGACAGTGACCACCACCCCCGTGTCCCAGATGGAGGCCAGGACCCTGCCACCAGGAATGGCAGCTGTGACGATTCTGCCCCCACCCGCAGTGACTCCAGTGACCCCTGCTGGTAAGATGCCAACCCCTTCTACCTGTGTGCAAAGGCTCTGTGAGCCTACCTTCCCTGTGAGGGGGACAGAGGCCTTTGTTCAAGGTCACACAGCTCAAGGTCATTTTGGGGAGGACCCAAGCTTCCTAGCCCAGTTTACCCTTTCTCTATTATCCCAGGATAGGCAGAATGGGGCACAGAAGATGTCAAGAGGAGCGAGGTTGGGGGCTTCGGGGAGGTGACAAAGGAGAAAGGGCAGGGCAGGCTGAGTGACTGGTCAGCTGGTGGTGGTGTGCCCACAGGCCAGAGCGTCGCCCCAGGGCCCTTCCCACCTGTGCAGTGTGGCCCCGGCCAGATGCCCTGCGAGGTGCTGGGCTGCGTGGAACAGGTGCAGGTGTGTGATGGCAGGGAGGATTGCCTCGACGGCTCCGATGAGAGGCACTGTGGTGAGCTCCCAGAGGGCCTGCTGTCCTATAGGCAGGGGGTGGCAAGAGGATCTTCAGGGTAAGAAAGTCTCTGCCCCCATTTCTAGCTCATATTGAAAAGGCTCTGGGAGAGGCTTGGGCAGCAGGGATTGGAGAGAATGAGTAAAAGCAGGATTCTGTTTGTCTTTGGGGTTGGTCAATAGGGGGAATAGGATAGGCCTTGGGTCTCAGCCTGTTTTATGAAACCTGTTTGACCTTTGAAGAGACTCATCTACTCACTCACCCATTCAACAGTCTACCCACCCCTCTATCCATCTATCCATTTGTCTACCCACCCTTCCACACATTAACCCACCCATTCATCCATCCATCTACCTACCCCTCTAGTTATGTATTCTTCAGCCACCCATCATCTGTCTACCCACACATCCATCCATCCATCCATCCATCCATCCATCCATCCATCCATCCATCCATCCACCTATCCAGCTAGCTAGCCACCATGCATCTGTGCCCATCCATCCATCCATCTGTTCACCCATCCATCCATCAATCCATTCATCCATCCATCAGCCACCCATCTGTCTACCCACCCATCCATCGATCCACCCACCCATCAGCCAGCCACCATGCATCGATCTACCCATCCATCCATCAGTCCATTCATCCATCCTTCCATCCATCCATTCATTATCCACGAATTCATCCATCTAAATCCAACTACCTACCCCTCTATCCATGTATTCATCAGCCAGCCACCCATCCATTGAGCCACTCATTTGTCCATCTACCCATCAATTCACCTATCTATCCATCAATTCACCCATCCATCTGTCCATCAGCCACCCATCCATCCATCCATCCATCTACCCATCCATCCATTCATCCATCTCCCCACCCCTCTATCCATTCATCTATCAGCCACCCACCCACCCACCCATCCATCCATCCATCCATTCATCCATCTGACAACCACCCATGCATCTATCAGCCACTCATGCATTCATCCATCAATTCATCTACCCCCTGCTATTCATCCATTCATTAGCTACCCAGGCATCCATCTACTCACTCATCTACCCGTCCATTTATCCACCCATCCACCCATCCGTCTGTTCACTCACCTACCCATCCACCCATCCATTAAGCTACTCATCCACCCACCTACCCATCTATCCACCTATCCATCCATCTACCCACCCACATGTCCATCCATTCATTTATCCATCCATCCATCCAACCATCCATGCAAAGTAGATCACTATGACCAAAGCTTAGTCTTCCAAACATGGCAAAAGAAATCAAGTGTTAATCAGTCACAAGAAGCGCCCCCCCACCCGCCGCCGCCAGGGCGTATGCATTCAGGAAGAAGGTACCCAAGCATCTAGAATCTCTGTGTGAGAGTCTGTGTACACCAAAGGCTCCATGACCTCACCAACACATAGTGGAAGGAAGTCTGCTCTGGGCATGGCATGCAAGAGGCATCAGGAGGAAGTGAAGGCAAGGGCCTCTAGTCAGAAAGTTCATTTCAGCTTTTGGCCTGAGTTGAAGGGGCTGAGTGTATCGTCCAGCCAGGAATCTACTCTTGTGGCTCCCTTCTCTCCCTGCCTTGTGGACAGCAAGCACTGTGCCCTTCACCGTGCCCACCACAGCCCTGCCTGGGCTTCCAGCCTCAAGAGCCCTCTGTTCCCCGAGCCAGCTGAGCTGTGGCAGTGGGGAGTGTCTGTCTGCTGAGCGGCGCTGTGACCTGCGGCCCGACTGCCAGGACGGCTCTGATGAGGATGACTGTGGTATGTGCCAGCCGGGACAGGAGCAGCCCTGGGGGCCCTCTCCTGCATGAGCCACTCTGAGCCCTGGCCCCCATGACCCTGCAGTGGACTGCGTGCTGGCCCCCTGGTCTGGCTGGAGCACCTGCAGTCGCACCTGTGGCCTGGGCCTCACTTTCCAGCGCCAGGAGCTGCTGCGGCCTCCTCTACCAGGGGGCAGCTGCCCTCAAGACCGGTTCCGAAGCCAGTCTTGCTTCGTGCAGGCCTGCCCAGGTAACCCTGAACCCCAGCCTTCCTCAGGAAAGCCCCTGCTCCCAGAGGCGAATGGGGAAGACCCCTGCCCAGTCTCCTCAGGAAACTTAGGTGGGAAACCTGGGGTGGGTTTCTATCCGAGACCCTCCCAGCTGGCCCTACCTCTCTCTTCCTGCCTGAGTCGAGACTCAGGTTCTCGTGTATCTCCTGGGAATAACAGTCAATTTTGCCTCCGAAGGCACTGCAAGGATTCAGGGAGATGGTGTGTGAGGGTGTTTGAAGTGGCTATGCCACTTGTCCTTGGGCTGCATGCTGAAAACCTTGTCGCTCTTTTGTTCCTTTCATCTGAGGGAGGGGCCCCCACTCATCTCCGTGCTTGGCAGAGAGGGGATCCCCACACGGGGGCCTCCTCAGCCCCACCCTGGCTCCTCCCCGGCTGGGGTGGCCCTACAGTTGCCGCTGCCATCAGGGCAGCTCTCTCCAGGCTTCTGGTGGGCCCAGCCCCTTCCCAGGGAGCAGAGTTTTGTCCTGGGAGGCACCTGGAGCCCTTTCCCCAGGCACCTGCCTCCTATGGGAAGTTTCCTGGGACAGAAGAGGAGCTGTGGAGTGCCCAGGGGAGAGCCCTTGGCTGCTTTGCTGGCCACTGCCCAGGCCTGGGGAGGCAGGGAGTCCTGGCTACGGCCACTCTCTCATAGCCTGTGTCTCCTGGGCCTCTCCTGGTAGAACCATGTCCTTCCTTCCCCAACAGTGGCTGGGGCATGGGCCATGTGGGAGGCCTGGGGACCCTGCAGCGCCTCCTGCGGGGGTGGCCATCAGAGTCGCCGGAGGAGCTGTGTGGACCCCCCACCCAAGAATGGTGGTGCCCCCTGCCCTGGGCCCTCCCAAGAGAGGGCACCCTGCGGCCTGCAACCCTGCTCAGGCAGCACAGGTAATGGGAAGCTGGGCTGGGGGCAGGGAGAGGTTGGGCCTCCCAGCACCCATGCTCACCTGGCACCCACCTCCCAGCAGACTGCGAGCTGGGCCGTGTGTATGTGAGTGCTGATCTGTGCCAGAAGGGGCTGGTGCCCCCATGCCCACCCTCCTGCCTGGATCCCAAGGCCAACAGAAGCTGCAGTGGGCACTGTGTGGCAGGTGAGGTAGACCTGGCCTGCAGGGGGAGTGTGGGGAGACCACCAGGCCCACTGGCTCCCAGTCTCCAGCTTCCCCTCCCTGCTGTGCCCCTTGGGGCTGAGTGCCCTCTTCCACACCCTCCCAGGATGCCGCTGCCCCCCAGGGCTCCTCCTGCATGACACTCGCTGTCTGCCTCTCTCTGAGTGCCCCTGCCTGGTGGGTGAAGAGCTGAAGTGGCCAGGAGTGTCCTTCCTCCTGGCCAACTGCAGCCAATGGTGAGGGCGGCTGCGCCAGGGAGGGCACAGTGCTGGGGGTCTCCCCAGCCCTGACCAATTCCTCGCCTATCCCTCCCCTGCAGCATGTGTGAGAAGGGGGATTTGCTGTGCCAGCCAGGGGGCTGCCCCCTGGCCTGTGGCTGGTCTGCCTGGTCCTCCTGGACTCCCTGCGACCACTCCTGTGGCTCTGGAGTGAGGGCCAGGTTCAGGTGTGTGATGACGGGGTGGGCCCAGTGTGAGAAGGAGTGCTGGGGGCAGGGAGGGAGGATCCAGGCCAGCCCTGAGGGGGCGGGAGGGGATAGATGGTGGACAGGGGCTGAAGGATGAGAAGGCAGGAGTGAGGGTGGGGAGAGAGCAGAGAAGGTGCTCAGGGCTGCCTCTCTCCCCAGGTCTCCCTCCAACCCTCCGGCAGCCTGGGGGGGTGCCCCGTGTGAAGGCAACAGGCAGGAACTGCAGGGCTGCCATACAGAGTGTGGGACAGGTATAGCTGGGAGCCCCGGGCATAGGAGCTCCTTCCTCCTCCCAGTTCTGTGCCCTGAGAACACATGGGATGGGACCCACTGACCACTATGTGGGGGATTGGTAATGCCTCTGAAGTCTGAGAGGCAGTCCTTGAATTGGCCTTGGCAGAGGGGGCTTTGACAGGAGAGGCAGAGGCTTCCGCCCAGACTGCCTTGGTGCCAGGAGGAGGCTGGCCTGGACAGAGCAGGCAACTGCAGAGCCAGTCAAGAGAGGCGAGGCTGGCTGGGTTGAGGGAGGCTGGCAGCAGCATTTAGAGGCCAGATGAAGGTGCCAGGTGGTTTCCCTCTTTCCATGCACCGGGTGCTCCTCAGGCCGTGCCTATGCTAGTGGAGGTCTCCGTAGAGCAGGCTGAGCCTCGCTGGTGTGCAGGGCAATGGGACAAGGTGGGTAAGGGAGAGGTGGCGAAGGGGAAGGAAGAGAGGCAGGGTGCATCCAGGAGGTCTGGGCCAGGCTCTTGCAGTAGGAGGGAAAGAGGGGCCAGTGGGGAGTGGCTGGTGGGACAGTGACAGTGTCCGCAGGGACTCTGAAGCTTCCAGCATAGAAGGATCAGGAAGCATTATCTGGGGGAGACCCAGGATTGGTGGTGGTCCTGCTGAGGCGCTGGCCAAGTCCAGGAGAGAGGTGTGGAAACGTACCTGGGCCCAGGTTCGCAGGAGGCTCTGTGCCGGGCTCCTAAGAGTGAGGAGTGGGGCTGGAGGCCAGGTGCAGTGGTCAAGATGGGAGGATTGCTTAAGGCCAGGAGTTTAAGACCAGCCTGGGCAACATAGAGAGACCCCATCTCTAAAAAATTAAAAATTAAAATGTAGCTGGGCATGGTGGCGCATGCCCATGGTCCCAGCTCCTTGGGAGGCTGAGATGGGAGACCACTGAGCTTAGGAGGTAGGGGCTGCAGCACGCTATGAGCACCCCACTGCATTCCAGCTGACAGATCCTGTCCCAACCCCCCAAAAAGCAGAAAACAAGGTGGGGCTGAAGAGTGGGGGTCCCAGCAAGTGAGCTGAGAAGGGGCAGAGGCTGCACCGAGTCCAGAGCAGCCTCCCTCCTCCTTGTGAGCCCTCTCCTGCCCCCTGGTTTCTCTGACCTCACCCAGGCTCTCCAACCCTCCCCAGCCCTGCCAGGAAATGCCTTTGCACAAATGGCTTGTCCTGTCCCCCTCCGCAGAGGTGCTGGGCTGGACGCCCTGGACTTCCTGGTCCTCCTGCTCCCAGAGCTGCCTTGCTCCCGGAGGGCGCCCTGGCTGGCGCAGTCGTTCCCGACTCTGCTCCAGCCCTGGGGACACATCCTGCCCAGGAGACGCCACCCAGGAGGAGCCCTGCAGCCCCCCTGTATGCCCAGGTATTCCCCCTTGGGCCCAGGTGTGGCTTGGACATGGGGGAGGGATGAGGAGCAAAGACGAATGCCCCCTTGAGCCAGTTCTAAACACCTGGGAGGGTCCAAGGGTTGGAGCAAACCTGGTTGTTGTCCTTAAGCCTCTCCCTGCCACAGCATCGCCCAGTAAGCCAGCCTGAGTAGTAGATGTTGGTGGGGGCTGGAGGCTGCAGTTAAGATTCCTCAAGCCACACAGCTCCAGACCCACCATGCGCTATCCCGGCCTGTCTTTGCCTACAACCCTGGACTTGGTTCTTCCGGCAGTGCCAAGCGTCTGGGGTCTGTGGGCCCCCTGGTCCACCTGCTCAGCTCCCTGTGATGGTGGCATCCAGACACGCGGGCGCAGCTGCTCCAGCACGACTCCGGGAGACACCGCTTGCCCAGGACCCCACAGTCAGACCAGGGACTGCAATACGCAGCCCTGCACAGGTACCAGATTCCCTGCCTGTTGTCCAGCGGGTCTCCTTGGCCCAGCTCCTGGGGACTTTGACCTTTTCCCCACCCTCACCTTCACTTGTCACTGCCCTCTGACTACAGGCCAGATGACGTCTACAGCTAAGGGAGCCTGGGATTTCCTGTGTCTCCTCTAGCTCCCTGCCTCTCCTGCCTGCCGCTGGCGGGAAACAGGTCCCAGCAGCTATCACCCCTCAGGCTCTTCGCTCTTTCCCATGTTATGCATGTCACTTGCATAAAGAAACCACCAGGCAGGCTTCGTGTGGGCAATGAGGCCGTTTTATTTAGAGCTTGGGTGCAAGTGGGCCAAGTCCGAGAAGGGAGTTAGGAGAAGGGAGTAGGAAAGGGGACTGGTTATACAGGTTGGGGCAAATGGTCAGTTAAAGGTGGGCATCTATTTTAGGGAAGAGGAGGGTGTCACGGGGAGCATGGTTATCTATTACAAACAGGCATAGTCATAAGGGTGGGGTTATTGGTTGCAAGCAGGGGGGAGGATGCAGTAAGTTACATAGTTACTGGGGTGGGGGTTTTGAGAAACCTCATGTCTGGGGGGAATTCTTGCAAGGCTGGGCAGGAACAATGGTTGGAGGTTGCAGGGGGAGAGCAATCAGTTGAGGCTGGAGCTACTTGTTTCACTTCTCTTTATGGGCATCTGGTTACTTCAGACTTTCTGGTTCCTGGAGACCATCCAGAGGTGTACAGGCAGGTCACCAAGGCTATAAGGGCCAGGGTTGGACTTGGAGGCCTGACACTCTGGTGGAAGCAAGCCTCCTTCCCCAGAGAACAGGCTCTTCATAGGAGTCAGACGGGGCTTCCTCAGGGCAGAACACACTCAGGGCCAGAATCATGGGGGAGCAGAGCTCACACTTTGAAGCCCCTGGCCCCTTCCTCACTCTCCCTTGTCTTCTGAGCGCTCCTCCTATCCCAGATGACTAGAGTCCTCATGATCTATTCTCAAGAATATTTGTATTAAAGTGGATCAAAGCCGTGACTGTGTACTGGTGCCATCCCAGACATTGGAGCAAAGCCGTGAGGGTAGGGGCAGGAGGGATGGCTTCTCGGGCACAGTCCCTCCTGGCAGGCTGCCACCACATGCCCGGCTTGCAAGTTCCCTTCTGCCCTCTGCCTCCCTTCCCTTCCCTCCCCTCCTGCCCCTGCTGAGACCTGCTTTGTCTTCCTATCCAGCCCAGTGCCCAGAGAACATGGTGTTCCGCTCAGCAGAGCAGTGTCGCCAGGAGGGGGGTCCTTGCCCTCGGCTGTGCCTGACGCAGGGCCCCGGGATAGAGTGTACAGGCTTCTGTGCCCCTGGCTGCACCTGCCCCCCTGGTCTCTTCCTACACAACGCTAGCTGCCTGCCCCGCAGTCAGTGCCCCTGCCAGCTGCATGGGCAGCTCTATGCACCAGGAGCGATGGCTCGCCTAGACTCCTGCAACAACTGGTGGGTCACAGCATGGGGGCAGGGGAGGGGAGGGGCCAGGGCTCTAGAGGTGGGCAGGCATGGACTCCCTTTCACACACACACTTCGTGGAGGGTACTCCGTTCCCCAAACACAACACAGCAGCCACAGGTGCCAGGCAGGGCCCTGGGAATACTGGAGTGAATGGTCATCCCCATTTGACTTATGGGAAGATTGGGTCTCAGATCGATGGAGAGATTTATGATAGAACTAGAGATGGGAGAGGGTCTTCTGCCTCTCATCACAGCTTTCTCTAGTTCTCTTTCCTGAATATAATTTCCTACCTGGGATCCACTTGATTTCTGCTCAGAAACATTCAAGTGCCCAGAACCTAAAGCTAACACCAGGATCTGCCAGCAGAGGGTGCTCTAAGCCATTTCCCTCTTCTTTTTTTTTTTTTTTTTGAGATGGAGTCTCGCTCTGTCGCCCAGGCTGGAGTGCAGTGGTGTGATGTTGGCTCACTGCAACCTCCACCTCCTGGGTTCAAGCAATTCTCTTGCCTCAGCCTCCCTAGTAGCTGGGATTACAGGCGCCTACCACCATGCCTGGGTAATTTTTGTATTTTTAGTAGAGACAGGATTTCACCATGTTGGCCAAGCTGGTCTCCAACTCCTGACCTCAGATGATCCACCCACCTCAGCCTCCTGCCCCTCCTTCAATTTTCTCCTCCTTCCTTCTTCCTCCCTCCTGTCCTTTCTCACTGTTCATCTCTCCAGTCTTTTTCTGGGACCTCCAGTATTTAATAAACAGGCTTTAAAACACATATTGGAGAGAACAGCCAGTGTGGAAAAGGACCCAGTTTTCCCTTCTAGGAACTCTGGCTCTCTCTAAGTCCCTCCTACCTGGCCCTGGCCCTCGAGGTCATTTCCCAATAAATACAAATGGAACACTGGGACACAGGACAGAACAGTGCCTGGGCGTCAAGGGGCCCACTGAGAGTGCATCATGAACTTTTTGAGGGACACGGGCAGCAAGCTTCATGCCCCGGACCCTCGGATTTCTCTTCTGTGGTGGTCTCAGCTGCTTCCCCGGGGGCAGGGGCTGCCTGTGGCCATGATGGCCAGGTGGAGACTCACTGTCCCCTGTCCCTGCAGCACCTGTGTCTCTGGCGCAATGGCGTGCACCTCGGAGCACTGCCCAGGTACCCCCACACTTGGGGCACGGGAATTGGGTGGCTGTGGGTCCTCAGGGACCATAGGGGGTTTGGACCCCTTCTGAGATCAACTCCTGGGAGCTTGGTGGTGCCCAGGGAAGTCAGGGTATGAGAAGACTGACCTGGTTTCACACACACTGGCAGTGGCCTGTGGCTGGAGTCCCTGGACCCCATGGAGTCTCTGCAGCCGCAGCTGCAACGTGGGCATTCGGCGCCGCTTCCGCGCAGGCACCGCACCTCCAGCTGCCTTTGGGGGTGCTGAGTGCCAGGGCCCCTCCATGGAGGCTGAATTCTGCAGCCTGTGGCCATGTCGAGGTGAGAGCTAGGACTGAGGTCCTGAGACCTCCTTAAAGAACCTTCTAGAGAGAAGCCTAGAAGACTCCCATCACCCCCCACCCTGGACCTCCAGAGAAGTACAAGAGACTTCGCTAAGAGATGCCACTAAGAGGTGGTCCCCAGAGACTCCTTGAGGGTCTGTTCCCTAACAGAGGAAGTAGCCTCAGCTTCTCCCTAGAGGCCAGGCCCCTTCTAGGCAAATCCTGGAGCCCACTGAGCAGGTGTGAGGCGCCTTAGGGGATATGACACTGCAGGTGAAGGCCCAGGGGTGTCGGGGTGGGAGGAGGAGGAGATAGGGTGGCTATGGGAGGCAGGGCCTGCAGTGACCTGGGTGCCACCCCCAGGTCCTGGTGGGGAGTGGGGCCCTTGGTCTCTGTGCTCCGTGCCCTGTGGTGGCGGCTACAGGAACCGCACCCGCGGCAGTGGCCTGCACAGCCCTGTGGAGTTCTCCCCCTGTGGCCTGCAGCCCTGTGCAGGTAAGGGTTGCCCTGAGGACCCTACACTCTCATTCTCACCAACCCAGGGCACTGTCAAACCCGTCTGCCACCCTGGCTCAGCGCTGTCCCTCAGCCCTTGTGCAGCCCCCACGACCACCCCGGCCATACCCAGAGCTGGTGCCACTCTCAGGTTGGGAGGTCAGGGGAGAGCTGAGTGCTCTGGGGCAAGGCTGTCAATTTCTGTGTCTGCAGGGCCTGTGCCTGGCCTGTGTCCCAGGGGCAAGCAGTGGCTGGACTGTGCCCAGGGCCCTGCCTCCTGTGCAGAGCTCAGTGCCCCAAGAGGGACTAACCAGACCTGCCATCCTGGCTGCTACTGCCCCTCCGGGATGCTTCTGCTGGTGAGTGTCCCCCTGCCTGGCCCCAGCAGGGCTGCTGCAGAGCCTGGGGACCCTGGGGTGGCAAGGAAGGGACAGGCAGGACCTGGGCAGCGAAGAGCCAAGGGTATGGGGCTGGAGGCAGGGAGACCCTGCAAGGTTGAGGAAGGGCACTCAACTCATGGGTTACGATTCTGCTCTGGCAGGAACCAATGGGGGACCCTGGCAGGTCTCATCCCTCTCCCGACCTGTTTCCTCACTTGTGAAAATGGTGATCGCTCTGGAAGGTCTTTGTGAATGGTCCCTGCTCAAGTGCTCTGTCCACTGTGTTATCACCAGTTATTTATTGAGCACCTACTGTATGTTCAGTCTCTGGCTGAGCTACTCTGTGGAGAAGGAGCAGTCTCTGCCCTCAAGAAGCATCCAGTCTGGGGAAACCAGACCTGGGGCTCCTAGAATGAAGATAGAACCATCAGATGGGCAGGAAGTGAGCTTTGCACATTGCGGAGTGGGCTGGGTCAGTCATGGAGGGCTCCCTGTAGGAAGAGCCCTTGAACATCAGAGATTGGAGGGTGTGGAGTTCAAGTTCAGAACTTGAACATCAAAGATTGGAGGATGTGGAGAGCAGGGAGGCATGGAGGGCTTCCTGGAGGAAGTGGTTTTACACTTGAAGATCCAAGATTGGAGAGCAGAGAGGTGGCCACTCCAGTCAGAGGGTGGTGGGACTTGGGGGTAGGAAATGCCAGCTGCATTGTGGGATTGAACAAAGGGTGGCAGCCTCTGCTGAGCCGTGGGGTGTGGTTAAGGCATACGTTGTAAGCAAATCTGAGTCAAATCAGGCTCTTCTGCTAGTAGCTCTGTGAGCTTGGGGGGAGCATTCTCATGCCTCAGTCCCTTCCTTTGTAAAATTGGGGGAAAATTACAGCGAGTCATAGGAATCAGAGAGACGGTGCAGGAAAAGTGCTTCCCGGGGCCTGGTGCATAAACTTCAGTGCGTTTGACTTTGAACCGTGCGCCACTAAACGGCCATTTCTTTTAACTCTGAAGGACTTCTGTCCACGTCCCTGTGCACAGTGTTTTTCTGTTTTTATTTCATTGATGAAAATGTGATTTTTCCTATCTTTGCTGTACGAATGGCACAGTTCATGTCTTCATGGCTGACTTCTTAGGGATTTGACAGTTCAGTCTTATGTCTTGCAGTTTCAGATGGTCTTTTTCTCCTAGAACTTAGAGGGTCCATGCCCCCATGGCCCCCAAGCAGATGGTCTGTGTTTGCCTGGCGGGAGGGCGGTGGGGAGAGCTGCATGTCTGTGGAAAGAGGGCGGGTGGCTCTTAGGGGGAGCCTGAGGATGGCATGCTGGCTCTGATGAGGGCTGGGGAGGCCAGGCCCAGCCCATCTGGAAACAGAAGATGATAGAGGATTTTGATTCCAGAACAACGTGTGTGTGCCCACCCAGGACTGCCCCTGTGCCCACGAGGGGCACCTCCACCCCCCGGGCAGCACGGTGGTTCGTCCATGTGAAAACTGGTGAGACACTGCTCCCACCCCATTATGGCCCTGTGACCTCCAAGGACCCACTGTCCCTCCTCAGTGGCAGGGACCTTGGCTCCAGTTGTGGACAGAGACACATGGCCCCCCACCTCCAGCCCCTCTGAGCCTGCACCTGCCTGTATCCCTCCCCCCGTCCCCCACCTGTCTTCCCTCTCCCCTCCTGTATTAGCCTCCTGGGGCTGCTGCCACTGAGTGCCACACGCTGGGGGGCTTGAGCAGCAATCTTGGAAGCCTAGGCTCCAGGTGTTGGGGGTGGGCTCCTTCTGAGGGCTGCGCCGGAGACTGTTCAGGCCTCTCTCCTCTTCTTTTTCTTGCCAGAAATCCTTAGTGCTTCTTGGCTCATAGGTGGCCTTCTCCCTGTCTCTTCACGTCATCTTCCCACATTTTCTCTTCTTAGAAGGACACAATATGCATTAAAACTAGGGCCATCTCAGCAACCTCCTTTTAACTTGATCACCTCTCTGTAGACCTGATCTCCAGATAAGCTCCCATTCCCAGGGCGGGGGCTGAACATGAGGATCTGGGGTCACCATGCAGCTCATAGAGCACCCGACCCTCTGCTGCTCCCCCAGCTCCTGTGTCTCCGGGCTCATCGCCAACTGCAGCTCCTGGCCTTGTGCGGAGGGTAAGGAAATGTCCCCACTTCTGACTTGCACCCCGGGTCCCTCACCCCTCCGCTGCAGGAGTGGGCCAGGACTGAGAATGGGGGAGGAAGGCCATCAGGAGAGGCGGAGGGCAGGGGCACTGAGCTCCACCTGCAGCCTGCTCAGACTTCGCCTGTCCCCCTTCTGCCTGCCTGCCTCCCGGGCATCCCCTAGGTCAGCCCGCGTGGTCACCCTGGACCCCATGGAGCCAGTGCTCAGCCTCCTGCAGCCCTGCCCGACGCCATAGACACCGATTCTGTGCCAGGTCCCCCAGTGCAGCACCAGCCACCGTGGCTCTGCTGCCTCTGCCAACCACCCCCACACCTCTCTGCCCGGGGCCTGAGGCTGAGGAGGAGCCATGTGATCTGCCAGGGTGCGATGGTGAGTGCCTGCCTGCCCTCCCGCCTGCACCATCCTGGGGAGCCCAGGTGGTGCCCACTGTACCCTGTGGATGCTGCTGCCTTGTGCCAGTTGCCCCCAGCCCCAGCCAAGCTTCTCTCCACTCATTCCTCTGCTGTCTCCCCAGGAGCTGGGGGCTGGGGTCCGTGGGGGCCCTGGTCCCACTGTAGCCGGAGCTGTGGGGGAGGCCTGCGGAGCCGGACCCGGGCCTGTGACCAGCCCCCACCCCAAGGCCTGGGGGATTACTGCGAGGGGCCACGGGTCCAGGGGGAGGCCTGCCAGGCTCTGCCCTGCCCAGGTACCTGCCAGGGATGGGGGTGGGGATGAGGGACAGAGGAAGGGGAGATAGAGGTGCATTCCAGAGAGATAGGCCAGGGTGGATGACCCCATGCAGCTCTCAGCCCATCCTGTCTGCCCTCAGTGACCAACTGCACTGCTATTGAGGGGGCTGAGTTCAGCCCCTGTGGCCCTCCGTGCCCTCGCTCCTGTGATGACCTAGTGGTGAGTCCCAGCTCCCTTGGCACTGCCACCTGACCCAAGGGCTACTTTGTGGGAGGGCAGGATGTGGCTTTGGGCTCATGGCCTGGACAGCCTAGCATGGGAGGGCATGGGTGGGGGCCCTGGCTTCAGTTCACAGTGTATGCCAGGCCATCCCAGAGAGAGCCAGCTTCCCCCCAGAGGGAGCCAGCCTCGCCCACCAGCCTTGCCTGCCAGCCCTTGTCTGTAGATCGACATTTCTCAGATTAAAACTTTATGACAAAAATGGCATAAACAACAAAGGAAGGGGGCAATCATCTCTTGAATGCCATGAACATGTTGATATCCGGGCCTTGCTTGCGTCTGTGTATGGGTTGGGGAGTGGGTGTCCACTGTGTGCTCCCCGCCGCCCCGGGGAACCCGGGACACAGAGGGAAGCAAACACAGACAGGGTCGCCACGGAGCCCACATTCTGGGCTGAGCAAGACAGACGTGCATGAAGGAATGGATGTACCAGGGGCCGTGAGGAAAGAGGTGGGGCTTCCAGTGGTGTGTAGTGTGGAGGTGCTAAGGGAGGTGGGGAGAGGGAAGAGAAGGAGGTGGAGCTAGAAGAGGAGATGAGAAGGTGGTTGCCTGCCTTGCTTGCTCCCCCCCAGCTCCTTCCCAAACTGCCCCTCACCCAGCCAGCTTCCAAGTTCTAGAGAGGTCTGGGGCATGCCCCAGCTCCCAGCCATCAGTCCAGGTCACCCACTGGAATTGGGGTTTTACATTTGGGAGCACCTAGCTCCAAATCCCTGCCCCAGAGGAACCTAAGGGAACCTCCTCAGCGACTCCTCCCTCCCCTCCACCCCCAGGGATGGGCTACTCAGAGATTTCAGTGGAAGCTGCAAGGCTGGCCAGGTCCCCTTCCTCCAGGTTTCAGTTCTCAAAGGCACTTCACGGCGGACTCTGTGTTGAGAACATGAAGCCTCTGTCACATTTCCTCCCCAGCCCCTTACTCCGTCATCTTCCCTGCACAGCTTCCTTTTTTCTGCTGATGACCCCCACTTGCTGTCCCCCAGCACTGTGTGTGGCGTTGCCAGCCTGGCTGCTACTGCCCACCAGGCCAGGTGCTGAGTTCCAATGGGGCCATCTGCGTGCAGCCAGGTCACTGCGGCTGCCTGGACCTGCTGACCGGGCAGCGGCACCATCCAGGCACTTGGCTGGCAAGGCCCGACGGTTGCAACCACTGGTAAGGGCCCTCGCCATGGCAGGAGGTAGGGATGCCGGCAGGAGTCGCCCCACTTCGTCCCATGCTCTTGAACGCTCCAGAGTCTCTGCAGAGGGATGGTCACGTTCGCCCCCCCATAATCCCTGAGCAGATGTGGGGCTGGCACCATGACCAGCGTCTGACGATGGGCGAGGATGCTGAAGCAGAGCCCACGTGTCTGCAGGGGCTGGGTGTGTGCTCAGGGGCACGAGGGGCCCGGGCAGGAGGAGCGAGCAACAGATACGGCTTTTGCAAACTGTGTGGCCACACAGTTGGCTTCAGGATACCTGCTGTCCTTCCCGAGGAGAAGACATCAGCTGGTGACCCTGAGGGGGCCAGCTAGGAGGGACAGGGAGCAGGATGGGGAGGCGCTGGAGAGCTGGGAGATGGGCTGCTGTCAGGGAGAAAATCAGGGACGGATCATAAGGATGACTGGAGGGGAGACGCAGTGTGGGGGTGGGTGCAGAGTGAAGGTTGTGGTGGGACTGAGCTGCTGCCTCCTCCTTCTTTGTCTGCACCCCCTCCCTGCCCAGCACCTGCCTGGAGGGGAGGCTGAACTGCACAGACCTGCCCTGCCCAGGTATGTGCCCAGCTTGGAGGGAGGTGAGGAGGGACCAGGAAAGGGACGGGCTGTACCCCAGTGCCCACCATTCTTCTTGAAGTGCCCGGAGGCTGGTGCCCATGGTCGGAGTGGACAGCATGCTCCCAGCCCTGCAGGGGCCAGACCAGGAGCCGCTCCAGGGCCTGCACCTGCCCTGCTCCCCAGCATGGGGGTTCCCCGTGCCCCGGGCAGACTGGGGAGGCAGGAGCCCAACATCAGAGAGAGGCCTGCCCCAGCTCCGCCATGTGCCCAGGTGTGATGCCCCCATGAGGCCTGTGTCCCTCCCCCAAAAGGCCCTAAACCCCTGCTCCAACCCCGCTAACCTGAGGCCTCCAGGGCTTCCTCATGCAGATGCTCTGTCTTCCTGGCACAGTGGACGGAGCCTGGGGCCCATGGGGACCGTGGTCTCCCTGCGACACGTGCCTGGGGCAGTCCCACAGGAGCCGGGCGTGCAGCCGGCCCCCCACCCCTGTGGGAGGGAGGCCCTGCCCTGGGGGCCACACGCAGAGTCGCCCTTGCCAGGACAATTCCACCCGGTGCACAGGTGAGGCTTCACTGAGGTCTGGGAGGCCCCTCTAAGTCTAGGGAGATGCTGACTCTGACTCCAGCCTCCACACACATCGTGTCACTCTCTCAAGGGACAGTTTCCAGGTCACTCAGTCATGGACTGGTCAAAGTGGCGGGTCTCAGTGGTGGGGGGTGGCATGGCAGGAGGGCTGGGAACCCCTCAGGATGCCCTTCAGTGGCTGCCCTCTCTGCTTTCTTCCTGCCAGACTGTGGGGGTGGCCAAAGCCTGCTCCCCTGTGGGCAGCCCTGCCCCCGCTCCTGCCAGGACCTGTCCCCCGGGAGTGTGTGCCAGCCAGGCTCTGCGGGCTGCCAGCCCAGCTGCGGGTGCCCCCCGGGCCAGCTCTCCCAGGATGGGCTGTGCGTGCCCCCGGCCCACTGCCGCTGCCAGTACCAACCTGGAGCCATAGGTCAGTGCCTCCCCTCAACCCTAGCCCCCAGCACTGCAGAGCTCCCTGCCCGGCCCTGTGTCACTGTCCCGGGGGCCCAGCCTGAGACTGCAGGACAAAAATGAGCAATTGCCAGCTCTCCAGGATTCCGTGTCCCTCCACCCACCCCACTCCCCAATCCCAGGGCTTGTCTGGTCTGAGCGTCCACCTCCCTTGTTCAGGACACCGAGTGCCATGGGGTGGAGGCCAAGAGAGTGGGGAGTAGATGGCCATGGGGTGGGAGGAGGGACGGATGGGGGTACTGGGCTGTCTGGAGTACCTGCCCCCACTCCTCTGCCCCTCAGGGATCCCTGAGAACCAGAGCCGGTCAGCAGGGTCTAGGCTTAGCTCCTGGGAGAGCCTGGAACCTGGCGAGATGGTCACTGGGCCGTGTGACAACTGGTAAGCCAAGAGAAGTGGGGGCTGGGAGGCATGCAGAGCCCAGCAGTGGAGCCCTCAGGGGATGGAGCTGGCCCTGTCTCTGAAGCCCCCTCCCTTGTCCCCAGCACCTGTGTGGCAGGCATTCTGCAATGCCAGGAGGTGCCTGGCTGCCCGGATCCTGGGGTGTGGAGTTCTTGGGGCCCCTGGGAGGACTGCAGTGTTTCATGTGGGGGCGGGGAGCAGCTGCGCTCCCGGCGCTGTGCCCGTCCCCCCTGCCCAGGGCCTGCCCGCCAGAGCCGCATATGCAGCACACAGGTGTGCAGAGGTGAGCGCCAGCCCAGGACCTGACCCCTTCTGACCTTTGAGTCCCATCCTGGCCTTTGACCCTGACTCATGGGTGCATTTTGGCCTCTCCCTCTCCACCCTGACCTGTCCCTCAGCACCCTCCCCCCAGCGGTGGGCAAGTGCAGGAGGACTCAGCCAGGCTGTGGGGGCCTGTGGGAGGGGTCACTGCCCAGCGCAGAGTATGGGCAAGTGAAAGGGGCTCCCTGAGGTGGGCAGTGAGGGCTAGGGCTGGAGCAGGTGCTGATGTAGCTGCTGCCTCAGAGGTAGGCTGCCCGGCCGGCCGCCTGTATCGAGAGTGCCAGCCCGGCGAGGGATGCCCCTTCTCCTGTGCCCACGTCACGCAGCAGGTGGGCTGCTTCTCCGAGGGCTGCGAGGAGGGCTGCCACTGCCCCGAGGGCACCTTCCAGCACCGCCTGGCCTGTGTACAGGTCAGAACCCGTCCAGCCCACAGCCCTCCCTGTCCTCCCTTCACCTGTCTCTTCTGCCATATCTGTCACTCCTGCAGACCGTGTCCCCCCTGGGCAGGCCCCTAAGCAGCATACAGACTCATGAGGCCGGCTGGGGCCTCTGCTGCCAGCTTCGGAGGGAGGCAGAGTTAGACGCAGCCTCCCCAGGTCTCTGGTTACCTGGGAATGGGCACCCCCTGCCGCCTCTGGACTTGGCTGGCCGCTGCTCCTCACTGGCACATCTCCCAGCCCTGCCGGGGGCTCTCACCCACCCCTGACCGAGTGCTGTCTGTGTGCCCCGCTTACCCCTCACCCTGGCAGGGAGGGGCAGTTTCCTGCCAGGCCCCTATGTCCCCCAACCTCACTGGTCCAGCCTCACCTCCCTGTCCTCCACTGTGGGGCATGGGTCTTCACTGCCCCTCTCTTCCCTGTCACACACTCCTGGGGACAGCGCCCCTCACCTTCACTCCCCCCGGACCCAGCTGGTCTGCTGTGCATCCCAATGGCAGCCAGGTGCCATCTCTGCTCTGCTGAGTCTGACTGGCACACAGGGACCCTTTCCTCATTCTAAACTGGCCGACCCATGGCCACTCCTGAGCCAGAGTTCCAGGATGCCATGGCCAGGAGGGACTTGAGCAGCCACCTGGTCCCACCTCCTAGACCTAGAGATGGTGACAGTGAGCCCCAGAGACGGAAGGGGACACACCAAGGTCACACACAGCAGCAGGGCCAGACCCAAACCTAATGTCTGGATTCCTGGCTGAGGCTCTTTCTGCCCCCACTGCGTCCGTGCCTGTGAGGTCCTGTGTTGGCACCTGCTTGTGTCCTGCTAGGCGCTCTGCAGGGGGATGCCAGCTTGGCCAAGCCCAGAACATGCCTCTCTCATGCTGCATTCATGCCCCTGACATGGGTAAACAGCCCCCTGCTCCTGGAAATGCTTTCCTGGAGCCTAGAGCCCTCCTCCGGGTCCTCACCATCCTCCCCCAAGTTCCTCCTCCCCCAAGTCTCTCCAGTGGATGTGCGCAGCCCTGGGTGGGTGGCTGGCTGTGTTATGATGCTGTCTCCTCTGCCCCACTCCCCCAGGAGTGCCCTTGTGTGCTGACAGCCTGGCTGCTGCAGGAGCTGGGAGCCACCAGAGGTGACCCTGGTCAGTCCCTCGGGCCTGGAGATGAGCTGGGCTCGGGCCAGACACTTCATACAGGCTGTGGCAACTGGTGAGGGGGACAGAGAGGGTGGGGGCTGGGCTGGGGAGAGTCAGGGAGATTTTCAGTGGAGGGAGGGGTGAGAGAGAGTAAGAAGACAGGGACCGGGAATCCCAATCTGCCCTCTGCCCCTACCTGGCCTCGGCTAACCTGGCTCTTCCCCCAGCTCCTGTGCACATGGGAAGCTGTCTTGCTCCCTGGAGGACTGCTTCGAGGCCGGTGGCAGTTTTGGTCCCTGGAGCCCCTGGGGCCGATGCTCCCGCTCCTGTGGCGGGCTGGGCACCCGTACCCGCAGCCGCCAGTGTGTGCTTCCCATGGCTGCCCCCAGTGGTCAGGGTTGCCGTGGGCCCCGTCAGGACCTCGAGTACTGCCCCAGCCCAGACTGCCCTGGTAAGGAAAGCAGGAAGGTGGTGGACAGGGCTGGGGTTAGGATGGCACTGGGGAGACATCTAGGAAGGCTTCTCGGAGGAGGCAGTATCTCGGAGGAGGGGTCTTGAGGGAAGGAGGGAACTTTGACCATCACTGTCAGGAAAGGAATGGCTTGAGCAAAGGTTTTAATCCCGCAAGGAAGTGCTGTGCTTGGGGCCTGGTGTCCGCAGGAGCTCACGTGGAGGAAGGCTGGACCAGCTTTAGGCATGGTCCTGGGGTGCTGTGGGTTCTGAAGCATTTCTGAGTGGGGTTTCCTTTGACATAGGGGCTGAAGGGTCCACGGTGGAGGCAGTGACACACCTTCCAGGTAGCTCCACACTCCCTGCACCTCTGCCTTGTGGCCTCCCTGTGGGAAGAGCAAACCCAGGGACCCCTCCTCCCTTCCCTGCTTCCTGGAGATGTTGAAACTCAGATCTGACTCATCAGGAGGCGTCCTCCCCACTTCCTCCCCCAGGCGGCTGGGGCCCATGGTCCCCGTGGTCCCCCTGCTCCCGAAGCTGTACAGACCCTGCTCGCCCTGCATGGCGGAGCCGCACCCGCCTCTGCCTGGCTAACTGCACCGTGGGAGACCCATCACAGGAGCGCCCCTGCAACCTGCCCTCCTGCACAGGTGCACCTTCCAGCCTCACTCTGACCCCAGCTGCCACCCTCAGACAACTCACTGTAACCCCCAAGTCCCAGCATCTAACACCCCTCAAGCAATCATCAGTTCTAGTGTCGACATCTCATTTCAAATCAGTTGTCTGACTCTGGGCTCTGGGTCCTCTTTGCCAACCCCAGCAGCTGCTGGGGAGCCTGACTTCCAGCACATCCCTTACTCTCACGCGTGTGCACTGAACTCTCCACCCAAACCCCTCCACAGCCCTGTGAGTCTGAGATTACTGTCCCAATGAGAATAGGGGATAGTGAGGCCCAGTTGTCAAAGCCACACAGCAGTCAGTGTCAGATCCAGAACGGGATCCCAGAGCTCTGGGTGAGGCCACTGCTGGTCTGCATGGTGGAGGTCTGCCCTTGAGCTGGGAGCAGGGAGAGGTTGGGCAGGTGCCAGGCAGCTGGGATGGCTCCAGCTCCGCTTTGTGTCACAGAGCTGCCCCTGTGCCCCGGCCCTGGCTGTGGGGCTGGGAACTGTTCCTGGACCTCCTGGGCCCCGTGGGAACCTTGCTCCCGCAGCTGCGGGGTGGGCCAGCAGCGCCGCCTGCGGGCATACCGTCCCCCTGGGCCTGGCGGGCACTGGTGCCCCGACATCCTTACTGCCTACCAAGAGCGCCGCTTCTGCAATCTGCGAGCCTGCCCAGGTGAGGCGGGCTGGGGGAGACCAGGTCAAGCCCTGCCCCTGGAAGGCCCCTGGTGTCAGTGCCCCCTCCCAGGCACCCAACCTACCCAAGTGTGGCACTTCTGTCTCTCGAACCAGACCTTGACCCAGGCTTGCGGGATAGGTGGGGGCCCTATGCCTGAGCCCCCCTCAAGTGGCCGTTCTCTTTCCCACACAGTGCCTGGGGGCTGGTCACGCTGGAGCCCCTGGTCCTGGTGCGACCGCAGCTGTGGGGGAGGTCGATCCCTGAGGAGCCGCAGCTGCTCCAGCCCCCCACCCAAGAATGGGGGTGCCGCCTGTGCTGGGGAGCGGCACCAGGCCCGGCTCTGCAATTCCATGCCTTGTGGTATGGTGATGGTGACAGTCCTGTCCCACCTTATTGGGCTCCACTCAGCATGGGGCCCAGCTGCTAACTCGTGGGCCGGTTTGGAAACAGCCCGCTGGGTTGGATGATGGGGCCTGACAGTCAGCAAGGATGCCCTGAGCGTGTGTCTGTGGGCTGTGCCAAGGCCCAGGGATCCATCCTGGCCACCCTAACCAGCAGGAGAGCTCCTCCCCTCAGCTTTCCCACCCTCCCACCTGTGACAGGTGGGAAAGAGCCACCCATTCTGTCACAATTTTTGGAGGCTTTGACAGTGGCACCGTCAGGAGCGGATGTGGCACTCGGGCGGGGGGTGGATGGAGCCAGCGGCTGTAGCTGAGCCTGGGCCCCCTCCTCTCACCCTCAAGCTTCAACTCCTTCTTTAATTGGCCCTGCCCAGCTCACCAGCCCCATGGCCTGGGTTCCCCTAGGAACCCCCTCCTCTATCCCCACCCACCCTGGACACAAAAGAGGCTCCAGGTGACAATGTTTTCTTCTGAGACCCACAAATCCAGTCTAGCTCTACAAACATTTATTGAGTGCCAGGCTAGGTGCTGAGAACTCACAGGCGGTGAGAGAAACTCACTGTCTATTTAGCATGACCCACTCCCAGAGTCTCCCCGAGTCCCCCGTGTTTCAGTGGGCACCAACATGGGGGATGGGATGGGCCCTGTAGCTTCATGGAGGTAAGGGGTCCCCAGTAGGGCAGAAGGAGGGTTTCTGAGCCCTGGGGCCCAGGCCCTCCTGACGCTGGGCACCCCCACCCCCCACTCTCTGCTCAGAGACCGGCTGCCCAGAAGGCATGGAGGTGGTCACCTGTGCCAACCGCTGCCCCCACCGCTGCTCAGACCTCCAGGAGGGAATTGTGTGTCAGGATGACCAGGTCTGCCAGAGGGGCTGCCGCTGCCTCAAGGGTAGGTGCCGCCCTGCCCTTCAGGAGTGTCAGGGTGGCTGAATGGGAGGGTGTGGGTGGGGTCAGGGGTGCCAGTGTCAGCCCTTGCCCCACAGGATCCCTGGAGCAGGATGGCGGCTGTGTGCCAATTGGGCACTGTGACTGTACCGATGCCCAAGGCCACCGCTGGGCCCCAGGGAGCCAGCACCAGGATGCCTGCAACAACTGCTCATGTCAAGCTGGGCGGCTCTCCTGCACGGCTCAGCCCTGCCCGCCTCCCACCCACTGTGCCTGGGGCCGCTGGTCAGCCTGGAGTCCCTGTAGCCACTCATGTGGGCCCGGAGGGCAGCAGAGCCGCTTCCGGTATGGGGTTGACAGGGCTAGATGTCCCATCTGCCACCCAGGGCCTCCCTCTGCGTGGCACAGTCTTCCTTCTGACGGAGAGTTCCTAGGTCCCGCTGTCACCAGTGACAGTACCACCTCAGGCCCTAGGCCAGCTCTGTCTCTGGTTACCCTGGCTTTTCCTTAGTTACCCCCATGCCCACCCTAAGTGTCCTGGTCCTGTCAGGAGGTGTCACCAGGAGACAGAGTGATGGGGGCCTGGACTATCTCTCACCTCCTCTCCTCGGGCCCCACCCAGGTCCTCCTCATCGGGCTCGTGGGCTCCGGAGTGTCGGGAGGAGCAGTCCCAGAGCCAGCCCTGCCCTCAGTCCCCGTGCCCGCCCCTGTGTCTGCAGGGCACTCGCCCCCGCACCCTGGGGGACAGCTGGCTTCAGGGGGAGTGCCAGCAGTGGTGAGTGCAGGGCAGGGAGTGGGGCTGGGACTGCCCTGCTGGAGAGCAGAGTCCTGAGTCCCGGCTCTTTCCCAGCTCCTGCACCCCGGAGGGCGTGATCTGCGAAGACACCGAGTGTGCAGGTCTGGGCGCCTCCATGTCCCCGCCTCCATGTCCCCGCCTCAGCCACCCTCCTAGCCTCATGTGTCCTGTGTCTAATTCTCTCCCACCTTACTTATCTCTCATGCCCTGGGCCATGCAGGTCCCGACCCAGCCTTTGCTCCCTCTGCCTCCTTTGACCTCACCTGTGCCTTCCCACAGTGCCCGAGGCCTGGACGCTGTGGTCTCCCTGGTCCAGCTGCCCTGTCTCCTGTGGAGGTGGAAACCAGGTCCGAATCCGGGCTTGCAGGGCTGCAGCTCCTCCCCATGGGAGCTCACCCTGCCCGGGCCCCGATACCCAGACCCAGCCCTGCGGGCAGCAGCCTTGCCCGGAATTGCTGGGGGCCTGTACCTGGGGCCCATGGGGGCCCTGTTCCCGCAGCTGTGGCCTGGGCTTGGCCTCTCGCTCTGGTTCCTGCCCCTGCCTGCTGGCCGAGGCTGACCCCACCTGCAATGGCACCTTCCTCCACCTGGACACGCGGGGCTGCTACCCAGGGCCCTGCCCGGGTGAGTGTGTGGGGGAGTGACGTCACCTCGCCGCTTTTCCTACCTTGGGAGATTCAGAAAATAAATAGCTCCCGGTTCCCAGATGATCCCTCCAAATAAGCCTGCGCCTGTCCTGCCCCCATGGTTTGCTCAGTTCCTCTTCCCACCATCTCTTCCCTTGGAGCCCTCCTTGTGCAGTGAGAGGGTGTCCAGTGGCCAGGCCTTCCAGGCCCCTTTCGCCTGTGTCCTGTGCAGGGTCTCGGCAGGCCTGGGGTGAGACGGAGGCAGGCAGGGGAAAGGTGAGCTGACACATCCCTCCCGTCCCCAGAGGTGTGCGTGTGGAGCAGCTGGAGCAGCTGGACTCGATGCTCTTGCCAGGTGCTGGTGCAGCAGCGCTACCGACACCAGGGCCCAGCGTCTCAAGGGGCCAGGGCGGGAGCCCCCTGCACGCGACTGGATGGCCACCTCCGGCCTTGCCCCATTGGCAACTGCTCTGGTAAGGCTCCAGGAGCAAGAAGCTGGGGAGCTGAGCAGGGCAGCAGCCGCCAAGGGTCCCCACTGGAACCCCCTGCTCCCCTCGCAGTCAACGTAGCGCCCCCAAGACCTCAGAGCAGTTGCCTGTGCCTGCACCTGCCCGCACCTGCCTGCAAACCCAGCTGCTCCCCTAGCTACTCCCTCGTCACAGCTGCACCCCCAATTCCTCACCACAATTTATCCACGCTGCAGCTGCCAGCCTGCCTGTGGCTTTGGCTATTTAGGAGGGTGTCCTATCCACCTCCTGCTGCGGCTGCCCTCCACCTCTGCCCCTCTGTCTCCCATCTGCAAATCCCTGGCGCACCTGCCAGGCCCCTCACTCCTGCAGCCCCCTCCTCAGTTGCCTCCTCCAGGCAGCTTCCTGGCTCTCCAAGGCCCAACCTGTCCTGATCTTTCCCTGGAGGTGCCCACAGGTGCTGAGTGGGTGCCAGATGGAGGACACTGGTCTGTTCCAACATGTGGGGGGCAGGCATCTTGTATTCTTGCCAGGTGACCCCAAGGGGCCTCAGAGGAACCATGCAGCATGTGCTCTGGCTTTGGGAGTGGTGTCTCTGGGCTGTCCCCCATCAGCCTGCCTCTCCCCGCTTCCCCCAGAGGACAGCTGCACGCCTCCCTTTGAGTTCCAGGCCTGCGGCTCCCCCTGTGCTGGGCTCTGTGCCACACACCTGAGCCGTCAGCTCTGCCAGGACCTGCCGCCCTGCCAGCCGGGCTGCTACTGCCCCAAGGTGAGAGCTGGGAGCTCTCCTTCTTCCAAGGAGAAGGGGGTCCTCTGCCCACACTCCGGCTCTCCCTTCTCTCTGTGATGGCCATGGCAACCCCACCTCCTACCCCTTGGAACTTGGTGCCTCCTCCCAGCTTGTGCCCATGCCATTCACTCGGCACCACGCGTGAGCACCTGCCACAGGCTGGGCACAGTGCTGGGTGCTGGGGTGACATGATGATCACCACCCCGTCTCTCCTTCCACCCAGGGGCTGCTGGAGCAGGCTGGGGGCTGCATTCCTCCAGAGCAGTGTAACTGCTGGCATACCTCAGCAAAGGGAGCCCGGGTGACCCTGGCCCCTGGAGACCGCCTGCAGCTGGGCTGTAAGGAGTGGTGAGTGATGGGGGAGGGGAGGCAGAGGGCAGGGAGCCCAGTCCATCCTCAGGACAGAGGGCCCAGAGATGCCAGAGTTCACAACTCTCTCATCTTGCCCCAAATGTACCGAGGGCTCAGGTACCCTTGCAGGTTACCTCCGGGGGTCCTGGGCTGGGTCCTGCGTCCCATAGTCCACCTTGACCATCCCCTCCCGCAGTGAATGCCGGCGTGGGGAGCTGCAGTGCACCAGCCAGGGCTGCCAAGGTAACCCTGACCTATGGAGACTGCTGTCCCCATCGCTTGGGACTGGGGGGTTTCTGGGCTGCAGATCTTTCAGTGCTAAGATGGGGACAGTCCCAGGCAAACCGGGATGATGGGCACCCTACCCTGCCCCCACACCTCTCTCAGCCTTCCCTGTTTCCAGCACTTCCTGGTCATGACACTGAGCCCCTCCTGCCTGTCCACCAGGGTCTCTGGGTTGGGGATGGTCACTGGGAAGGTGGTCACATGCTGCCCTTCTAGGTCTTCTGCCTCTGAGTGAGTGGTCCGAGTGGTCGCCGTGTGGGCCCTGCCTGCCGCCCAGCACCCTGGCCCCTGCCTCCAGAACTGCACTACAGGAACGCTGGCTCCAGGACCCAACTGGCCTCTCCCCGACCTCTGCCCTGCTGCTGGCCTCAGAGCAACACCGTCACCGGCTCTGTCTGGATCCTGCAACAGGAGGACCCTGGACCGGGGCCCCTCACCTCTGCACTGCGCCCCTCAGCCAGCAGCGCCTGTGCCCTGACCCTAGAGTCTGCCCTGGTAATGGGGAGAGGCAGAGGCCACAGGACAGGAGGGGCCTGTAGTGTAGGTTGCAGGGAGCTGGCCAGAAGGGGCTGGGCTATGGAGCGCAGTGACCTGCTACCCCTCGTGCTTGCCTCTAGGGCCTGCAGGATTTGAAGCTGGGTGAGGTCCAGGCAGCAGCTAGAAAGAGGAGCGGGAGAGCCTAGAGGGGCAGCAGCAGAGCTCAAGCCTCAAGGGGGGGCAGGAGGTGGGCCTGGGTACTGACCTTGCCGTACCTTTCCCAGACTCATGCCAGTGGAGTCCGTGGGGGCCATGGAGCTCCTGCCAGGTCCCCTGCAGTGGGGGATTCAGGCTACGCTGGAGAGAGGCAGGGGCCCCCCATGGAGGAGGCTGCCGGGGACCATGGGCTCAGACAGAAAGCTGCAACAGAGGGCCCTGCCCAGGTAATTCCCATCCCCCATCCAGAGGAGGGCCTGGGACAGGAACATCAGAGACCAAACCTGAGGGAGAGTTGGCTCTGCCCCCGAGGTGTGCCGTGGAAGGGAGGGCCCAAGAGTGTCCCCAACAGACTCCCAACATCTGGCCCTCAGGCAAGAGCTGTGAGGCCCGAGACACTGTACTCACCAGCGACTGTGCCAACCGGTGCCCACGCAGCTGTGTCGACCTCTGGGACCGTGTTCAGTGTCTGCAGGGACCCTGCCACCCAGGTAGCTGGCAGGCCCCACCACCCGGCTGGGAGTTCCAGGAAAGCCTGGGGCCTCTCCCAGCTGCCTCCTGCTCCCAGAGAGTGTGTGATCTCAGGCAGAGGTGGGGGAGGCTCAGACTGGCTGGGGCCTGAATGATGGGGCAGGAACGTGGTCACTTTCAGCAGCCAGCTCTGCGTCCTGCATGGAGTGAAGTTCACTCAGGGCCACTGTCTCATGTGAATGTGCCGGTGGCCGTCAGGGTTACTGGTGGTGCCCACACAGGGTGGGCTGGAGTGGCCCCTTTCTGTGCGTGGGCAGTGGGAGATACTATGGAAACCAGGCTTTGGACTCAGTCTGGTTGCCGGGGAGGATCCATTTGTAAGCCCTGCCTGAGCACCCCATCTCATTTGGCCTCCTTACTCAAACCCCTAGGCTGCCGCTGTCCCCCGGGCCAGCTGGTCCAGGACGGGCGCTGTGTGCCGATCTCCTCTTGCCGCTGTGGCCTCCCCAGTGCCAATGCCTCTTGGGAGCTGGCCCCAGGCCACGTGGTGCAGCTGGACTGCAAAAACTGGTATGGCAGCAGCCACGCCAGGGCGGAGGGAGCTTCGGGTGGAGGCATGGGGCAGGTCAGCCTTCGCAGGTATTGCCGGGGAGCGAGGGTTCTGTTCACCCTGACTGGAGCCCTTTGTGCTACCCCCGTCCACAGCACCTGTGTCAACGGGTCCCTGGTGTGCCCACGCCAGGAGTGTCCAGTCCTTGGGCCTTGGTCAGCTTGGAGCAGCTGCTCAGCCCCCTGTGGTGGGGGCACTATGGCACGACATCGGAGCTGCAAGGGGGGTCCTGGGGTGGCAGCATGCCAGGCCCAGGACACGGAACAGTGGCAGGAGTGTAACCTGAAGCCCTGCCCTGGTGAGTGCCCTGGGCGGTGGGTGTCTGACCCCCTCCATTACTCCTGGGCCCAGGCCCTGCCCCAGCTGTTGGGGGGTCAGTGTGGGGAGAGGTCAGACCCAGGGCAGCCCCCGCCTGGGACTGGAGATGCTGGGTCCCTCCCAACTCCCTATTTGTGTGCTCCCCACAGAGTGCCCCCCTGGCCAGGTGCTTAGCGCCTGTGCCACCTCCTGCCCACACCTCTGCTGGCATCTGCAGCCTGGCGCCATCTGTGTGCAGGAGCCCTGCCAGCCTGGCTGTGGCTGCCCTGGAGGGCAGGTGGGTACTGGTTGCTGTGTCCTGACTCCCATGTGGGCAAAGCTGGCAGGTGAGGAGGGAAGAGGCGGTGGTCCGAGTGTCACTGAGCCCGCCCCACTGCAGCTGCTGCACCACGGCACATGCGTTCCCCCTGCTGCCTGCCCCTGCACCCAGCATTCTCTGCCCTGGGGCTTCACCCTGACCCCAGAAGAGCAGGCCCAGGAGCTGCCCCCAGGGACTGTGCTCACCCAGAACTGCACCCGCTGGTGAGGCCTGGTCGTGGGGTGGGGAGCAGGGATGGAGGAAGGGGGTGCTGAGCATGGGGCAGGAGGAGGCCATGGGCGGCCTCTGAGCAGGCTTCTGTCTTCCTAGCGTCTGCCGCAGTGGAGTCTTCAGCTGCTCCCTTGTCGACTGTCAGGGTGAGATGTGGCTTCCATGCCCTGCTGCACCTCCAAAGTCAAGGCCAGGGACTGGCACTGAGGAGGGGAGGAGGGCCCTGCTCCCAGCCTAGACAGAGCTTCAGGAAGCCCTCCCCTCCTCCCCTGCCTGTCCACACTGACCTCTCTCTAACCGGACACCCAGTGCCCTCTGCCCAGGGCTCCTGGGCACTCAGTGTGGTCTGACCCATGTGTGGGGGCATTCTCTAGCATACGGTGTACACAGAGCCAGGGCTGTGAGTGATGCCAGGAAGTAGAAGGCTCTTTCCCTGCCAGTGGGGAAACTGAGGGCTGGAGGGGAGAGTGGAAATGAGGGGCCTGGCCTGGCAGCCTCCAGGCTGGTGGCATTTGCCCTGCACAGTGCAGGGTTGCCCCTGTCTGATCAAGAGCGTCAGCCCACCCACCAGGTGCCCAGCTCCGCCATGCTGGGCTCCGAATGCAGACATGCAGCACAGCCAGCCTTCGGGCAGACCACCCCCTAGAACGGGCAGAGATGGGACAGTCTCTAGGTCCCTGACAAGCAGGTAGCACCGCAGAGAGAAGAGAGAGGCTGGGTGGACAGGATTGGTCAGCGGAGGCTTTTCTGGAGGAGGCGAGACCTGGCCTGGGCCCAGCTAATGTTTGAGAGGGTGGATAGGAGAGAGCAGGAGGTGTGGTGGGAGGCCGCTGCTGCTGAGAAGGCAGCACGGGGACATGGGGTGCTCAGCTTGGGGGCGGAATCCAGTCTGGATTCGGCGCTGGCCAGAAAGGTGGGTTGGATTGTATTCCCTGGCAGAGTGCCCCCCTGGGGAAGCATGGCAGCAGGTGGCCCCGGGGGAGCTGGGGCTCTGCGAGCAGACATGCCAGGAGATGACCGCCACAGAGACCCCAGGCAACTGCAGCTCGGCTCGAGCTTCAGGCTGTGTGTGCCAGCCTGGGCACTTCCGAAGCCAGGTGGGCTCCTGCGTCCCCAAAGACCGCTGCGAGTGCTGGCACCTGGGGCGGCCCCACCTGGTGAGACACCGAATCCCCTCTGCTACCCCCACCCCTTTCTGACTTCAGGCCTCCCCGTCCACTGGCTCCTCCCCCTACTCCAGGCCCTGCAGTAGGCAGCAGGGCTCCACGGTCACCCCAAAAGCCCATCTCCCTCCTCGGTCTCCTGTTGCCCAACTCCATCCAAGCCCATTGCCCCAGCTAGGCACTCGCAGGCTGGGCTGGGGGACCAGGGTACTATTGTAGAAGAGTCTACAAGTTGGGAGAGACCAAAAGGAGGCTCTCCTTCCTCTCCCCAGCCTGGATCTGAATGGCAGGAGGCCTGTGAGAGCTGCGTCTGCCTCAGTGGGAGGCCTTTCTGCACCCAGCGCTGCTCCCCGCTCACCTGTGCCCAGGTACCCCCGCATTCCTGCTACTCTCTGGGGTGGTTCCCCCTCACCTGTGCTCAGGTACCCCCACATTCCTGCTACTCTCTGGGGTGGTTCCCCCTCACCTGTGCCCAGGTACCCCCGCATTCCTGCTACTCTCTGGGGTGGTTCCCCCTCACCTGTGCTCAGGCACCCCCTGCATTCCTGCTACTCTCCGGGGTGGTTCCTCCTCACCTGTGCTCAGGTACCCCCTGCAGCCCTGCTACCCTCCCTGGTGTCCCTGGGCACCGTGGACTGGGGCCAGGTGTCAGGACCATCTTGGGGCTCTCTCCCTCTGCAGGGTGAGGAGATGGTGCTGGAGCCAGGGAGCTGCTGTCCCACTTGCCACCGGGAGACTCTGGGTATGGAGGGACCCTGGGCACATTGTGGGGTGCCTCTCTCTGGTCTAGACACTTCTCTCCAGCCCCACCCCACATTCGGCCTTTTCAGCCTGGCAGGTGCCTGCCTCCCTCAAGCCAACCCGCAAAGGGGATTTGGGGAATGAAGACCCCAGCACATATCATAGCACCTGGCCACCCTGCCCAGATGTCCCTCAGACCTAGGCCCTGCTCCACCCCCACAGTTCCCTTAGTTACCTCTTCCTCCTGTGCCCCCACAGTCCCCTCAGTCACCCCCTCCTCCTGTGCCCCCACAGTCCCCTCAGTCACCTTCTCCTCCTGTGTCCCCCCACAGTCCCCTCAGTCACCTCCTTCTCCAGTGCCCTGCCCCCACCTCCTGCCACTCAATGCCCCTCCCCACAGAGGAGCAAATGCCCTCCTGCCACCTCCTTACGGAGCTTCGAAACCTCACCAAGGGGCCCTGCTACCTGGACCAGGTAGAAGTGAACTACTGCAGTGGGCACTGCCCATCCAGCACCCACGTCATGCCAGAGGTGAGCCAGGGGCCTGCCATCCAGGCCAGGGGAGTCAAGGTAGCCTGTGGCCGCTGAGGGCCTGCCCTGAGCCTGGAACCTGGGCAGAGCCAGAGTCCAAGAGGCACGAAGTGCTTTTCACGGAGGTAACAGTGGAGTCAGGGAGTCAGATGGTCAGCGCTTTGCCCCAGGCAGTGGCATGCACCTGCGGGTGGCTCACAGGTCTCTCTGGGTGCCCAACTCCTCCCTCCCACGGAGGTCTTTTTGGCCCCATACCACTCCCAAAGCGTGAACGCTGTGCCCCTCAAGGCAATGAGCCAGGGGCCCAGCAAAGAAAGGAATGGAGGAGCTAAGCTAGCCTCTGAAATCAGAACCCATCACGGGAATGCACTCTCTGCAGATAGGATCACTGCACACATTTCCCGAAAGGTGTCCAAGCCAGGCTGGCTCTGAGTCTTGGGCAGGTGGCTCTGCTTTGCCCTCTGTGGACTCAGAAACCCTGATCCTTCTTAGGATATTCCAAGGGGCTCCTGCCCACCCTGACTCCCCTCAGCCTGAGCCTGGCGCGCTGACTTGAGCTGCCTTCAGCCCGGGTCCCCTCTCCAGCTCCACTCCCCGCACTCACGCTGCCCCCGGACCCACCTCGGCCCACTTAGTTTACCCTATCCTGGAAGACAAGGATGCTTTCCTCCCTGGTCCCCTCAACCCTGGGCCGCTCTACGGCCCCCAGGTGCCCGTGCACTTGCTGGAAATACTTTCCCAAATCACTTTAGGGTTTTTTTTTTTTTTTACAGTTTTGGAATTTTTAAAACATAGAGTGAGAAAAGAGAGAAAGTAATTAAGAGATGCTTTTTTTCTGAGGAAAGAAATTTGACAGTGGGGTAGGAATTGGAGGGATTTTTTTTCACTGAATAACTGCTTGTAGTTTTTGGACTTGGTATTGTATGGATGTATTGCCCATTTCAAAGTAAAATTATAATTATACATAAAATTAAATGATATTCTCAGAGGACGCCTATGGAGGTGCTTTAACCACAGCGCACAGGGACCTGCGTTGGAGTGAGAACTCACTTTGCACTTGGGCTCAGAACTGTGCAGTTAGAACGGGCTTATTTGCAGCTTCATGTATTCTAAGTCTGCCTCTCCAATGAGACTCTGAGCTCTCTGAGGCAGAAGTATGTCTCCCCTGCAGCCAGGGGCACCAATGGGAGCATTAGAAGTATTCATTTAACCTGTAGATTGTTGGACATTCAGACGTGGGCGTGAAGGAGGTGGGCTTCTTACAGAAGGGGCCTCGCGGTGGCCCGGCCACCCTGCTTGGTGAAGAGGGTGGGACCTGTGCCTCCCGCCACCCCACCCCGCCTAGGATGGGAAAGGCCAAGGGAAGGGAGGCAACTCCATTTGGCCCCAGTTCAGCCACTCCCTCTCACCCAGGAGCCATACCTGCAGAGCCAGTGTGATTGCTGCAGCTACCGCCTAGATCCAGAGAGTCCCGTGCGGATCCTGAGCCTGCGCTGTCCGGGTGGCCACGTGGAGCCCGTGGTGCTGCCAGTCATTCACAGCTGCCAGTGCAGCTCCTGCCTGGGTGGGTCTGGGTGGGGCTCTGGCCAGGGAGGGGATGGGGCAGGAGCCTGGGCAAAGGACCCAGTGTTGTAAACCAGACCCAGGAACACACGCATGGCTCCTCACTCCACCCTTCTTCCTTAAGTCCTTCCAGTCTGTTTTTTCCCTTCTCAATATTCCTGTTCATTTTGTCTTCTATCGTGTGTGAGCGTGGGTGTCTGGAGTAACTGTACCTAGTTCAAACCCCAACTCACCTGCTTCCTTGCTCAGCCTCCCTGACCTCATCTTTTTTTTTTTTTTAATGGGGTCACACTCTGTTGCCCAGGCTGTAATGCAGTAGCGTGACCTTGGCTTACTGCAGCCTGGAACTCCTGGGCTCAAATGATCCTTCTGCCTCAGCCTCCCAAGTAGGTGGGACCACAGGTGTGAGCCACCATGCCCAGCTAATTTCTCTCTTGCTTTCTCTCTTTCTCTCTGTTTTTTCTTTTCTTTTTTTTTTTTTTTTTTGTAGACAGGGTTTCACCACGTTGCCCAGGCTGATCTTGAACTCCTGGGCTCAAGTGATCCATCTGCCTCAGCCTCCCAAGTGCTGGGGTTTCAGGCAGGAGCTACTGCACCCAGCCCCTGACCTCATCTTCTGAGCGGGGCTGTCATCACTGTGCAGGCTTGTTGGGTGGACGTGTTGAGAGCACCCGTGTGAGGTGGCTGGCAGGTGCCTGGTTCTGTTAAGTACCTGCCATATGATAACCTGAGGTCCCATGATGTGGCAGTTGAGGGAGAAACAGAGGTGGAAGGCACCGATGCTGCCTGGGTGGAACACAGTCGGAAGCCTGACATCGGCTCTGGGCTTCCTCCTGCCACCAGCCTGACTTCTCTGCCTGTCTTACTAACCCATCTCCCCATCATGTGTCCTCTAGGAGGTGACTTCTCAAAGCGCTAACAGGCTACGCTGGGTGAGTCCATGGCCGTCCCTCTTATGATTGTGGGACTCAGTGGCACTGACCACGTCCTTCCACACCCTCCTACCTGCCCCCAACTGGGGGTCCATGACCTGATATTAGCATCTTCTGAATAAAGGGACATTGGCAACAAGTTTCTGTGTAGTGTCTCCATCCTGGAGCCCAGAGGGAAGAGGGAGGGTGGGCCCGATCCCTGGCCTGGACCCACGTGACGACTTTGTCTCCTGGAGACCTCTGTGCATCTGCTATGGACTCACCACGGCATTCCCCGTGACTGGTGAACCTGGACAAATTATTCCCATATCTGAGCCTCGGTTCCATCGTTAGTAGGACAGGGTTGAATGGCACCTGAAGACCTCCCGTATTAGACGTCTCTAGTGTCCCAGGTCACATTCCTCTACCCAGTGTGATTTTAGCTGCAGCTGTGGCCGACAGTCCCCTACGTGTGGGCTGATGTCTGCTTCTCCCTCTTTTTTTTTACACCACTTTTTTACACCACTCTGCCCACTCCCAACTGCTTTCCTTGTTTTATTCACCCCAAAGTCCTGTCCTACCCTGTGAAGCCACAGACAACAGCTAGCTAGAAGGCACACTATTGAGATAAATACTGGGGACAAAAACCAAAAGAGGCCTACTGAGCTACAAGAGATTAGCTCAGCTTGTTCTGTGTCCACATGGTCTTCATTCCTCTTCAGGAGACCAAGCCTCCCCATTCATCCCTCGGCGCCAACGCCTCTTATGCCATCCTCCTTGTAAGTCCCACAGTCTCCCCTGGTCCCCCACACCTCCTCTCTCTCCCAGATACCCACTGGGGCCTCTGAAACTCCGCATCTGTCTTCCATAGACTCTGCTCCATTGCCCCCATCTCCAAAGATTTCTTTGACCATCATGTCATGACTGACACTAGGTTGCCCATCCCTTGAAGTCTTCACTTCACTGGAAGCTGAGACTTCTCCCACATCCCACCTCTGGGCCAGGAAAAGAGATACTTGTCTTCTATGATGTTCATGTTTAATGTTTCTGCTGGTCCAGTTCTCCCTGTTCCTCCTGCAAAGAGCCCTCTTCCCGGGTTGTCTGAGCCACTATGTAGGTACATAACCCTCCTTGACTCCCAACTGCCACCCTGGTTGCTCCGCATCATCCACAGAAGAAATTAACTCATGGCCCAGTGTTCCTTTCCAACCATTTTCAGTGTCCATGTGGATACTTCTCTCAAAATTCTGGCCTCACATTCTTTGCCTGCCCACCTACAATGATCTTATTCACTCTGTCTTGGGAATCCACTCCCACGGCTATGCTATTTTCAAAATCTTGCAAATATTTACTTACCAATCATACCTTGCCAACCCTCCAGCTGCCTTGCTCTAGTACTCCTCTGCTATAATTTATGGCTGCTTTGGGGATTTCAATTTCACTGATCACATCACTTTCTCACTTTTTCATTAGTCTCCTATCATCCTTCGTGATGCAGCTTAGATTCATGGTCTATATAGTAATTCTTAACACGAGCTGCACATTAGAAGCACATGAGGAGCTCTTAAAAAATATCAAAGCCAGCTGGGTATGGTGGCTAACGCCAGTAATCCCAGCACTTTGAGAGGCTGAGGCAGGTGGATACTTGAGCCCGGAAGTTTGAGGCCAGCCTGGGTAACACAGTGAGATCCATCTCTACAAAAAATAAAAAACAACTAGCCAGGCGTGGTGGCGCACTCCCGTAGTCCTAGCTACTCGGAAGGCTGAGGTGGGAGGATCCCTTAAGCCCAGGAGGTCAAGACTGCAGTGATCCAAGATCACACCACTGAACTCTAGTCTGGGTGAGAGTGAAACCCTGCTCTAAAAAAAAATTAAAAATAAAACTTAAAAATCAGTGCCCATGCTCCATCCTAAGCCTATTAAATCGGGATGTCTGAAAGGTCCATGGGTGACTCCAATGTGCAGCTGGAATTGAGAATCACTTTCCTACCGTTATTACTCTAGGGCAAGTACTGTTCATTCCCTAGCTTTTCTGTGCCTCATTCATACCCACCTGGCACTACTCCAGGCCAGGATGAACCCAAGTATCTGCCCAACTTTCTGCTTCTAAACAGAATTTCCCAGCTAGGCTTTTTTAAACCTTCAATTTGTGATCATAAACTTCAATTTGGCCTTTAATTCAAGGTTTGAGGTAAGCTCTATTTCCCATTCCCCAGGAGGACTTGGTATATGACCTCTTCCTTCACTTCATTTTCGTGAGATGATCTTGTCTCAAAGAGACATCATCAGATGGAAATTCCCTCAGTAAATCTACAAACAAACCTACTTCTACTCCATCTCCTTCTTTCCTCCTGGCAGAATCAAGTGTTCCTATCCTGGCCAGACACAGTGGTTCATGCCTGTAATCCCAGTACTTTGGGAGGCCAAGGCGGGTGAATCACTTGAGGCCAGGAGTTTGAGACCAGCCTGGCCAACATGGTGAAACCCCATCTCTACTAAAAATACAAAAATTAGCTGGGTGTGGTGGCGCACACCTGTAGTCCCTGCTACTCAGGAGGCTGAGGCAGGGGAATTTTTCGAACCTGGAAGGTGGAGGTTGCAGTGAGCCAAGATCAAGCCACTGCACTCAGCCTAGGTGACAGAGTGAGACTCTGTCTCAAAAAATAAAAAAGTGTTCCTATCCCTAGGCAGGGCCCTTGATACTTTGTTCCTAGACCCTCCTGCTTTCTCAAGGACTTGGGTCCCTGAACTATCCCCTCTTGGATTATCAGTTTCCTTCCTATCAACATAGAAACAAGATCTTGTGTCTCATATCTTAGGCCTGTTGCTTTTACTCCCCATTTCCCCCTAGATACTGCTCCATTTTTCTGGGGAAAAATGGAAAACCTTTTACGGAAAACCGTGTCAAAAGAATGATTTACTCTAGCTGTTCTCCAGTTTTTTAACCCTCAAAAGAGAATCTGTTACAAAGACAGGGATAAGTCATGGGCAGAAATATAGCTCTCCAACGTAGTGATGCAGCTGAGGTGGCAACTGGCAGGCCACTTGGAATCCACAGTTCTCACTCTGCCTTCTCCTCCACAGTTCTTGTGTCTCATTCTTTTTCAGTAATGTAGACTCCCCTACACTCCTCGAACAAAGTTTAGGTCTCTTCAACCTTAGCCAGAAGAGCAGAATTGGATAATGGAAAATAGTTACTTGAAGCCTGTGTAACATGGCGAAACCCCGTCTCTACTAAAAATTCAAAAAAATGGGCCAGGCGCGGTGGCTCACGCCTGTAATCCCAGCACTTTGGGAGGCCGAGGCGGGTGGATCACGAGGTCAACAGATCGAGATCATCCTGGTCAACATGGTGAAACCCCGTCTCTACTAAAAATACAAAAAATTAGCTGGGCATGGTGGTGCATGCCTGTAATCCCAGCTACTCAGGAGGCTGAGGCAGGAGAATTGCCTGAACCCAGGAGGCTGAGGTTGCAGTGAGCCGAGATCGCACCATTGCACTCCAGCCTGGGAGCGAAACTCCGTCTCAAAAAAAAAAAAATGAGTTGGTCTTTGTCTTGATATGCATACACTGCTATACCAAAATCCCTGGAACTAGGTAATTTATAAACTATGGATATTTATTTCTTATGGTTCTGGAGGCTGGAAAATCCAAGATCACAGTGCCAGCAGTGTCTCTGTCTGGCGAGGGCCTGGTCTCTGCTTTCAGGAGGGTACCTGGTTGCTGTGTCCTCACATGGCCGAAGGCAGAGAGAGGGACAGAAGGGCAAAGGGCGTAGCTAGTTCCCCCAGCACCCATATGGTCACTATTACCTTCATGAGGGCACATCCCTGCCTTGGCCCCCTCAAAGTCTTTTTTTTTTTTTTGAGGCATGATCTCGCTCTGTCACCCAGGCTAGAGTGCAGAGCACCATCCTAGCTCACTGCAGCCTCGACTAACCAGGCTCAAGTGATCCTCCCACCTCACAAAATCATTTTATTTTTACAGAGGCAGGATCTCTCACTATGTTGCACAAGCTGGTCTTAAACTACTGAGCTCAAGTGATCCTCCTGTTTCAGCCTCCCAAAGAGTTAGGATTAGAGGTGTGAGACACCACACTCGGCCAAAACTTCTTATAAGGACACTAATCCCATACTGAGGGCCTTATCCTCACGACTAAACCTCCCAAAGGCCCCACCTCCTGGGAGGGGAACACCGGTCAGTCCATTGCGCCTCCTTTACCTGGCGAACCCTTACCTCTCTGATTCTGCTCAGGCATCATTTCCTCAGGAAATCCTTGATTAAGCACCTCATATCCCCCACTGCTTCACTCTAAGGTGACAACGCGAGCTTGAATTCATATTTTGTGTTTACCTCTTTCACGGCACTTGTCTCTGTTTTTTAATTATCTGTTTCTGGTCTGTTTCCCTAATAGACTGTGAGTTCCTTGACGGCAAGGGCTTTGTCTTATTCAACGGTGTACTCCCAAACCCTCGAACACGGCTTGACCCGTGGTAGGCAAACAACGATACTTTTTGAGTGACTAGAACAAAAAGTATTGACCTCCTTAATAAAAGAAAACCTAGAACCTTCAAGGCTGACATTGGCCTTCGCGTAGCCCAATCAGGGCGCTTTGCCCTTGCTGCAGAGGTCCAAAGGACGCCACGCGGCTGTTGCCTAGTAACCATCACCAGAGGGAAGCGGGGAGGGTCACAAGCGCGCCGCCGGCGTCCAAACAGATAGAGCGGACTACGCTTCCCGTCACGCCCCGCTGCCTGGGACAGGGCAGCGGCCGTAAAGCTGTTCGCTCTGTACGACGCGAGTCCCAACTCAGCGCCCCTCCCGGGGCCGCGGGCGTTACCGCCCCGCGACGTGAAAGAGCGAAGTTCTGGGGCCGCGCTCCCTCCCCGCCTGGGCGCCCTCCCGCTCCGGGAGCCCGGGTCCCCGGGGCGGTCGCGGCGGCTGCTTCCTCAGGCCAGGCCGCGGGGGGAGGGGGCGGCACGGGACTCCGAAAGCCGGGCCATGGAGCCCAGAGAGTCGGGGAAGGTAGGACTGGAAGGCCCCGGGGCCGCCCGCTCCCTCCCGAGGATCCCAGAGCCGGGCTCGGGCGAGGCGGGGCGGCTCGGGCCGAGGCCCAGCAGACGAGCCAGGCTTGCAGGGAAGGAATCACCGGCCCGCCCCCTCTCCCCGCATTTCGGCGCCCGCCCCTGGGAGGGTGACGGAGAGGAGCAGACGCACCCGTTTGGTGTCTTCGCGTCCTCCCCGCGCTGGCGAGCGGCCGCTGGGTCGATGCTGGGTTGGGTGACCCCCGAGTGAAGCGATGCGGGGGTGCTTCCTGTTCCCCCCACCCCCGCCGGCGTTTTCAAGAGGCCTGGCTTGTTTAAAGGCTTGGAGTCTGGATTGGACGCTAGCGGGAGCCGCAGGGTGGGACGCTTGAGGGCTTGGGCCTGCCTAGATCCTCCTTCCCAAGATATTGGGAAGGGATCTTCTTCCCTAGATCCCTCCTTCCCTCTTTTTTTCTGCCCTGAAAAGAGCGGGCATCTGGCATGCTTTTTGCCACTTCTCTTTCTAGGTTATGTACTTCGTGGAATATCTGGGCATTGCTTAGAAGCATGTGTCATAAATTGGCTTTGAGCTGGAAGAAAAAGTGGAGAGAAAGTGCTTGGTGGGTAGAATTCAGTGGGTTGGACGGGATTGCCAGCGCTACCAGGCCGTGTCAGTGTGGTTGTGCGCACATTAGCTTGGAGACACTGGCAGCTTCTTGGGACTAACATCTTTCTGGATGTTGTTTGCTGCCAGTTTCTCGAGGATTGTTTTTTATTTGGCACAGAGGAGAATTCTCTCAACGAACATTTTTGACCGTTATTGAGTCCTTTAAAAAAATGTCCATTTAATAAACATTTGTGATCTATGATTTGCATTGAACGAGACGGTAGAAGTCTGAGGATAAGTAGGAAATCACCACCTTTCTCAGGGAGCTGTCCTGCAGTTTTCACTTCGATAACTTGGACACGCCTGGAATGGTTGTCCCACCAAAAGAGAGAAAGGGTAATGAGGTTCTTTTTTTTTTCTTTTTTGTGATGGAGTCTCGCTGTGTCACCAGACGAGTGCAGTGGCGCAGTCTCGGCTCACTGCAACCTCCGCCTCCGGGTTCAACCAATTCTCCTGCCTCAGCCTCCGGAGTAGCTGGGGTTACAGGCACGTGCCACCACGCCCAGCTAATTTCTGTTTTTTTATTTTTTAGTAGAGACGGGTTTCACCATGTTGGCTAGAATGGTCTCGATCTCTTGACCTCGTGATCCGCCCGCCTTGGCCCCCCCAAAGTACTGGGATTACAGGTGTGAGCCACCACACCCGGCTGATAATGAGGTTCTTTTGATGCTGTAGTTTTTCCTGGGAAGACTAGGAAGGACTCTGAATTTCAGAAGAGGTGATTTCTCGCATGAACGTCTCTTCCATCCCCCCTCCACTCCACAAGCTACAGTGATGCATTTCCAGACACGGCACCTACAGGGTACACAGTCCAAGACCATAAATGCTCAACAGAACCCAAGCGAAGATGGAGCTTGTGGCCCTTACCCTTTAGAGATATCCCCAGATTGGTTTACATTGAACCTGGATTTGAATAAAGAGGAGCAAAATGTAGGGGGAAGAAGGCTTATAAAATACTGGGATTGATACTGGAATTAGTGATTTGAGGTTGATTTCCAAGCTATTCTGTTCCGTCGTGGGTTCTCCTAGCCTTTAATGGGAGAAGAGAGAAATACAGTCACGCGCTGCATAACAAGGTCTCCATCAGCACGGCTCTCATGGACAATCCCCCTGAGACTACAGTCAGGCTGAGAAATTCCTGTCACCTGGTAACATCTTCATGATCCCGACCCTGTGTAGGCTTAGGCTAATGTGTGTGTTTCTGTCTTAGTTTTTAACAAAGCTTAAAAAGTAAAAAATAAAAAAGATTTAAAAAACAAAACCCCATGTCATTAGAATATCAAGGAAAGTACTTTTTGTTGGCAGAATGGTTTGTTAGAAAATAAATAAAAATACAAAAATATTCAAGGAAAAATATTTTTGTACAGATGTACAAAGTGTGTTAAGCTAAGTGTTATTACAAAAGTCAGAAGCTTGAAAAATTGAGTTTATAAAGTAAATTACAGTAAGCTAGTTAATTTATTATTGAAGAAAGAAAAATGTTTAATAAATTCGGCATAGCCTCAGTGTGCAGTGTTTATAAAGTCTACAGAAGTATTCAGTCATGTCCTACGCCTTCACATTCTCTCACCACTCACTCACATTCTCTCACCACCCACCCACTTGCCCACTCACTGATTCACTCACCCCCTCAGAGCTGTTTTGTGGTCTTTAGTAACTAAAAGCCATCTTGAGCCATTGGATTGATATCCCACATTGAGTGTAGGATATCTTGCCTGTTATTGACAGAATAATGGATAACGGTCAGACTTTTCCCCATCATGTTCTGTCCCATGATCCTGTTTTATTTTCTTCCCGACACTTATCGCTAAAAATTCTCAGGTTGATTTATTTATTTACATATTTGTTGACTTTACTATTATACCCCCAGTTAAACAGTGGAGCAGTTCCTGGTACTTAATAGGTTCTCAGGAAGGAATGCTTATAAAAGAGCATCATTCCTGGAGCCTTTTGCTGCAAGGCGTGGGTGTTCTAAGGAACACTGTAGCCCGACACCTCCCTCGCCTCCTAGGAGACTGTGCTGTTGATGCCCCCAGAGGGAAGTTTCTGTGTGTACTTGTTTCTGTATGTATTCATTGCCTCAACGTTTCTGGTTCCTGGCCCTCTGTGTTTTTCCTGTACAAGTGACTGATACTCCTTTTTCACTTTCCTCTGAACATGGTTCTGTTATTGCACTTACATCTTAGTTGTGTGTCACCTCCTGATAGATTTTAATCTTGTATCTTTGAATCACCATGCACCACGCACAAATACTTAAGTAATAAATGTGTTTTGAATGAAAAAATGAATTAAGTGCCCATAAAATACTTTCCATATAACATGGTGGTGGAGAGAAGGGTGGTGTTGATGAAGGAGGTTGTAAAATCAACCAACCAGCATAGGCTGCCTGAAGCCTGGACTCTAAGAGGGATATAAAGCCTTCCTAGCTCAGGAGAAGGATAAACGCTTGGACCAGATGGTTAGGAAGTCTTGCCGGAAAGAGAATGTGAATTGCGACTTTATGGGTGGGTGGATCCTAAGTTGGTGGGAGGAAGTGGGCAGTCAGTCAGGATCTAAAGATTGGGAGTGTAGAGAGAGGAAAGGTGGGATAGGTTGGGTGATTGCAGTGATAACGAACCTGGCTGGAGGAGACATTCCAAGCGAGGCGATGCGTAGAGCTGAAGTTAGAAAGTGGGTCAGATTCAGACTGAGGGGACTTTGGTGCTAGACTGGGAAGTCAGACAGCTTTACCCTGTAGAGAGTGGGAACCGCTAAAATAGAACATCGGGAGATATTCTTTACACATAGATGAGGAATTCCTCTTATTCTTGCAGATTTGTGTTTTCATATTGCAGTCACCTGGAATCAGAAGGCTCTTGCCATAATACTGCTTAACAGAAGTACCAGGTGTTAGGGTTAGCACTCTTGCTGGGAAGGCACTTTATCATGGTCTTCTGTGCTCCTCAGGTGGAGTGTGGGTGGAAAGTCTCAGAAGTGCAGAAGCAGGAGATTGAAGCCTAGGCCAGTTCCTGCTTAGCAAATAGAGTATAGAAAGAAGAATATAGTTAGGAATAAGTAGCGTGAGTAATTAGATATTAGTCTTATTGAATATTAAGCCTTGATTAAAGCCGCCTTATACTTTATGCATGACGATCGAGGAACTTCGGGTTGCTGTGACCAGGGACTGCTAGGGGACACTATGGAATGCGTAGGGAATACCCTCTAGACCCAGCAGAGCTGGACCCTGCAGTGGAGCTAATGTGGTGGGACCCTTGGCCTTTATTATGCACACCTGTGCACGCCCAGGAAGGATGGGCATGAATAGGGAGCCTGGCTGTCCTTCATCACAAGTGTTTTCACCTGTCCCAGTCTAGCCAGGTTGCCTTCCAGTCCTGGGATACAGCAGTTACCCCGAATCTGCCTTCAGCTTAATCTTGGGGTTCTCTTTGATGCTTCCCCACATTGGCTGTCCCTAGACTATATCTCATGGAGACTCCTTTCCTGCTTGACCCCTTTCTTTTAGGGGAGGCTGTCTTCCAATAGCCTTTTGGAAATACTTCATTTTGTTTTGGAAGACACTCCAGAGCAAATAGTTATTTAAACACACGTATTTGGCAGTACAATTCCATTTTTGTTTTTAAAGCTGTTCATACATATTCATAGACTAAAGACTGGGAGGTTATATACCAAATGTTAACAGGTTCTCAGGAAAGAACGGTAATGAAAAGCAGTTCTTTTTCAATAAAGGGAATGTGGGTGATCTGAATACATTTTTTTTCTGCTTATTTCTATTGCCCAAATTTTCTGCAGTCAACGAGAGAAAAATCCACTGTAATAGTGACCAGTGAGAATGGTTTATATCATTTTCCTCAAGAAATGTCTACTATTGAGGTTAAAATAGACATTTCACCTATTTTAAATGGCATGCTGCTATTTCCCAACATTATATTTCTTTGGAGTGAGAAATTTGTTTTTTGTTGATAATTTTATTGATTTATTTTTTATTTCTTTAGGTGATTTTTCATGGTACAAAACTTAAAAGGATAAACATTTCTCCTTTTTCTGATTATTTCTTTTTTTTTGAGACAGTTTTGCTCTTGTTGCCCAGGCTGAAGTGCAATGGTGAGATTTCAGCTCACCTCAACCCCCACCTCTCGGGTTCAAGCGATTCTCCTGCCTCAGCCTCCTAAGTAGCTGGGATTACAGGCATGTGCCACCAAGCCTGGCTAATTTTGTATTTTTAGTAAAGACAGGGTTTCACCACATTGGTCAGGCTGGTCTCGAACTCCTGACCTCAGGTGATTCACCCTCCTGGGCCTCCAAAAGTGTTGGGATTACAGGCGTGAGCCACAGGGCCCACCCTGATGATTTCTTTTATAACATTTTTTTTCGTGGCTGCAGGATCTTTCCTCTTTAATGGTATAGCTTGATGTTAGTTTTTAAGTTTTTTCTCCATGCCTCCCCACCATTTCCTTGTCAACCCCCACTTCCCCCGACACCTCCCATCTGTTTTGGTCTCTATAGTCCCTGTCAGATCCTTTCCCCAAGCATCTGGTAGTCCAGTCTGCTAACATTTAGCAAAGACGGAAAATCTAACAGCTCTGTGCTCATGGGGGCGGGGCTTATCAGCTGGAGCCTCGTGTAAAGGAACCTGGGGAGGCATTTGTTGGGGCACAGCCCTCCCCTAGTTCTTGTTTTGTTGGGGTGCCTGCCTGCCCTCCTGTTAGAGTGTTCCCTTGCTGGAAGATGCCGAGCCTTGGAGGATGCAGGGTATACCTTGGGCGGTTTTCCACTTGGCCCTCTGCCAGGCGAGGATTTGGTTTTCTTGGATCTGCTGAGTGACTGCTTTTTCTTCTGCTTCTTGGTTTTCAAGATCGTATTACTGTTGGCTCTTTGTTGTGCCTCCTGTTATAATGTGGGCTTTGTTTTGGGAAGGGGGTCTTTTAAGTTCACGGGGAATAAACAAAATTGAATGGGCTTGTTCAATCTGGAACTCCTCCAAACACGTTCTGAACTCTCCAGCCCCACGGAGCTCCTTTACAAGCCGCGAGGGCTGTAGATCTCAGCCCCAAAGTGTTGCCTGTTTTCATCATCGACTTCATTCACAGACGTAGTTCTAAATGACTTTCAGCTGTTTCCAGAAATCAGCCACATCTTCCTAAGTGAAGATTTACCATGTTTAAAGTTCCATGAAAGAATATGCCGTGAACTGTTACCCAGCCCCTGGCTGAGAAGTAACGGGTGTGTGAGAGGCAGATGAACAGCATGAGGGGAGAGGACAGAGAGGCTCCTAGGCCAGCTTCCTTCATGGGTCGCTTTCGTTTCCGTGCATGGCACTTCCCAGAAGAAACGAGTCTTGTTCGCACTGTGAAGTGTACCCAGGTGGTGAGAGGTGTGGTGCGGGCCATGCACATGAATTGACGACACCCCGCTCCATGCAGGGGAGCCCTCAGGTGGGCAGGAACACTTGTGGAAGATAAATCTAAGGAAGAGGGTGGTACTTAGCAGCTGTCATTTTCCTTTCAGGCTCCTGTGACGTTTGACGACATCACTGTGTACTTACTCCAGGAGGAATGGGTGCTGCTGAGCCAGCAGCAGAAGGAGCTCTGTGGTTCCGACAAGCTGGTGCCACCACTGGGTATGGAGGCCCATCCACATTCCTGCCGCTATCAGTCTAGATCAGCATTCCCAACCTCATCTGGGTCAGGAATACGGAGACCGTTTTCCGGAATCCAAGCATTTGTCTAGGCATCTTCACCACCTATCTGCTCCATCCCGTATCTACCGTAATTGCATGCTAATCCACACATCACCCTTTCTCTTCTCCCCTTAAAATGGTCAAGAGAAGTGGGGCAATCTGGCAGACCTGGGCTAGACTCCTGGATCTGTCTCCTGGTGCCTCGGGATGCCCCAGGGGGCCAGGAGGGAAACTTGGCTTTCGAATCTGTGAATCCTGTAGGCCGCTGGAGGTAGAAGCAGTAGTGGAAAAGCACTGCATTTGCAATGTGGAATCTGGTCTCAATCCCAGCTCTCCTCTGGATACTTGAGTGCCTTTGGCTTTTTTCAGCCTTAATTTCCATCTTCTTAGGGTTGTTGTAGTGATTTAGTGAGATAAAACAGTTAAAACTTTGCGTAAGTATAGGTATTTTTCATCTCTTCTAATTTTTGAATGCTCTTTCCTCTGATTCTTGGGGTAGATTTTCTGCGCCAAGGACAAAAGTGGTTGGTTGTGTTTCAGCACGTGTGTGCACATATGCGCTGTTTGCCGATTGCAAGGTGGTGACTGTCTACCATGCCTTTCTTATTTCACCTTGGCCCCTGTGTAAGTCATGGTAGGGGCAACAATCTCCTACCAATCTTCTGTGGGTAGAAGGATTGCAGCTGGGGTGAGTCGTCTTGTGTCTGCTAAAAGCGTTTGAAAACCACTGGTTCTTCCAAACCAGAAGTTGCAAAGTAGCAGCTCATGGGTCAGATATGGCTCGCTGCTTGGAGTTCTGTTTGGTGTTTTGGCTTTTGTTGCTTTTGTTTGGCTTCTTAAAAATATTTAAGTAAATTGCCAATATTTAGTCATTGGGAGTTTTCACGTAAGAATATGGATTTCTGGCATCTCTTGACAAACGGGATGGTGTGGCAGGGCTGAGCCTGCATCCTGTGTGGCAGTCCTTCTGCAGTTGAGCAGCCACTGTTCCCTTACACAGGGTTACGCCTTCCAGGTCGCCACAGCCCCTGTACCTGGCCTGGTTTCCCCTGTTATATTATCAGGCTGGCCCCTCTCAGCATTTGGGTTTCTGACCCATAGTTTTTATACCTGTTTAGCCTTCCTTGTGCCCTCAGTCCTTTCTCCTAGTCCCCTGTTCTGTTAGGGGCCTCATAGATATCTGAGTTGCTAAACCACTGAACCACTGTGCTGAACCATCAAGACTCCTACCTCCTCCTTGGCCCCTTACCTCACCATGCTGAGGGAAAGTCGCACAGATACCTCCTTTGTGTTGTGACCTGGAGCCAGACCCTCATAGTGCTTTTCTCTCTCTCTTTTTTTTAAACTCAGGACCAACTGTTGCCAACCCTGAGCTGTTCCGTAAGTTCAGGCGAGGGCCAGAGCCATGGCTTGGCAGCGTCCAGGGCCAGAGGAGTCTTCTGGAGCATCACCCAGGTGAGTGTGGACCTGCACCCAGGGGCGGGCACTTGGCTGGAGAGGGAGCAGGGGCGGCCCCAGGACTCCAGGCTCATCCTCTGCCCTTCCTGTCCTCCACCAACTGACACGGCTGTTCTCCCAGGAGTCAGCTTATTAATATCTAAATGTACACACTGCCCCAGTGTCCTTCTCCAGCCTCTCATCCCCCATCATCTTATTTCTCCCCAAGAGAATTTGTTTATAATTAGTGTAAGTTCCATGAAGACATGACTTTGTCTTATTTACTACTGAACTCCTATCGTTTAGAACAATACCTGGCACCCAGCGGTTGCACAATAGATAATCACTGAATGAATGAACAACTGTCTGCTAATTTCTAGGGATTTATCTTTTCTTTTTTTTTTTGAGACAGAGCCTCGATCTGTCGCCCAAGCTGGAGTGCAATGGCATGGTCTCAGCTCACTGCAGACTCCACCACCCGGGTTCAAGCAATTCTCCTGCCTCAGCTTTCTGAATAGCTGAGGTTACAGGTGCCTGCCACCACGGCCGGCCAATTTTTGTGTTTTTAGTAGAGATGGGGTTTCACCATGTTGGCTAGACTGGTCTCGTTCTCCTGATCTCATGATAGGCACCCCTAGGCCTCTCAAAGTGCTGGGGGGGTTATCTTTTCTTTCCTCTTTTGATAAGACCCTCCTGTTCAGGGATTGGCTTAGCCCTTTACAATCTTGTCATTATGTAAGATAACTGACTTAACCCAGCCCCTCCTGTGGGAGAAGAGAGAGGTGGAGAACAAGATCTCATATGAATCAAATCACAGAAGTTTGTTTTCCCCTATGATTTCTCTCAGATAGACGACAAGACACTCTAGACAGCTTTGTGACTCTGTAAAGTATCATAGAGACAAATGTGTTTCGTTTCATTTCTCCTTGCTTGGCTCTTATTTTGAGCCTTCTGACTCCTATTAACCACTTCATGCCCTTACAGTTTTATAGACCAGTCTGTTGGCCTGGCACGAAACATGTTGAGTCCTTGGCCACTGGGCATTGGAACTTATCTTGGTGCATAAGAAATGGTTCCACAGGAGTTAACAGTATTTTGAGTTGCATTTCATCTAAGAAGTGAATAAAGAAGAAGAAAGATCTTAGTGAGGTCATGAGAGTCCTCATCTCTCTGAAGGGTTGTAGTATAAGAGGAATTATTAGGCTTAAGTTTCTCTTGAGGACTGAGTCAGCATCCAGCACTTTGGTGAAAAAGTATTGGAAGATAGATTACAGCTTAAGGAGAGCTACCCGGGGACCAAAACTGCCTGCCCAGGAGGCAGGTAACTCTCTTCCCCTGGAGTCACGGTGTGTGGCTTTAATGATCTTTTTTAAATCCTATGTTCCATTATGTCAATGTTCTTATCCATAAATAAACTTTGACTCCTGAAGATTGTACCATTGTCTTACATTTCATAGATTAAATTGCAAAGATTTTGGCCAGTTGTATCTGTCCTTTAAATTCAAAAAGCAAAAGGGATGGGGAGGGTTCCGTAAAGCCATCTCTTTGGCTTTCTTCTGGATTAGGTGAGGGAAGGTCTGCAGACTTGGCCGGGACTAGAAAATTCAGGTGTGTGTGTATGCTTTCTGCCTTTCATGTTTGATGTACCTCAGAGTCCCCATGAGTAGCGGTGGCTCCAACTGTAGGATTTTAAAGCAGATCTCTTCTGTCCCTTTTCTCTAAAGGAAAAAAACAGCTGGGCTACATGGAAGAAATGGACGTGCAAGGTCCCACCAAGGAGAGTGGACAGTGCCTGCCACCTCAGAAGAAAGCCTGCCTTTCCCGCCTCAGTACGGAGAGTGGGCACATCGAGGGAGACTGGGCAGGAAGAAGCAGGAGACTCCTGAAGCCCCGGTCCATACAGAAGTCATGGTTTACGCAGTTTCCGTGGCTGATTGCGAATGAGGAGCAGACGGCTCTGTTCTGCTCTGCATGCCGAAAATACCCCTCCATCAGGGACAAGCGGTCAAGACTGATAGAAGGTTATACAGGACCATTCAAGGTGGAGACTCTCAAGTACCATGCCAAGAGCAAGGCCCATGTGTTCTGCATCAATGCCTTGGCAGCAAGGGACCCTGTCTGGGCAACCCGGTTCCGGAGCATCAGAGACCCACCTGGAGATGTCCTGGCCAGCCCGGAGCAGCTCTTCACTGCAGATTACCCCATGTTCTACCCACCAGGGCCTCTGGGAGGCTTTGATAGCATGGCTGAGCTCCTGCCAAGCTCAAGAGCTGAACTAGAGGACCCTGGGGGGAGTGGAGCAATTCCTGCAATGTATCTAGACTGCATTTCAGATTTGAGGCAAAAAGAAACCACTGATGGCATCCACAGCTCCTCAGACATTAGTATTTTATGTAATGATGCAGTAGAATCCTGCATTCAGGTAATACGTCTATGCTGATTGCTGTATCTTACAGAGAAGGATTCTATACTGAGAACAATGTGTATCCGTGGAGATGATGAACAAAAGCTTAACAGGGATAACCCACTGCTTACATCATAACGTTAGCATACGCTAATGTGCGTGTCATGGACGAGGCATTGCTTTAGATGCTTTACAGTATTATTTAATTTGGACAACAACCCTATTATTATCATCTTCTTTTTGCAAATAACAAAACATACTTTGTGAGATAGAACATTTCTACCGCTGGTATCAAGGAAACAATGATCTTTATTCAGAATCTAAAATAAACATAGATCTCAAGAAATAGCCTGCAACCACAAAACAATCACAGAGCTCTTAGTCAGTATTTAACTTTTTTTAAGAGTCAGGGTATCGCTCTGTCACCCAGGCTGGACTATGGTGTGATCATAGCTCACTGCAGCCTTGACCTCTGAGGCTCAAGCGATCGTTCCCACTCAGCCTCCCAAGTCACTGGGACTACAGGTGTATGCCACCACACCTGGATAATTTTTTAGTTTTTGTAGAGATGGGAATCTCACTATATTGCCCAGGCTGGTCTCGAACTCTTGGGCTCAATCAAAACTCCCACCTCAGCCTCCCAAAATGCTAGGATTATGGGTATGATATACCACACCTGGCTAGTGTTTTTAGAAACGTTAACTTTCACTTTGGAGTCATGTTGCACTTTTAAACATTGCAGTTTTTCACATATGTTGTTTCATGTAATGTTTCTAATGTTGCTGTGAGGCCGGTAGAGCAAGTGCTATGAAACTCATCATGTTGGAAGAAAACTGAGGCTTTGGAGGAAGTGACATGTCCGGGGTCCTAGCGCTCCTGTAGTCAGTGCCAGAATCTGCCCAGAGTCCTGAGCTCCCAGCCCAGTGCTTTCCTTCCATTTCCTGCAGTGCTGCTGGGCACTAAAGGACTCTAGCCCCACCTAACGGTTCCTTTCTACTTGTTGAATGTTTTGGGAAGTTGTCCTCTAAGGAAACTACGTTCACTGGAAGCTTCTCCATTTCTCACCTGTTGCGTAGAAGTAGAATTTTACAACAAATCATTTTTAACTCCCCTCCAGGAGTCCCGTGAGAATAGCTCGGAGGTTCCTCCTCGAGCTGACATCATAAGGAATCCAGTTCAAGTCCGTAAACTCTCATTTTTCCGAAATCTAGAAAAACAGCATAGCTCATTTCTTTTCCTGTTCCTGATATTTTTTGGTATTAGAAGCTAATGAACAGATGTAACCTTTTCTTATCTGAACTCCTTTCGCAGTGAGGCATTGTAAACCAGTCGCTGCTCGTAAGCATCGTTAGCCTTTTTTGACCACCTCTTCATTCACATCCCATTGGGAAATCTTAGAGGTGCTCCTAGAGGCAGGTGACTGGGACGGTCACCTTTTAGTTGTAGGTGAACAGAGGGCAGCTCTCAGGACTGACGACAGCATGCAGTCAGACGCTCTGCCCGGGCGCCCATTCTTTCCATACACTTTCATTTCCGCCCAGGGGATTCTGAGGTCTGACCGAGTCTCAGTTGGTTTTTACCTACTGATTCTGGGCCTCCTGAATTTGATTCTTTGACTTTCAATGGATAAATTAATTCATCTGAGTTCATCTGGGCCTCTTGGTGAGCTTCCCAGGAGAAATGGGGCTCCGAAGGCCCCGGAAGTGTTGCGTGGGCGCCTGGCTCGTCAGGTGGTGCTGAGCGGCCGCTGCTCTTTGTTCCAGGACCCTTCTGCAGAGCGGCTGATGGAGGAGGTTCCTGTGGTGTTTGAGGAGCTGCCAGTGGTGTTCGAGGATGTGGCGGTGTATTTCACTCGGGAGGAGTGGGGCATGCTAGACAAGCGGCAGAAGGAGCTGTACAGGGACGTGATGCGGATGAACTACGAGCTGTTGGCATCCCTGGGTAAAGACGCACTGAGACACTTATTTGCCATCCTTATTTGACTCGGGAAGCCCACAAAGGCAGCTGGGCTTGTGGTTATCTTCCCATTCCTGCCCTCCCATGTGTAGGCAGAGACCAATCCTGTCTTTGCACCTCAGAACTCCCCTGCATGCGGTAACTGTGCTTTATCGCCTTCTCATCCACCCACCTGCCCATCCATTCGTGCCCCACCAGACATTTTGGAGTACCTCCTATGTGCCAGATGAGCACGGCTGAGCCACATCTCTGCTTTCAGGGACCTAGCACATTTGTGGGACAGACAGACATTTTAATAAGAAACACAAAATAATACAGTCTCCCACAAAAGAGCTTCCAGAAGAGTAGCCAGAGCTACTGAAAAAGAGAGATTTGATTTGCTGGGTGTTGGCAGGAGGGATCAGGAAGCCTTTAGAGAGTAGGAAATGTTCTACTTGAGTTCAAAACCAGGTGGACCAGAAGGAGGAAGGGCATTGAACCATGATGGCAGGGATGGCCTGGCAGAGCCACCCCTATCTGTGTAGCTCAGGGCTGATGCTCCTACATTCCGGCCAGGTGCCAGCAAGGGCTGGCAGCCTTCAGGATGGGGGGCATGGGTTTGGACCTTGGAGTAGGAAGAGGGCAGTGCTTATTACTCAGGATAGTGCTCTCCTCTCCTGCATCTGCCGTTTGATCTTCTCTTTGCCTCTTCTGGCAGATGAGCGAGGTTCTTACGAAGCTTTTTATTTGGAGACAGGGTCTCACTCTGTCACCCAAGCTGGAGTACAGTGGCACGATCCTGGTTCGCTGCAACCTCTGCCTCCCGGGTTTAAGCAATTACCCTGCCTCAGCCTCCCAAGTAGCTGAGACTACAGGTATGCGCCACCACACCTGGCTAATTTTTGTATTTTTAGTACAGATGGGGTTTCACTATGTTGGCCAAGCTGGTCTCCAACTTCTGACCTCAGGTGATCCACCCCCATCCCTCCCCAGCCTCCCAAAGTGCCAGGATTATAGGCGTGAGCCAGCACACCTGGCCATCTCTTCATCTTATACAGCTTTTATGTATTTCTTTAATAACATGCATTATAACAGAAACCGTGTAGAACAGGCTGTTGTAGGTGCCTTAGGAGTTCCAGCAGCAGCCTGTGTTGTAACTTCTGCAAAAAAGGAAATAAGAAAGTTTGTGGCTTGATTGATGTCATAGCCCCTTGTGTTACCGCTCTTTTGGGTGCAGCTATGATCCGGATTATTTTCTAAACATTCTTGACTTACATACATGCTTTTGCCATTGTTGATAATTTTTAAATGGCTCCCCAAACGTTCAGAAGGGACTTAAATTATTTATTTTGTGATGACAGGTTTTGTTATGGTGCCCTAGGTTCAGAGTTTCTGTTCAAAGAGCATCACTGCCCCTGCCGTGCTGAAAAGCAGTGAGAGTGAGGGTGAAATTCATACCTCTTTTATAAATGGGTACCCTCTTACAAAAGGTTGGGTTTTCCTTTAAAGTAATGGGCACTGGCGACTCTGTTTCCCTCTGAAGCCCCCGGATGATGGTGAAAGTACCAGGCACGCAGGGAGGGCTGGCCAGGGTTGTTTAGCCTGTGCCCGTTCCTTCAGGCTGTGTGTTCTGACAGAGCATGCTCTCAACATTTTATCATTTTCTTTTTCATGTACATAAATTAGGCAGTAGGGAAATCTTAGCTAACTAGGGGAATTAAAGTCTTTAAGTTTTATTTGGATGAACATAAAATGTCATCAGAGGGAAGGGAACTCGTTTTCCTTGAGGGTCAGAGGCAGGAATCAGACAGGCTTTCTAGGGGTGGGCCTGGTGTCTCGGGTTGTCTGTGAAATTGAGACCAGTGTAGGAGTCTAGAAATTGAGTTGCACGTGTATGATTCCTTTCAGTTACTTTAATGGGGTCTCTGGTTATCCTTTATCCCCCAGTTTCATCAGTTCTTCATGTTTGAGGTATAAAAGCATCTTGAGGAGCCTGGAGACTATAGGCAGGGCCTGGCATAAGCTATTTGTATGTTTGAAAGTAACCTTTTAAAAGGCATCAAGCCAACAACTGGGAATAAAGTAGTATTGAAACATAGTGGAGATTCTCTAATTGTTATTATTTTTACTTTGGCTAGTTTTTTTTTTAATTTCCTACACTTTACCCTCCGTAAGAAATGCTTTAAGAGTTGAAAACCAAATATGATTTTGCATTACCATTTAATTCTTTTTTGTAAATAGAACACAAAATTGGCCATGTACGGTGGCCCACACCTGTAATCCCAGTACTTTGGGAGGCTGAGGTGGGTGGATCATGAGGTCAGGAGCTCAAGACCAGCTTGGCCAACATGGTGAAACCCCGTCTCTACTAAAAATACAAAAATTAGCTGGGCATGGTGGCGTGTGCCTGTAGTTCCAGCTACTCGGGAGACTGAGGGAGGAGAATCTCTTGAACCCGGGAGGTGGAGGTTGTAGTAAGCCGAGATTGCGCCACTGCACTCCAACCTGGACAACAGAGTGAGACACCATCTCAAAAAAAGAAAAGTGACAGTCCCCTGTCCCACCTTTCTCTTTTACGAAGTCCTCTTCCCCAGAAGCTTGTAGCTGTTTCTTTCAGTAATTTGCTGCATTATTTCTAAATAACGTATGTGGACATAATCTTAGAAGGGATGGACTCCACAGGCTGTGCTCATGAAACAGCTGCATCCTCCAGCTCACATCTGAGCATGTCAGCCCTGGGGCCCCTTCCTTTCTCACCCTCTGGGTTAAATCTGGGCAGGGCCCAGAACTTTTTCTTGTCACACTCAGATAATATAAAATCTTCCTGGTCTAATTTCAGTGAGTGTAATGCCCAGTACAAAGCTCTTCAAAAGTGTCCTGATCCAAAAACGACAGAGAAAGGCTGGCAAACTGCTGCCATTCAAGGAGCCCGAAGAGGTGTGACAACTTGACTGCATGCTGCTGGGGCAGATGCTGGGCTGTAGAGACATTTTGGGGACAAGGGGAGAAATTTAGTGTGGACCGTAGATTAGATAATACTATGAAATCAGTGTTGAGCTTCCTGGTTTTGATTATTGTAACTCTGGTTGTATAAGACACCTTTGCTTTCTGCTGCCCCATTTCAAATGACTGTAGACTTACGTATTACCTCACTGCGCTGCAGGTCGGGAGTCCAGGTGGGCCTCATCAGGTTCTCTGCTTAGGGTCTTAGCCCAAACCAAGGGGCTGGCCAGGTAGGCTCCTGTCTGGAGACTCCGAGCTCACTTACACTGTTGCCAGAATCTAGCTCCTTGCAGTTCCCCTGCTGCCTGTCAGCGGGAGCATTTTCAGCCGAGGGGCTGCCCTTGGGTGCTTCCCTGTGGCCCCTCCGTGCCCAGCCTGGCCGCAGTGTGGAATTGTCATGTGCCTTGAAGCTCTGACTTGCCAGCTGAGAACAGCCCCTCCTTTGAAAGAGCTGTGTAATTAGGTCGGGTCCACCTGCTAATCTCCCTTTGCTGTGCAAGGTAACATGATGACAGCGTGACCTCTCATCCTGTTCAGCATCTCCTCACCTCAAGGGAAAGGGGTCAGGCCAGGGCAAGGGCCCTGGAGCCCATGTTCGAATCCCGCCTACCACCTATGCAAGGGTCCTTTTTGTTGGGTAATACGCACGAAGTATTTAGGAATAAAAGGGCATGCAAGGAATTTACTCTCAAATGGTTCAGAAAAATATTGTAGCAATATGTGTAGACCCAGCAAGAGCTCATGCCTGTGAGCCCACAAGCCTGCTGGAACACATGGGGCAAGATGTCGGTGGTTGGAGTTCCTTGTATTATTTGATCTTCTCTGCAAATTTGACATTGTATCTAAAATTTACCAAAATGAAAATTTAGGAAACAAAAGCGCAGTCTGTGTGTGGTAGTAGAAAATCTGGACTCCAGATTTTAACACTCAATTCTTGCCTTACCCGCCCCAACCTGCTGCAGCTATAGAGTCTGGACCCATGCCGCAGGAGGAAGGGCTCCTCTTCTCCCACCCGCTGCTGGTTTCAGAATTTCTGACTCTTCCTTGGTGGGAATGGCGTGGTGTGTGAGTGGGAGAGGTGAAAGAAAGGTTTCACTTGACATGTGATCTGACACCAGCCTCTGAAGAGGCTGTGGTCCTTTAAAGCTGGTTCTTTGGGCGTGTTTGTGGGTTCCGCAATACCCCCCATAGGCCCTGGGGTCCTCTCACTCGCAGTTGCCTGGACATGGGTAAATGTCTGCCCTGGCAGCCTGTCCCATGTAGATTCCTTCACAGGGGAGCATCAGGGCAGTAGCCAGCTGCCACGAGCAGGCCCCGCAGACACCACCAGGCCTCTTCTCATTCCCTGCGTAGCCCACATCTGAACTGTGAAAGCACTTTCAGACCCTGTGCTCTGATAGACCTGGGAATGTGGGCCATTCCCAATACGGCCACCTCCAAGGCACCGGCAGCCTTTAGTCTTACCTAGGCCTGGACTCATGGCTGCTCACAGCTCCCAGAGATACAGGTCAGATTAGGGGAAAGGGTGCACCCACTGCTCCCCATAGTCAGGGAGAGAGGCTCACAATACCCTTGACAACACTTTCCAGAAACATCCCAGGTGCCCAACTTCCTGGCTTGCTCAGTCTCAGCTATGTGACTCTTCTTTATGGGTGTGGGCCACAGCCACGCCACCCCACTCCCGCACTGGGCCCTCAGCCATTCTCTTTCCAGGTCAGATGTCCGTGTCTGGCTTTGGAACACGGAAGAGCTGGCTCCTACTTTGGGGGCCTTTGCCAGAGCAGACAGCCAGAATCACACTTTCACCGCCTGTTGCTTGTGTCTATTGTATTCCCGCTTTATTGATTTTAGATATTCTGTATTGATTCCTACTGTGGAAGATGGAGATACGGCCCTGTTACATCACCTGGGCCCCACTTCTCTCCATCCTCTCAGAACAGGTGCATCACACTTTTTTGGTTAAATTAGTATAAATTATTTGCCCAGTTATGATGATGTATGATTTGCTGTTGAACAAGGGGGTGTAGTGTGATGATATTTGCTTCACTGTAAAGCTCTTTCCCCTGGAATTGGAAAATCTTTTCTTCTATTTTATTTTTCTCACTTACTGTGCCCTCGTCAGTTCCTTCCAGACTCTCCAGTGGAATGATAAAACTCCTCTGAAGAGGCTCTTCCCCGTGACGGGACATCCTGTGACCTCTCCATTTCATTCTTTCTCTGGAGACTTTGCTCACAGGGCCTTCCCCTCCCCTGCTCTGTCTAACCCAGGTGCCCTCTAGGTCTGCAGCACACCTGTGGCCTGAGACGTGCCCATTTCCTGAGTCTGTCCCTTCTTTCGTGGTTGACATCTTCATTTTGTTAGTGCACATTTTCCAGTGGCTTCCTAAGGAAGGGTGCAGGGGAGGCCTTCTTCTGTGATGCATCCTATCTAAAAATGTAACATTGGGGTTCGGGGTACCCCCTCAGTTCCCTGAGAGGACATTTCTCCAGGTTTCTGGTCAGTCACTCCCCAAGAATGGGTGAGGAGACCACAGCACAGTGCGTAGTAAATGCCAGACTTAAGTGTTGTAGAAAGTGATTTTATTTAGGTAGAGAGAGAAAGGAGAAGGAGAGAGAAAGAAACAGCCAACTCTCACACTGAATGGGAGAAAGAAAGCCTCTCCCACGCTGAGTGAGAAGGGTTCCCAGAGCTGGAAAACCAGAGAAGGAAAGCTCCTCTCACACTGAGTGAGAGAATCCAGAAAGATGGAACCCAGGAGAGGAAAGCAGCTTCCACACCGAGTGGAAGGGAACTGAGAGAGAGACATGGAGCTTAGGAGAGGAAAAGCAGCTTCCACGAGAGAGTGTTTGTGGAAGGGGACCCAAACATGGAGTCCAAAGGGGTGTGGAAGAAGGGGACTTTTAACCTAGGAGGAGCCCCCCACTTCTCTAAGACGCCTGGCCAATGAAAGGAGTTCCTTAGAACTTCCACTGGGGTGATTGACTCTTAGTTTCTCCCCCTGCCCTCGACATTTAAGCATAAACTGTTAAATCTCTTTGATAGAGAGAGATGGGAGAGGGGCACGGTGCTAGGAAGTTCTTGCCCTAGAAACTACGCCCCCTTGTGGACCTGGAAAGAGAACACATTCCCTCAAAAGCACCCATATTCTTCCCTCAGGATTCAGTGATAACTTGGTTGGGCATAGGATTCTGGGTTGGAAATACTTTTCCTCAGCATTTTGAAAGCATTGCCCCTTTAGGTTTTACTGGTGCTGTTGAGAGCTCTAGTGCCTTCTTATTCCAGAATCTTTGAATATGACCTATTTGTTTTACTCTGAAAGCTTTTGAAATTGATTCTGATTTTCTCAAATTTGTAATGATATGCCTTGATGTTTTACATAAAGTGTGTTTTAAGTCTTTTGTTTTGGGTATCTAGTATTTCCCTTCCATGTAGAAACTTGTCTTTTCCTGTTTGGGGAAATTTTCTTGTGTGATTTCTTCCTATTTTCTCTTTTCTTTCTTCCAGAAACTCCTTTTGATTAGTTTGATGTTGGACTCCTGGACCGAGCCTCTGGTTTGCTGTCTGTTTCTTTTTCTCCTATTTCCTGCTTTTATCTTTTTAATACTACTTTCTTGGACCTCTCCTCCATTTTATTTTCTAACAATGCTATTTATAATTGAGTTTTTAATTTTTTATGCTATTGAGTTTTTTCGTTTCTAAAACTCTTTTTGCCTCTTTCATGAATGGCTATCATGACTTTTCTCACTGGCAATATTAATTTTCATTATTTGGAAGTTTTGTTTTGCTCCTTGCTCAATCTCAAGTTCTTCCAAACTTTTTCCTGCTTGTTTTGGTTTCTCTCTTTTATGTTAGAAGGTTTTCTTAAATAATTATTTCTAGGTTCATTCCTGTGTAAGAGTAAGCCTTTAAAAACTGACTGGAAGCTCTGTGTGTGGCTGGGAAGATCAAGAGTAGGTTCCACTCTTCACTTTAGGGTGATCAGCTGTAAACCAAGATGTCTTACTGAAGAACCCACAAAAGTCAGTATCCATAGATCTTTTGAGGGGAGAGAGAAGGGCAGTTCCATTGTTCTAAAGAAAACACTTCCCGTCTCCTGTTTGGAGGGTGTGATAAGCCCAGCCAGCATTCTTGGAGTGGAGCAGTGCACCCCTCAGTCCACTGGGGTGGACGTGGCTTGATCTCCCTGCTTTCAGTAACACACCGCCCCTTCACCTTTCCCAGTATGTGGTTTCTGGGATCTGGAGCTTTTCTGGGTAAGTTTTGCTGTAGACTAAGCCTCTCTTCTCCTCTGGGGTGTGGCGGTGGTGTTTCCTGGAACAGGTGAGGGGACCGGCGATTCAGCAGATTTCTGTGCAGACTTTGAGCCAGTCCCATGCTCCTGCCCATTCCCCACCCACCACCTTCTCCCGCATCTGGTGCCTGCAGTTTCTGAATCTTTCTGGGATTCTGTGGTACCAACCAACTTGCTTCTCCTTGTTAACCCCTCCGCAGGCACTTGGTGTTCAGCTATGTTCATTTCTCTTTTGTGTCCTTTCCTTCTTCCAAAAATGGATTTGCATTCCTAGTTCCAATATTTCTCTTGGGCTTATGCCTCATTTTGTTGTTATTATTCCTTTGCATATATCCTCCTTAAAATATCTCTAAATGAGATATTTAGAGATATTTTAAGGAGGATATATGTTCAATCTAACACACTTTAGTAATTTCCTTTTTATTTTTATTAGTAATAAATATGTAGATATTCACACACACACATATCATTTTATATATATAAAGATCTTCAAGTGATCCAAAGATACGTAGTGGAAACCACCCTCCCTTTCCCTTTGTCCTTCACTTCCTCCCGGGAGCACCCAGAGCACCCATAGCTGCTTGTGTGGCCTTCCACAGAAAGTTTATGCACATATTCACACAGACACACACAAAAGCATGATGTAGATAGTGATGGATTTTATTTGCAATAGAGGAAACGGTTAATTTGCATACCCCTGAACAATATTCCTATTTAAGTAAAGTGCTTAATCCAAAGACACAAAACTCTTTTAGTCAGATTTCAGGCTCCATTGCAGGTGGTAGATATTTTGGGGGGCCCCCCATGTGCCCATTTCAAAAACCTATGTAGTTGGTCACCTGCACAAAGGCCAGCTGTGAGGTAGAGGGGCACATGCGTGGGCCAGCTGTGGGTGGCACCCTCCACTGCTCATGTGGCTGCACCTTCCCCCTCCCCACGCCGCCTTCTCCCTCCTGCTTAGTCCCTGTGTTTCTTCCTGTTCCCACCCTTCCCACTCTGCTGTGTATGGCTGGACTATGGCTCCTAGGGCTGGCCTGTGTTCCAATAGGAAGTCCCATCCTAGCAGAGGAATGCCCCTCCCCTGACTGCCTCTTTGGCACTCTGGGTAAACGCTCAACCTGCCCCAGCCCACCAGACTTTATAAGGACAGAACGCAGAGACACCTCTCTGTATTTCAGGGGCTGAGTCTAGCTTGAGGGGGCTACTCGACTTGGCCTCAGCAGTGACATCAGCATGATTCTTCATCTCTGCAACAGGACCTGCTGCTGCCAAGCCGGACTTGATCTCCAAACTGGAGCGGAGGGCTGCACCCTGGATCAAGGACCCAAATGGGCCAAAATGGGGGAAAGGTCGTCCTCCAGGTGAGTCTAAACCTATGGCGTTCTGCAGGGCGGCTATGATGAGTCACACAGCATGAGTTCAGCTGTGCTCACCAACGGGCCGATAAGGCCCTGGGCAGACAAGATGAATAAGCAGCGAACCCTGCCCACAGAGTGCAGAGTAGTCTGTGAAACTGGAAAACAACAGGTCCTTTTGTAAGCAGAAGGGCTGATGGAGGCTGTGGCAGAGCTGGTGGGAGCAGGTCCTTGGGGACACCAGTCTCGAGGAGCCAGGGGACCCAGAGGTCTGTGAGCCTCTCATCCCTTCTCTCTCCTCTTCTGTGCTCAGTGACAGCACTGTTGGTTTGTGAGAATTCGTTGTCTTGTGTCTCAATCAGTAACGTCTTCACTTGTAGCACATGCTTCTGGACCTACTTCTTTCTGAGGTGCGTAAGAAGCCTTGGCAGGTGTTTAACTTGTTCCATTGTGGAACCTCACACGAGGCTGAAAGCCACCTGCTTATCCGACAGCCTCTATGTCCCCAAGGGGGTTAATTAGCTTATTGGCATCTGGCATCACATGATCCCAGGGTAGCTACGTGGATAGGGTGGTCAGGGCGCTGGTGAAAGAACCCACAAGGATTAGCAACAACTCTGGGGGAGCCAGATTGACTTTTCCAGGTAAGAATGGGGGAGGGTTTAAGTGGACGCCACTAATGATCTCTAGAAAGAAGGACTGCATTCATCCTCTCTGCTTTGCTTAATTGGTACTTACTAAATTTGGGGGTGTCTTAGCTGATAGAAGACTGCAGAGTTCTGGGTGGCAGAGCCAAGCATGACTGAATTTTCCCCAAAGGGAACAAGAAGATGGTGGCAGTGACAGAGGTGGACACACAGGCCTTGGCTGCAGACTCCGCGCTGCTTCCAGCCTCTCCCGTGGAGGCCCGTGCCTCCTGCTGCAGTGCCGGCTTTTGTGAAGGAGAAGGAGATGGACCCAGGAGAATCAAGAGGACGTACAGGCCCCGCTCCATTCAGAGGGCATGGTTTGGGCAGTTCCCATGGTTGGTGGTTGACCCCAAAGAGACCAAGCTTTTCTGCTCAGCCTGCAAAGAAAGACCTAATCTCCACGACAAATCATCTCGGTTAGTCAGAGGTTACACCGGGCCTTTCAAAGTGGAGACTTTAAAATACCATGAAGTCAGCAAAGCACACAGGCTCTGTGTCAACACGGTTGAAATCAAGGAAGATGCCCCTCAGACTGCCCTCATTCCGGAGCTCTCCAGTGACCTCATGGCCAACATGGAGCACTTTTTCAATGCTGCCTACTCTATCGCATACCACTCAAGGCCCCTGAATGACTTTGAGAAGATCCTAAAGCTCCTCCAGAGCACTGGGACCATGATACTGGGCAAGTACCGCAATCGCACAGCGTGCACTCAGTTCATCAAGTACATCTCCGAGACGCTGAAGAGGGAGATCCTGGAGGATGTGCGCAAGTCTCCCTGCGTGAGTGTGCTGCTGGACTGCTCCACCGACGCCTCTGAGCAGGCCTGCGTGGGGATTTATATCCGCTACTTTAAGCAGATGGAGGTGAAGGAGTCCTACATCACTCTGGCCCCTCTCTACAGTGAGACAGCAGATGGGTACTTCGAGACCATCGTTTCTGCGCTGGATGAGCTGGACATCCCCTTCCGGAAGCCTGGCTGGGTGGTGGGGCTGGGAACGGATGGCTCAGCCATGTTAAGCTGCAGAGGAGGCCTTGTGGAGAAGTTCCAGGAGGTCATCCCACAACTGTTGCCTGTCCACTGCGTGGCCCACCGGCTGCACCTGGCCGTGGTGGACGCCTGTGGGAGCATCGATCTGGTGAGGAAGTGCGACCGGCACATCCGCACAGTCTTCAAGTTTTATCAGTCCTCAAACAAGAGGCTGAACGAGCTACAGGAAGGTGCAGCAGCTCTGGAGCAGGAGATCCTCCGCCTGAAGGACCTGAACGCCGTGCGGTGGGTGGCCAGCAGGAGACGCACGCTGCACGCCCTGCTCGCGAGCTGGCCCGCGCTGGCCAGGCACCTCCAGAGCGTGGCGGAGGCTGGGGGCCAGATTGGGCACCGGGCCAAGGGGATGCTGAAGCTCATGCGTGGTTTCCACTTCATCAAGTTCTGCCACTTCCTGTTGGACTTCCTGAGCATCTACAGGCCTCTGTCTGAGGTGTGCCAGAGGGAGATTGTGCTGATTACAGAGGTGAACGCCACGCTGGGCCAGGCCTACATGGCCCTGGAGAGCCTCCGTCACCAGGCAGGGCCCAAAGAGGAAGAATTCAACACCAGCTTCAAGGATGGGCGGCTCCACGGCATCTGCTTGGACAGACTGGAGGTAGCGGAACAGCGGTTCCAGGTAGATAGGGAGAGGACGGTCCTGACGGGGATCGAGTACCTTCAGCAGAGGTTCAGTGCAGATCGACCGCCACAGCTCAAGAACATGGAGGTGTTTGATACCATGGCCTGGCCGAGTGGGATCGAACTTGCCAGTTTTGGGAATGATGACATTCTCACCCTGGCCAGGTATTTCGAGCGCTCCCTCCCAGCGGGATACAGTGAGGAGGCTCTGCTGGAGGAGTGGCTGGGCCTGAAAACCATCACCCAGCACCTCCCATTCTCCATGCTCTGCAAAAATACCCTGACCCAGCACTACCGCTTCCCCCTGCTGAGCAAGCTCATGGCTGTGGTGGTCTGTGTGCCTGTCTCCACCTCCTGCTGTGAGCGGGGGTTCAAGGCCATGAACCGGATCAGGACTGATGAGAGGACCAAGCTCTCCAACGAGGTGCTCAACATGCTCATGATGACAGCTGTGAACGGTGTGGCCGTCACGGAGTACAACCCCCAGCCCGCCATCCAGCACTGGTACCTGACCTCCTCAGGCCGGCGTTTCAGCCACGTCTATGCCTGCACCCAGGTGCCAGCCCACTCCAATGCAAGTAAGTAGCCAAGCTCCCCCAAGTCAGGGAATCTTGCCCTCCAGCCCATGCTGAGCCACAGGCCAACAAGACAGAACTGCGGGTCCCTGTGGAGCTTCTGTCACGAGCCCACCCATTTGCTAGGTCAGTGGGTACTAGACGCGTGACACCCACCCTCCAGGAGTTTGTGCCTCTGCCGGGGAGACGACACACATGTGCTCTAGGTAGCAGGGCTTAGTGCAGAGAGCGTGCATTTCCAGAGCCTGTCTGCCCCGGTCACAGTGCTGTGCTGGCTCTGCCCCTACCTAGCTGTGTGGCCTTCAGCAAATCTGTCCCTTTATGCCTCAGGTTTCTTATCCGCTGAGTGAGTTATACCTGGAAAGCAGTCAGGACAGTGCCTGGCAGGTGGTGCAGATGGTACTAAAGGTCAAGACCACTGCTGGGAATAGGAGAGGGTGACAAGCCCTGGGCAGCGCCATTGCATTCTAAGTGGGCTGTAGACTCGGCTGTGTGGGACTCTCAAGAGGGAAGAGGTCAGCGTGGCTGTGGAGGAGCTGAGATGCAGAGGAGATGGATGGTGAGGCTTCAGGCAGGAATTGCACAGGGCAGGGGAGAACAAAAACAGCCTCGATGGAGTAGGGGGTTTGGGCCAGGGATTTGCTTGAGGGGGAAGCTGTATTAGAAGGGAGGGCAAGTTACTGAAAGCCATAGACAGGAAATTTTCTCTCTTCAAGTAGTCTTTTGAAAACCAAAGATGAAACACATTCTTTTTTTGCGGTTGGGGAAAATAATAATAATAATAAAGGAAAACCAAAGCAAATATGCTAGTTGTTGGGGTTCTGCAGACCACTCGCAGCCACTAGACAAGGACAGAGCAGTCTGGCATCTTCAGTACCTGGCGTCTGTACAGTACCAAGGACTCCTGGCATCTCTGGCTGGTCTCCTTCCAGCTGATGCTGCTCCAGCTTTCACCTCTGAGTCTGTGGCCATCAGAAATGGGACTGGGTCTCAGGGTTGACAGGGGCTCTCTGTAGGAAGCAGAGTGGCCCTGGAGCCACAGCAGGGCAGGTGGGGAGGAAAAGAGACCCCTCACAGACAAGAGACAGGGAGAGCCAAGAGGGAGGGCTGGGCGAGCCCATCACCCGGGCGTTTGTTGAGGAACTGCTCTGTGTCCAGCCCTGTGGGTGTCAAGGAGAAAAAGAGGATGACAGGTGTGCGCTTGTGCGAGTTACTCTTTCCACAGGGACAATGGGCCCAGCACAGATAGGTCCAAACCCTACCTGACTGCATGCTGAGGCCTCCTTCCAGGCAGAGCTCTCAGCCTTGGCACCGCTGCCATTGGGGCTGGGGGATTTTCGGCTGGGGCCCCTCCCGTTCACTGTGGGAACCTGAGCAGCATCCCTGGCCTCTACCTGTTAGATACCCACTGGATACCAGTAGCATACCCCCGACTTGTAACAACGAAAATCATCCCTAGACATTTCCAGGTGGCCCCTGGGGGACAAAATTGCCCCCAGCTGAGACCCCTTGTCTTAGGAGGAAAGAATGAGCAGAGTAGGAACAGAAGGGAGCTGCAGTGAGCAGTCGCAGTCCTGTCTCCAGTCTATTCTGCCAAGCTGCCTTCACCAAACAGCCCCAGGAGAAGTTGGATGTGGAAGGTGGTCTCTGTAGGTCGGTCTAATTGCCTTCTCCTTCCTCCGTCACAGGCGCCAGGCTCAGGAAGGGGGAGATGGGAGCCCTGTATGTGGAGGGGTCCGGGACCCAGAAGCCACCCACCCTGCCTTCCAGGGAAGCAGTGGAGGTACTGAAGGACTGCATCACGGCGCCTCCCGAGAGCCTCCTGTACCCCCACAGCAACCATAAGGCCCCTGGCATGTCCTGAGGGACAGAGAGTCCTTGGTCACTGGGACAGTTCTGCAGGGTCTAGACTGCCCTCGGCTCTCCCACCAGTAGGGATGCTCTCTGAGCAGTAGGAAGTGGGCAGTGGCGTCTGGAGTGGCGGGGACATTAGGAGGTGCATGGCCTGTTTCCTGAGGCCCCGCTCAGCACAGCCATGCCTCACGCAAGTGTGCCAGAAGGTTCTTATCACAAGTTCGTTTTTAAGGTGCTCCAGAAAATAACCCAAAATAACCCCATCATGAGAGGTTTCAACCCCTGTGGGGTGGCAAGAGGACTGCTGTGCTGGGGAGACTACTGGACATCCCTGGGGAGTATTCCAGGGAGGCTGCCCACAGCCTAAGTGAGAGGAGGGAAAGGCCAGTTTGTTTGAGGTGGAGGCTGACCCTGCTCTAGAGACAGCTGGCCCAGCTGCAAGCACCCCCAGAGGCTTAGTTCTGCGACTTCCCACCCTGGCTCCCACAGCAGAAGCAGTGAGGCCTCCATCTGGTGGGGAACTCTACCTCTTTCCAGGGCTTCCTTTAGGTTGAAACAATCACAAACCCTTTGCACACAACACCCAAGAAAGGTTCTCTTCCTGCAGCTCCAGATGGTGGAGCGGGGGCTCTCCAGGCAGGGAGCCCGGCACTTCCCATATTGCTGAGCCCCGTCTGACCCGAATCGTGCCTGGCCGGGTTTCCTCATGAGAGGATGGGTCCAAGTTGGAGCTGGGATGCTTGGGATGCAGCCCCAGCTCTGCTGCAGGCAGTGGTCTGATTAATCCCTTCCTCTTTTCTGTGCCTCAGTTTCCTTCCCCATGAAGTGGCAGCAGAGAATCCAAGTGCCTGCTGACTCCCCATCTGCCCTAGGATTAGTGAGCGAGATCCTCGAGCTCCCTGAAAGACCTCTGGCTGCAGTGTGGACTTAGCTGCCTTCCACCCCACCCTTGTCCTTAGTGGGACAGGTAGGAATTTGTCTCCAAAGACCTTGTAGGAGTTGCTCTCTGAATATACTGTCTGCACAACAGGCTAGTCCATTCTTCTCCAAGTTGCCCTGGGGACTCTGCACCAGGATCACCAGGGCCCACTGAGGCATCCCCAGATGGGAGTTCAGGGACAGGGTCTTTGAACAAGCTCCTCTGGGGTCTGTGGGCCTGCTCCAGCTTCAGAACCGCAGAACTACTGCCCTAGAGGGACAGAGGGGCTCCTGGCACTGTGAGGTTCACACCCTCCTCACCTTGTTTTAAACAGCCAGGAAGTAGGCGCCATCCATCCCAGCTTGCTGCCTGGCTCAGGCAGGTCCTGTGCCCTGCTGCAGGCCCCTGTGGGTGGGGCCTTCTCCATAGTCTGCTGCTTCCCATTTCCAGGGTAGATGCTGGTGTCCGAGTACCCATTCCCAGGGTTGATGCTGGCATCTAAGTACCTGAGTACCTTTTCCATTCCTAGGGCTGGTGCTGGCATCCAAGTACCCAAGTACTCTTCCCATTCCCAGGGTAGATGCTGGCGTCCAAGTACCCGAGTACCCTTCCCATTCCCAGGGCCAGTGCTGGCATCCAAGTACCTGAGTACCCTTCCCATTCCCAGGGCCAGTGCTGGCATCCAAGTACCCGAGTACCCTTCCCATTCCCAGGGCCAGTGCTGGCATCCAAGTACCCGAGTACCCTTCCCATTCCCAGGGCCAGTGCTGGCATCTAAGTACCCGAGTACCCTTCCCATTCCCAGGGTAGATGCTGGCATCCAAGTACCCGAGTACCCTTCCCATTCCCAGGGTAGCTGCTGGCATCTAAGTACCCAAGTACTCTTCCCATTCCCAGGGTAGATGCTGGCGTCCAAGTACCCGAGTACCCTGCCCATTCCCAGGGTAGATGCTGGCATCTAAGTACCCAAGTACTCTTCCCATTCCCAGGGTAGATGCTGGCGTCCAAGTACCCGAGTACCCTTCCCATTCCCAGGGCCAGTGCTGGCATCTAAGTACCTGAGTACCCTTCCCATTCCCAGGGCCAGTGCTGGCATCTAAGTACCCAAGTACCCTTCCCATTCCCAGGGCCAGTGCTGGCATCTAAGTACCCAAGTACCCTTCCCATTCCCAGGGTAGATGCTGGCATCTAAGTACCCAAGTACTCTTCCCATTCCGAGGGTAGATGCTGGCGTCCAAGTACCCGAGTACCCTTCCCATTCCCAGGGTAGATGCTGGCATCTAAGTACCCAAGTACCCTTCCCATTCCCAGGGCCAGTGCTGGCATCTAAGTACCCGAGTACCCTTCCCATTCCCAGGGCCAGTGCTGGCATCCAAGCACCTCCCCTGTGCCGCGGGCACCCCCTAGTACCCAACATGCCCTTCCATCCCCGTCCCAGCACTGAGCCCTAGCACTGTTGCTTTCCTGTCGTTTTTGGCTCTAGTCAGTAATTCCTTTCTTGCTTTCTGCCTTTGACCTGTGGCAATGTCTCCCAGCCCTTTGGGTCTGGCGGTAAGAGGGATCCCACAGGCCTGTGGTGCAGGAGCTCTGGGTGGTGTTAGTGTGTGTGTGGCCGAGGCGTCCACGTCTTCCTCTCCCCATCACCGTCTCCATGGGAGTTCAGGAGCTTGCCCAGGTCAGGCACTGTGGATGTGAATTCGTGGAAGGGGAAGGAGAAAGGCTTTTTTATTCCACACCAAGGTGCTATTCCAACACACATGCTTCCTGCGGCCTCTTCATCCTTGAAGAATCCCCCAGAGCACGAGGCCATCCTGTGAGCAGCCGTGGGTGGGTCTCTGTGGGAGCAGTTCTGGAGCCGAGGTGGAAGCCGGGGGACCACTGCCCTCTCCACGTCAGCATCCACGTGCTCCGAGGACACCGTCCAATGCCTGCCTTAGGTGGTGGGAAAGTGGGTCCCCTTATAGCGGGGCCACTGAGAATGCTGTTTGTCATAGAATTTGCACTGCCCAATTTCTCGAGGAGGCGTGGGCCTGCCTCATTCCCCTTTGTCAGCTAATGGCAAAGAAGGAAGAAAGTGACTGCCGTCTCATTCCTGAACTTCCCCATTCAGGACCCCCATGGAAACACAGTGAGCATCCTTACCGGACGCCCCTGGCCCGGGCCGGCCCCTTTGCATGGTTTGGAGGCTGCCTGGAGACCTCCTTGTTGGAGAGGCTTCCTGCTTATGTCTCACAAGGGCTCTAGGGGTAGAGGGAGCACACACTCTGGCATTGGCTAGAGTCACAGCGCTGTCACCACCCTCCTCCTTCCCTGTGGTCTTGACAGCATCCTTATGTACATGTCCTGGCATTTCCCCTCCTTCTCTCTGATGACTGGTGCCCGCTAGGTCTGACACTCCAAGTTACCAGCATGTAACTGGTAGTTTGATCCCGATAGCCATAGCGACTCCAGGTGGGAGTGAGGGAGCCCCCTATCCTGGAAGATACCTTAGAGTGTGTGACCTCGCTCCAGACCTTTGCTTCTCTCTCCTGCAGAGGGTGAGTTTCTAGGGTGCTAAGTACCTATCAGGATAGCGTGGAGGGGCAGCTCCTCATGCAGTTGTCTGCTTAGCCAGGTGCACTAAGTGTGACTGGCCCGGGGATGTTCTCTCCTACGTTTTCAAAGATGAAAGGGGGTTTTAAAAACCATGTGTGATTCCTAACGTTTCGCTACCTGAATAAAGCAGAGTCTATTTCAACACATGTTTGTCCTGTGTGTCCCTAAGAGAGGAGCAGGAGCTTAGAGAAGCTAACGGAACGAGATCTACCCTTGCTCGAGAGCGGACAGGGCCAGTAACAGAGGCGCACAGGGGAAGTGCCTGTGTGCTCACCTTATTTTTGTTTTTTGATTTCTTTTCTCTCTAATTCTTGAAAGTGAGCTCAATCGTTTTTGCCAGTTAGAAGGTAGAGATGAGAGTGGGCCATTCGTGCCTTTTCTGGAGCACGGCAGTTTACAAAGTGCTTTTAGGTACACGATCTCATTTGGTTTACTGAAATTAAAAAGCTAGACTTTCAAGGAAAAAAACATCGATTTCCACCAGTAGTGAAAGCTGCTGCATCAGACCTTTTAGGCTGCAGCAGTCCGTAAGGCCTGGCTTCTGAGAGCCTTCCCCGCCAGCCTCGCAGCTCCCTCCACATCCTCGGGGCGGCATGCTCCAGTGGAATTGCAGCAAAGGTTTGCAGAGACGTGGGATACCACCAGCTCTCTTTGGTAAGGAGACTCAGCCTTACTTGAGTGTACATGATTTTTTAAAAAGACATGGAAACAACTATCGAAGCAGAGGCACAGGCAGCAAGACTTCAGGTTTGGAACTGGGAATCAGTGCGGCCCCCATGCAGTGAAGACCTGACCCTGTGGTGCGGTTGAACGGGGTTTCCTTGATCCTCTCCTGGGTTCCCTTCAAGACAGATGGATTTCACTAGGGAAGCATGATGCCGGTAGCTTCCATCTCAAGCTAGGCAGGGTAGGTTCCCAGGGAGGCAGCTCTCAGCGCAGCCTCTTCCATCACTCCAGCTGGAGACAGAAGGAGGGGAGCCATCTGAGGCCCTGAAAGGTGTTGCACTCCTGCCTGTCTTTTTCCCAAGAGTGCTCCTGACATCCAGAGTGCAGTCAGCAGGCCTTTCTGACTGGGCTGGCTGCCTCAGATGCCTCAGCCCCATTGCTGGGGATGCTTCAATGGGGCCCCCTCACTGTGGGCCTTCTTTTGGGTCAGTATGATCTTTGTGTCCCTTTCCCATGCCAGTGACACTGGTGGGGTTCACATGGCCGGCCCCAGCTCCCAGGGCTCTTGAGATGCTGCCTCTGACTGCAGCTCCTGCCACACTCACACCCACATGGCTGCTGCTCCCCTCTACCCCTGGGAATGGCTGCCCAGAGATGTCCTGTTTTGAACCTTTTGTCACGCTCAGGACAGCCACCAAGGGCACTGGCACTCGTGACAACAGAAGAGCCCTGCAGTGCTATGGTTCCTCCAACGGGCCAGGAAAAGCTGTGGGGCGCAGACACACGGAGCACACTCCAGACAGGCACAGGGCCTCTGGGTGGTGACGGTTTGACAGTGTTTTGTGGTCCTGGGCCATGCACAGGCTTCTTGGCAGCCAGGAGAGGGTGTCTCTACATTTGATGTGCACACCTGAAAGAGCAGTCCTCACCTACTGGGCAGTGTCCTCCCACATCCCCAGGAGGGCCTTCCTGTGCCATCTGAGCTGCACTTAGTGGAAAGCCTTTGCCACACCAGGACACTTTCAGGGCTATTCCCCCATGTGACTGTGCTCACTGGTGGCCAGGGCTATATGGCTCTTGAAGCTCTCCACACTCTTGGCACAGATCAATGGCTTTTCCAAGTGGAATCTAAAGGACTCAGACATTCTCAGAGGCCAGTCTGGCCTTGGAGTTTTTCAGCTTCTGGAATTAATGTGTGACCATTCTAATTGAGCGTGTGACCCAGTTGCCTCCAGAATCATCTTCAGTCTCATTTCTGACTTTGTTACCAAATTCTATGAAAGAAAACTCAGACGTTAGCCTAGTGATGGGGACACACTCCTTTTGTTCAGTGTGGCCTAGGCTCAGCCCCTAGTCCCCAGCCCGAGTGAGATTACTGCTAAGGGCATCATCCTGTGGATGCCACAGCCAGGGCCATATGGGTCAGTGTCCCAGCTCAAAGGAGCAGCCCAGTTGGTCTGAGAACACTGAAGTCCTAGAGCACTGGGGAGGGACTCCTGACCAGCGCTCTTCCCACTCTCGTTCCAACACATGCACAGGGAATGTCCTGGCCCAGGGAGCCAGGGCTCTCTTCCTGCCACTTTACTAATTCCCGGCAGCAGCCACTACTAGACAGCAAACTTGGGAAGCCTTCTTATGCAGAAATCAAAGTTATGTTTATAAAAGTGTCACAGAGTCCCTTATGACGAGAGCTGGACAGCGGAGGAGCCAACCCTTCCCTGACCGCCCAGTTCAGTGAGCCTGGTCAAATATCTGCTGTCAGCAGCCTGCCATGAGGTGCAGTGAGAACCTTCTGCTTCATCCCTCCAAGCTGGGCTATTTCATAAAATCCATACTTTATTTTCCTCCTGCATAGAGAATCAGAAAGGACACGATGGAGATTTTAGAAAAGGGCTTGTGAGATGGAACATGTCAGAGCCGAAGATCTGTGGCTGTGAGACATACCCTCCTGAAGGAGCCACGCCTGAGTGCCCTCACCCGACTGTCCCGTCAGTGTAGCTTGTCTCAAGAGGTTTACAGTATGGCTGTGTTTCTCACAGGTCACCCAAACTCCTGTCACAAAGGCGGGAAACAAAGAGAAATGCAGAACCTGAATCAACTACGTAAGTGCTGAGGTTGATCAGATACCGATTCATGGGTTGATCAGAGCCCCGCAGGCACCAAAGGCTCAGTGAACATGGTGGTCTTTGTGCAAGAGGTGTTCCATCAAGACCTACCTGGCTCAGTGGTAGCTTTTGGCTTCTGTTGGAGGCTGGGATCCTTCACCCAAAGCTCGTGTTCCCTTTCAAGTCTACAGGTGATCTCTGGTTTGGCAGCAGCACGCACCAGAAGGAGAAAGAGCTGACCACCCCTTAACCCACATTGAGTGCACATAGACCTGCATCAGTCCTGAAGCCTGACTTGTGCCACCCATTTATTGCTCTGGGCTCACCCCACCGATTTGGGACGGGGTGGGGGGTAAGTTGTAAATCTGAGAGCTCTGAAACAGGCAGGGCCTGGCATACGAGCAGGAATGTTTATTTCAGGGCAACTTCGGGAGTGCCAAGGGCTGATAAAACAGTGTGATTGTCATGATACATTTTCCCATGGCCAGGGGCTCTTGAAGGAAAAACAGGCTCAACCAGTGGCAGAGACAACCATGCTCTGGGTCTAGTTCTCCCTGACCCCACAGGTCAGGGACAGCCCTATTAGATGGCAAATGAGCAAGGGGCCAACGTCCTCACCCAGGGAGGCTCCCAGTTCCCAATTCCTTCTTATCACATCCTGATACAGTTCCTTCTGCTCCTTATGGTTACCAGAACAGTGGGTGGAAGGTAGGTGGTCACATCCTTCAATGTCACAGGCCTTATTTGCAAACACAGAGACATCCGGAGCTGTTGTCCTCACTCCAACACAGGCCTTGTCTGCAGAGAGTACTGGGATAGTCTGTGGCTCTGAGGTGTGATTTCCTAGGGCCTCAAGTGTGCCAGGCTGCTGTTCATTTGCACTGGGGGAGATTTAGTGAGGTTTTAAAGAGCCTCTTCCAGTGGCTCCTTCTGCTTCTACCCTTTCTAGGAATTCGTCAGTCCCAAATTTATGAAAAGATGAATAATGGAGATGTCAGCACCATACAAACCTCACTCCCTGGGAGATGTCATGGAAACTTGTCAATCACACCCCGAAGCACCCACTGAGGAGCTGGCAGTACAGCCAGTGGCGCCAATACCAACCAGAAGCCACCAGGGCAGAGGGGAACCATGAAGCCGGTGGAATGCACAGCACCACTTCAGCAGCCTGGGGTAGGCAGGGGTGTGTCTGATAACATGCCCTTTGCCTCACATTAGTGCCTCTGAAAATACCGTCCTCAGCCTGGGCACAAGCCCTAGGGGAGAGCTGGGGTGTGGAGGAGTCACTGGATTAGGAAGGAGAAGCCTCGGCCATATGTTCTGGCTCTTTAACCCATAAGCTGTGTGGGCCTAGGCAAGTTGCTTCACTTCTCTGGGTCTCAGTTTTATCACCTGTAAAGTGAGCAGATTGCCTTAGAAAGCTTCTAAGATCCCTTTCAGCTAAAAGCAAAGTTGTAAGAAAATAAATAAGTGAGGCCAGGCGCAGTGGCGCACGCCTGTAATCCCAGCACTTTGGGAGGCCATGGTGGGCAGATCCCCTAAGGTCAGGAGTTCACTGGCCAACACAGTGAAACCCCATCTCTACTAAAAATATAAAAATTAGCTGGGTGTGGTGGCACACACCTGTAATCCCAGCTACTGGGGAGGTTGAGGCAGGAGAATCGCTTGAACCCAGGAGGTGGAGGTTGCAGTGAGCCGAGATCATGCCACTGCACTCCAGCCTGGGCAACGAGAGCGAAACTCCGTCTAAAAAAAAAAAGGAGAAGAAAATCAATAGGTGGTACTGTGGAACTCTATTGTGGGGAGCCGTTTGGACAGGTGAATAGTTTGCAGCTGGAAATGGGGCTCCAGCCCTGAGCTGCTCACGTCTTCCAGGCATGCTGCAGGGAACAGCCGTAGCTTGTGGCCCAGATGAGGCTTTAGCGGTTGGAAAAGGAGCCAGTTCCTGGTTTCAGTCCCTTCATGGACCTCAGACTATCACAAGGCTGCCAAACAAATGACACTAGCAATCACATGCAAATTGGACAGAAATCAAACTTCAAAGACATTAAAGGAAAACAGTAAGAGCTACAGGCGGCTAACAGGAATGGCTGCTCAGACTCAGCACTGGTTTTGATTCTGGCCAAAGCCAAGACAAAGGAGTAGAGGCAAGACAGAGATACATTTCACTCTACAGCTGTCATTTTAAACAGGAATTTTTTTTTTTTCCTGAACAAAATTCAGAAAAGTTCATCTTTTTTGAACTACGAACTTTTGTGGTGATTTTTTGAAGGCCTGTGTGGACATCCTGTTAACTCTATCTCCTGGATGCCAAGTGCACCTTATCCTAGGCCAGTGTTCTCAACAAGGCACACTCTGGATGACAGTGATAACCA